ATTCAAGCCACACCACACCACTTGAAGATCTCGCGTGCAGAGTCGGGTTCGCAGTAATCTGCTGTTCTATACTCTAGGCAAGGCATGTATACCATGCGTAATGGATTGGATGTCGTGTTACCTTTGGTTGTGGCTATTGTTAACGTTATCACCTCCCCGGTTCGTACCGGTGCATGTAATACATGCGTCAATAAATTTAATGATCTTAGCCCAACGTGTGATACGGTGTTACGTATCACGTACTCATGTGTGGAATTTTTAATAAACAGAGATATGGGTATAAATATCAGGAGACTGTGGCCGCATCTTTCACAGATCGATATGTTCAGATCTCGGTATATATATGTACCCATTCCTTTGGCATAGAGATATGGGCAGGGCAAGCTAGCACCTGACAGTCGACCACGACTCATTGACAGGCCTAGGGTATGAGAACGATCCAGCTGATACAGGCTCCCTTATATGTGGCCGGAGTGGATCTGCCCGATAATTCCTGAGGAGTCGATCGACATATCCTCTTAGCCCTTCCACTTACCACAGAAACCGTGGGAGTCGACTATAGGGGGGCATACGCTATGGTGCTGAAGGGAATGAGCTATCCGGATTCTCGCTCTGTGACTTGTGTGGACTGGCGTTTCTAGGTGGGATATATCGATAACGGTTATCGGGGGCTTGGAAATAGAAGGTGACGGATTATGGTTTCTAGTTGTCCTGGGGTTATGCCTTTGTGGTACTTGGATCGAGGCGAGGAGTGGAGTGGAGTGGAGTAATGACGGTAGAGCATAGCTCAAGAGAGGGAAAATGATTGTGAGGGAATAAGTACCCCGAGGGAGAAACCTAGACGCCGTGTCCGCATATGTATGTATAGGGTCAATGATCGATATTCCGGTTATACTATATCGGACTAAACGCCTCCAATACCCAGACCCGCAAAATAGGGCGGTGATCTTATCGGTAGACAGTAGCTCAAGAGACAAATTTTGAAAGCCAATTTGAGACCGGCTAGTATTGGTGGTTTCCTATGCGGAGCTGGCACACATTTTTCTCACCACCATATATATATACCGATGCACGGTGGCAGTCCACAGGCCCGGGCCGCCCTCGACTGATACCCCTCCGGCCCCGTATGTGTCCGCTAAACTTTATAATTCCCCAAGTCCTCTAACCAATACAGTACAAAAATTCCTACCAGTGTCTTTGGTGGCGCACGGCAGCGAATATTGCGTTCCCATATCTACGCCCTTGATTAGTAGCCCGTGGGCGCGGCCCGATCATGAAAAATGGTTCGGAGTCCATAGCGAGTGCGATTCTATGAAGATAGTGGATTTTTTTTTGTTTAATTCATTAATTGATGAAGATAGTGGAATGATCAATTGGTTGATTGATTGACTCAGTGATTGGTGGGTTGATTAGTAACTCATCCGTGAATATGGGGGTGGCAAGAGATATCACCATGTATTTGTTAGGTAGTGTACTCTTATGATATTGATGCAGCTAATCGATCTAGATACGTACTCGAGAAATCTATTGCAATGAAAATTTACTGATAATACAGTTGGTGTTGACTCTTTTTGTGACAAGGGGGTATGAGTTGGAAGAGCCATGCTGAAGAGTACGATAGTAAGAGGGGGAACTGAAAATAGGTTGAGGGCAAGATGTGTAGCGGGAAGGAATATAGGGAAGTATAGGCAGGAATAGATTTTAAGAGGAAAATGAAATGACTATGAGGGTATCAAAAGGACCCAAAGAAGATCGCAAACGCAGGAAATCAAGGGTAAGTAAGAAAAAAGTCCAATACATTGTATACTACTAGTACTCGCAGCCATCAACAATCCAGATCGCTCAACTCCAAGATCAAAACCATACAGAAAAATACAAGTAAAAGAAGAAGAAGAAGAAAAAGACTCACAACCACGTAAATTCTACTCAACCATAACCTTCTTATCATTCAACAACCTCGACTTCCTAACCGGCGACTTCTTCTTCGGGCTCTTCTTGATCGGGGTTCTCTTTACCGGGCTCCCCTTCCTCCAACAGACACTCCCCTTCGCAATCCCCAGCAACCTCTTCTTCACCAATTCCTTCCACGCCACGCATTTCTTCGCTTCCTCCTCCTCCGCCTCTTCCTCCTTCTCTTCACGCACGATATCCCTCACAGCCACACACCCGCCATCACTCATCTTCGGGCACTCGGCGAACAACGCCGGTCTATCCACCGGAAACGGGCAGTTCTTGATCGTCTGAAACCCGATCTTTACCGTGGTCTGATACACGATGCCCGACGCACCGTACCGCTTCACCGTGACCATGTTCGGGCCCGGGTTTGAAACCACGGCCTTTCTCTTCTTCTTCTTTTTGCGCTGCTCCTTCTCGATCCACTTCTTCATGTAGTCGCGGATGTCGATGTTGTTAGTGTCGGCACCGAGCGGATGCCATCCATAGTTCTCGTGGAAGAGGCCACGCTTGATGCATGGTGGCGGTGTTTCGATGCAGGGTGCAGCGGTGGGTGTGGAGGGGGAGATGTAGGGGTGTGGAGATGATGTGGTTGTGGCTGGTTGGGATGGAGTTTGGGGTTTGAGGGGAGTGGAGGAGGAGTTGATGTTGAAAGCGGCTGTTTTTGTGGTGATGGACATTTCCATTTTGGTTTTTGGCTGATTTTTGAGGGGTTAATCGGGGAGCGGGAGGTGAAGATATATAGTATTTCAGGTGTGATTGATCTGGGGGGCAGTGAGTATTTCTGGGGGAAGAGGGGGGAGGGGGAGGAGGGGGCTTTGGGAGTTATATACTTAATTAAGCTTTAGCAGAGATGCGGGAGATCATCGACTAAGATACATCGACCACACACTCCGCATCATCTTATAAAAAGGGGTCCCGTTTGAGGAGATCAAAGCTCAGGGCTAGGTGAGAGATTCTACGTCCCAAAGCTCCCAATCAGTCCATTGTGTAGACCGTAATTGTTAACCCAGACCCAGGTAAGTCCAGTTCCTAGAGTTATCGTAGATAGTATCACGACCATTCTCATTCGATGTCGGTAATTTCAAAATTTCGAATAGACATCGATGACTGATCTGCTGATCATATTTGCACGCACCATGATGATCAGAGCAAACGAAATCACCACAATCCCCATTAGTCTGTCCAAAGAAATACTCCCATTTCAAGCTTAGTCTATGTATAAACGCGCTGATGCTCGGCAAAATCTGCGAAATCCTTGGGCGTAAATGCTCCGAGTGATATCCCATGAACCCTAACCCTGGGTGCGGCATCGAACAGACCAAATCCCAGCGAGATCCGTATCATTGTATCCATGCGATGGGAACCCTAATCCATATGTGCGCGTGAGATCCGGTGATTCTCGGGTTGTTTATATATGGAATCAGACCGCGGTGCGAGCCGCTGGGGTAAACACGGACCCAGGCGCAAAGAGGCAATACCGGACTGAATAACGGTTTGCCCGAAATTGAGATGGATATCGTCCAAGTTTCATCGTGGAATAATTTCAAGATACATGTATACCTTCTGCGCTAGAGTAGCTATAGCTGATGAACCCATGCCCCTTGTATATAGATCAATCCCGATTCTTCCACTCTATAAATTCCAGCTGGTAGTACGTAGTGATAAATCCAGGCTCGTTATTACTCAAAGTATAACAGTCTGGAAATTTCAGGGCGCGATAACCAAACATCTCCCGGCCTGGGGAGAGGAGGATCTCCAGTTGAGTTTTAAACTGGATCCGCCAGGCTAGACCATCTAGGGAGTAAAGATTTGTTGACATCTCTGTGGTTCCGTGGTCACACTAACCTGCATGCCGATATTCTCCTATGCGATCTGGCTGGATGTTAAGCAGAAGTCTGTTTCAGACAGGTGCGTCTCTCTTATTTGTTATTGAATCCGGTGTTAAAAATTCCTGGTTTTTAGAGACATCCTATTTTTGAGTACATCAGATTCCATCTTAGCTTTAAAGATTCTTATCGGGAAGAATATTATCTACCTCTTTCTCTACAGGTAGCTCATACTGCATTAAAGTAGAAGTGAGTGGTTCGTGTAGTGGTGGAGTGCTGGGAGGAGAGACACGTTATAATAGAGATCGAAAATAAGGAATAATACTCTTAGAATACCGGTCCTTACTAAGGAGAATTGTGTCTATCCTATAGTTATTTAACGAGTCCGTAGTGTCAAAATCAAAAGGACGATGTGGATTTATGATAAATTTTGATTAAGATTACGGGTATTGATGGAATGTAGATTGGCTCCATCTCATGTCGTTGGTGGCATGGGGCCCCAGCTAGGCCGCTACAAGTCATCAAGTGAACCATGCAGTTCAATCTTGTCCTTCTTGCTTTATAACGGTTGCGGGACACATGTACTCCATCTACATGTAGTTTTCATAAGGGCATACGTGTACATGTACCGCTACTGCTATGTAAGGTGTTTTTAGCCAATGTGTCAAGATTCTAGCTTAACTAGATATGCCATCATTAAATTCATAAGTAAAGAGACTCCTCTCTAATAGAATCATCATTTTTGTTACCTATCAAGTCTTCCCACATGCTGGTTTCGAGAGCTTTGTCCTAGATCTAGATAGTATCGACATAACGCCGGGGTTCTGGATATCATTCATCGATGGAACAGGTGCGGTCACTTCATCAATATATCCGTCATTTCATACATGTAGTCTTCTAAGCATTGGGGTTTATATCAATTGCACCAGCTAGTAGGTCGGGCCGGATGTTATTTAATTTTAATTTATTTTTTTGGTGGTTATGGGTTAATTGAATTAAGCATTTACGATAACTGCATGCATGCAGTTCCAATATTTACAAAGCCTCGGCTTTCGTGACTTAAGAGCGATTATTCTAGATGTCTCCGCCCTGACTAAGACATTGTTTCCGAATTCGGCTTGGCGCCGTTTTCGATTCAGAAATTTCAACGATTGCAGATCGCGTCTTCTCTCCATCTACAACCTCACCCCACCCACCTCTGTGTATATCGCCCACACAATGGCTTCCTGGAAAGCCTCATTTGCTCCCCTGTTTCGGGGTGCCGCTAGGCTCACCGAAAGCCTTACAGCAAGCAATGCCGCATTCTCGTGCAAATCCTCACTCAAAAATTCACCATGGAAATGTAATACTTCAAGCCCGACATTAACCCCCATTCGCCGGATGGCAAGTTACAAGCGCGAGAAGCCTCACGTCAACATTGGTGAGTATCTCCGTTTCTCCCCCTCAATTCCAATGTGATTCGAGATTATTGACCTTTTGTTATACAGGTACCATTGGGCACGTCGATCACGGAAAGGTCCGTTTCACCTCCCCTCCAAAAATTGCCCCGCAATTTGTTTATACCCGGGAAATATCAACTTGTTTCTAACAATGGGGACATGTAATTACAGACTACTTTGACCGCTGCCATTACAAAGACTCTCTCTGCCAAAGGACAGGCAAACTTCCATGATTACGCTTCTATCGATAAGGCTCCCGAGGAGCGGGCCCGTGGTATCACCATTTCGGCCGCTCACATTGAATATGAAACTGATAACCGCCACTACTCCCACGTCGACTGCCCTGGACACGCTGATTACATTAAGAACATGATTACTGGTGCTGCCTCTATGGATGGTGCTATTATTGTTGTTGCTGCTTCCGATGGTCAAATGTTTGTAGCATTTTCCTTCACCCGGACCCCCATATATACATATTACCACTCATATCAGAAACATATACACTAACAAATAAACTCTTCCCACCCAGGCCCCAAACCCGTGAACATCTTCTCCTTGCCCGTCAGGTCGGTGTCCAGAGAATTGTCGTCTTCGTTAACAAGGTCGATGCCCTCGAGGACCCTGAGATGTTGGAACTTGTTGAAATGGAAATGCGCGAACTCTTGTCCAGCTACGGCTTTGACGGTGACGAAACGCCAATTATCATGGGATCTGCTCTCTGTGCTCTCGAAGGCCGCCGGCCGGAAATTGGTGAACAGAAGATTACCGAGCTCCTCCAGGCTGTCGATGACTACATTCCTACCCCGGTCCGTGACCTTGACCAGCCTTTCTTGATGCCTGTTGAAGGTACCGATCAACCCCCCCCAACCCGAGTTGTGAAACTCTGCTAACCTAACCCCCCCCCCCCCCTTTACTAGACGTTTTCTCCATCGCCGGACGTGGTACTGTCGCCACCGGACGTGTCGAGCGCGGAATGCTGAAGAAGGGTGACGAAGTCGAGCTCGTCGGCTTTGAGACCACCCCCATCAAGACCATCGTCACCGGCCTCGAAACTTTCAAGAAGGAACTGGACTCCGCCCAGGCCGGTGACAACGCCGGTCTCCTCCTCCGTGGTGTCAAGCGCGAGCAGATCCGCCGCGGAATGGTCGTCGTCAAGCCCGGCACCACAAAGGCAAAGAGCAAGTTCCTGGCCTCCCTCTACGTCCTCACCAAGGAGGAGGGCGGTCGCCACACCGGATTCCACGGAAACTACCGCCCCCAGATGTTTTTGAGAACCTCGGATATTGCCGTCACTATCGACTTCCCCGAGGGCACGGAGCAGGGCAAGATGGTCATGCCCGGTGACAACACTGAGGTCAAGTGTGAGCTCCACAAGCCCATGGCTTTGGACCCCGGTCAGCGATTCAACCTCCGTGAGGGTGGAAGGTGAGCTTATATACCCCTCCAGTCAATTCCGAGTAAAATGTATGAGTGGTTGCTAACAAAACCGACAGGACCGTCGCCACTGGTCTCATTACTCGGATTTTGGACTAAAGTGCCCAATTAGGGAGCATTGGAAACAAAAAAATCGAGAAAAAATTTGTATATTTAGAAATATGTTAGTTCTTTGAGCAAGAGAAAAAGAATCGACGGCTTGCATCGTGTTTTTATCCATATATGTACTTGAACTCTCCATTCCATTTGGATTTGTTTTTGCTCCCTTGTGGGGAGGAAGAGGGTGGGAGGAAGGGAGTGGGGGGAAAGGTTGATTGTACTGCCATCGATCTACTTTAGCTGTATGTATCTCTTTTTTGGCTTTCTTTTTTTTTCCCTGTACAAAATACAATCATTTGCCCATTGGATTATATATCCGCCCACATTTCATACCGGAGAAGAAGAAGTTAACCAGACTAGATGGAAGGTGAATATCTATTACATACATGTAATTGTCCCCCCCCCCCCCCTTTCCCCCCCTAAACCTAAAAGCAAGCTCAAGCTCAAGCACAGATGGTTCAAGATCGCTATTGTACATACAAAATTGCGGTGCACGCAACAAAGAAGAATATAAAAAAGCGTTTGGGGGGGGGGGGGATAAAAGATAAGATAAAATAAAAAAGCAGAAAGAAAGGAAAGGGAAAGAGAAAAGAGAAAAAGAAACCTTGACGCCTGTTGAGAAATATCCTGATTTTTTTTTCGAAAGAGAATCTATCCAGGGAAAGAGGTCCAGGGGTCTAGAAATTAAGATGCCGTTTTTTATGATTGATCAATCATCGATTTCCGTCATCAAGATGTACCTATAACATAACCCCAGTTAGCACACATCCACCCTCTACCCTGCCCCCAAAAACTCCCCAAAAAATCATTTCCAAAATCCAAAAAGAAAAGCGACTCACCCTTTATTCTCCACCACCCCCCGGCTCCTAATCACCGCCGTATACTTGACGACCCATAACGGCCTAACCTCCTTCTCCGCCCCCACAACCCCAAACTCCTCCAACAGGCTCTTCAACGTCTCCGCCGGCAGCACATCCGCACAGTCATTATGCGTCAACAACTCAATGCCGTTCTGCTTCGCATAGAGTATCAGCGGGCGCGGCACGACGCAGCAGTCGCGCACGTTGATCTGGTCCACGCTGGGCCGCACGGTCGTGTGCGGGAGGAACTGCTCGAGGCGCGAGGTGCCGAACTCGGCGAGGCCGATGCGCGCGATGGTGCCGGCGGCGTGCAGCGCCTCGACGGAGCGGTAGGTGTGCGCCCAGGAGAGGATATCGGCGGGCGGCGAGTGCTCGTCGTCGTCGGCGTCGAAGGTGATGTGCGGGAAGGAGATGATGAGGAGGGTGATGGTGGGGATGCCGAGGGCGGTGGTGACGAGGCGGATGGCGTCTTGCGTGTGTTGCGGCCGGGAGGCGGCGGGGGAGTGCGGGAGGTAGAATAGTTTTACTGGGGCGGGGGAGGGGTGTTAGATTTTTCTTCTTTCTTTGTCTTGTCCCCCGGGGGTGGTGGGGTAGTAAGGCTGCGAAGAAAAGAAAAAAACTTACCAGTAACATCATACTCCTCCCTATCCTCCACCAGCACCTCCGGCTCGTTGTTCGCCGCGGCGGGGATGTACATTATCCCGTCCTCGCCCACGCTCGTCCACTCCTCGACCTTGCGCCGCTGTGCGTGTGCGTGTGCGCCGTTGCCATTGCCGTTCTCAATCGGGGCGGGCTCGTCGGCGGATGAGACCGCTTTGAACTTCTCGCGCAGCGAATTGACGAGTTCGGTGTTTGAGCCGCCGACTGTCGGCCGCCGGATGACTTCGGCGCCGGCAGTCATGATGTTTCCGGTGGAGAGGATGCATGTCGTCACCATTTTTGCTGTGGGGTTTTGGTTTATGTTGGGGGACAGAGAGAGACGGGAGAGCGAGTGGACGGGAGTGGGAGTGGGAGTGAGTGAGTGAGTGAGCGGTGTGTCCGGTCAATTGGTACGGATGCGGGTGAGTGATGAGCGAGCGAGTGAGTGTGGAGGGGGAGGGGGAGGGGTAGTGAGTGATAGAAGATCAAGAGTAGCTAAAGTAGTGTAGTGGAATAAAGGGAAGGAAGGTGGAGAGAGGAATTAACCCTTTGATATTTATCTGAACGGGATACGTCACCTTATTATGGAATGGAATGGGATGGGCCACATGTTTGATCCGTCCACTTATCTTCTATCTCATCTCGTCTGCCATCCATTCCATCTCTCTGTGTGTCATCCCTCTGAAAATTTCAACCAGGGAGGGGTCGGAAGGGGGAATATTACTTTCTAGTTCTGTCTATCTACCGCTCGCTCGTGCAAAGAAAAAAAAAAATAAGAGAAAAACAGTCATGCAACTAAGAGAAATGATGTGATTAACAAAGGTTCCGTGACAATTGTAAGCATCTATTTGTAATCCGGTCTCCAACGTTCCCCCGCTGCAATTGTGTTACGATGGGGGGTGAACCCTTGCAATTGCCTGCTGCCTGTCGACTGTCTGCCGTGCAGCAGCCACATCTGCTCGATACATAGAGTAAGTAGATGTAGCCGGGTAACTGACATGATCCGGGGAGTCATGCTGCATTGGTGCTAAGGTGAACAATGGGCTGGGGAAGTAGTGACCTTGCAATTGTCTTTGTTTGCATGTTCCCCACAGCCAAGGAGAGTGCATTGTAGCATGTATGTATCATGTAGCCCTATTTACTTGCAACCCTGCTCGGAGAAGGATTAGAACGAGGAGGAGTTGGATGTCTGACTGCCCATTACCTTCCGAGCGTAGCCGCAGAGGCTCGATTTGATTACATACATTACACATCAATTAATCAATTAATCAATCCAACAGATAGGCACTTACCGGATGGTTTTGTTGTAGACAGTTGTAGATATCGTGAAACAAGACATAACGGCCCTAGCTACATAGGATCCTAAAACATTGTAACGCTTGATGCTCTGTACCTACAGTCGCTCACCTACTGACGGCGGATCCTGTCTGATGGTTCTGTTTGCAGTAATTTGCCCTTGGCGTCCAAAACCTAACTCTTTTATTGGCCTCAAATCCCTGACCGCCATCAGACAGGATCCGCCTTCACCCCGTGAGTGACTGTTAGAATCGTGAGGTGCGGCCGTTGGTTGCGTTACATCTTCCGCATTCGTAATACCGGCCCTGCATTCAGCCTCAGATCAATCAGATAAGATAACACTTCAACGTCAACCGCACCCACCAGCTGTCCCTCCGCAGCGTGTCTCATCCGAAGCTCCCAGCTCAAGTTCCAAACTCCACTCCACAATCCACAACCCCACAATGGCCATCCGGTAAGCCCTCTCTCACTCTCTCCACCCAGAAGCGTCTCTGACACAATGCAGCTACGTTATTCTTCTCTCGCGCCAAGGCAAAGTCGTGAGTTTCCCCCCCAATCCCTCTCTCCGCGGGGTAGATAGATAGATAGCTGGGAGCTATAAAACCGGATATTGATATAGAGAGTGATATAGCGCCTCTGCAAGTGGTTCACCACTCTCTCGCCGAAGGAGAAAGCCAAGATTACAAAAGAGATCTCCGCCCTCGTCCTCGCCCGCCGCACGCGCATGTGTAACTTCCTCGAATACAAAGGTTCATCTCCCGCCCCCGCCTCTCCCCTCCCTTCCTTCCCCACCCCTCCCCCACTACCCTCCCCTACTAACACCCCACCAGACTCCAAAGTCGTCTACCGGCGCTACGCCTCCCTCTTCTTCATCGCCGGCATCGACGCCACAGACAACGAGCTCATCACGCTAGAGATCGTGCACCGCTACGTCGAGCAGATGGACAAGTACTACGGCAACGTGTGCGAGCTGGACATCATCTTCAACTTCCAGAAGGCGTACTTCATCCTCGACGAGCTGCTGATCGCCGGGGAGCTGCAGGAGAGCTCGAAGAAGAATGTGCTGAGGTGTATTTCGCAGGAGGATGCGTTGGAGGACATGGAGGTGAGTTGATCCTGGGGGTGAAGGGGGAGGGGGGATTTGGGTGATGGCGGCTGACTGTGCGGGTAGTTGTCGTAATCTGGGGAATGTCTGCGATGATGGGCGGTGTAGGCGGGCGGTTAGGAGAGGTAGGGCGTAGAGGGGTGTAGAGGTGGACTTGAAGTGATTTGCAGCGGATATGTGGCGGAACGAATAGAAGCTATGGGGCCATAGGTAAACATAAATTAATGTGTGCACGTGGTAAAGGGAATATGTTTTTTTGCGCTTATTTTTCAAGCTTGTTGTATTTTTTTGTAGGTATTTAAAGCTTTGTAGCTAGGTAAGTAGTTAATGCCCAGCTTATGTTTTTTCTGTTTTTGCTTTTGAAAGAATTGATACTATGTAGTGGGGATATGATGCATTGTGACAATGCGGGAATGTCTGGAACGGTGGAGATGGGATAGAGAGTCTGCATATTCTCTTGATATAAGGTACATATAGATAATACCAGTGCCGTATGTATAGATAACAGCACCACTCCTCGGGAATTCAATGATAGGCATAGACAAACTGCGCAAAATGGTCAGAAATAATAAAAGCCTAGTACGTGATCGAACTAAGGGATCTATATCGCTCTATATCAGTTCAAGTTCATGAAATGAGCCTCATAGTTGTTAATTCTCGCAATGATTACCACAATCGGAAAGGCTGTGTTCTTTACCACCAGCCGTATAGTATATGAAAATAATCATCGTGGGCAATAGCTTTCCTCTAACTACCGCTAATAATCATAACAAGATCTATAATTAAGTCTTAGCTACTTTGCGTATACAATTAATGAATTATCAATCAGTCAATTAGTACTTTGCGTCATGGAATATCACTCGAAGAACTCGGCCGACATCCCTTGGAGTATCCGAGCTTCTTAACAATCATCCGGTGAATTTTATAGGGTAAGAAAAAGGTTTCATTTTATAAGTTGATCCTCTAAGCTAGTAATTTGAGGTTTTGTTCGTCGCTTAGGGATAGTATATTTCGAGTGATATTCCGTGACTATGGCTTTTCTGGTGCGCCCTGGCCGGGTTTGATTGGGAGGGGGTATATGCGCGAGCCCCTAATAATAATGGTAAAGATAAGACCTAAAGAGTAGGTACTCTGGTGTTCTCTCGTTCTCCCTCGTAGCCCGTAGTAGATTGGCTAGCATCAGCTAGAATATGGTATTGCGTAGATTCTCGTTATAGTGCTACTACGTATAATAGTAATAATAATTCGTTATACGGATACATACTTTCGGTTCCGAGCGTAACCTTACATCGGGAGTCAATTGTACAGGCCAGAGTTAAGACAATTGTAGTTGTATTCAACATCGAAATACGATGATCCCTTCCGCCCAGTTTGGCAGGTATATTCCGAATAAATAAAATAACTGTTCATCTTAAGTTTCTCGGCCTATGATTCCCCAGACTTGTAATATCCTGTCGCCTCCTTGTATCAAAATCCTTTCAGATGCTGTATCCATAGGCGAGGGGTTTCATCTGATGTTCTCCGGCGTGATATCAAGCTCGAGTCCGTCGGGCGAATAAAGTACCCACGGTCCAAAACGAGCTTCAGCAGCTGAATATTGACATCCCTGATATTATATCCCCCGTGAATTGTGACATTATGTCCGGATGAACAATCCCTGTTCATTGAGTTCCCCGACTTTCTATTTTTGTTTCCCTCCTTAGCGATAGTTAATTGACATTCCTATCGGATTAAGCGAAAGTCCTGCAGCTGTTACAATGCACTGCTGCGTTGTTGACCCTAGGCCTTGGAGAGTAATTTCAAAGAAGGGGTTGGGAAAGTTCATCCCCAGAGCTCAGCTACTCCATCTAGCCAGGCAGAGATGTAGTGATGGCCGGTAAATACGAGCTTTACCATTTTGAAAGGGCTACCACTGGATTCAGGGGCGCCAAGGAGCCGCTTACCCCTATTTGCCTTTAGCATCCTCCGAGGAGGTGCAAGGCATGCACAATTATTCGTTCAAGCCGCCGGGGAGGTTCGGAGATTTTGTATGTCGAAATACTTTGGCTTCTCTTCTTCGATGTGGCCGGGTGTGATTGATGGTTTGAAGGTTGGATAGGGATCGAACCAAAGCGGATGCTCCATACCCGTGAATTCATAGGAATCACCAATGAAGACAAGTGGCTATCCAGATCAGATAATTCGAAATCTGTTGCTTCCACCGCACCAGACGCACTAATCATAAATCCCTATTAAAACAGTCTCGGGCCGTTCCGGGTACAACGCGCAATGGTCTACATGAAGCTTAAGGTTTCCTAGACTTGGCCTGGGTTAGGGTTTCCACCGCTCAACCTCATGTCTAAATTCGTGCTGCCACCGCAATCATCAAGCTTCCAAGACCTTCACAAAAATGGCCAGCCCAATATTCTCCGACCATGAGGAGCCTTGTTTCACTGATCCCTTGGAATATGTCGATGAAGACTATTCAGACGTACTTACACACCTAGCCGCCCTCCGTGACGAAGCTTCGAAGGACGGCGATGTGGTGTTTGCTCTCCCTAATAATGTCAAAGTATGGGCTCATTCCCCTCTCTTCTACATTGCTGCTGGCGAGAGGCCTCCCGAAGAATTTGGCGATCCAAGACGTCTCGATCTCGGCACGGACATCATGGAAACTGCCAAAAACAACTTGGGCGTCGAATTGACTGTGCTTCATATCCCAGAGGAGAACCGGCCGAGCTTCGAAGAAGCGATGGGCCATACTTATACTCGGAAGAGCTTGAGAGGTCTATGGGAAGCTATGGGCTATGATTCTGTCGATCCTACTGGAAAGGGGCCTGATGCAGGCGTCCCACTAGACTCAACGCTGCCTGCATCGATGTTACCAGACTTTGAAATACATCTTAAAGCACCAGGAAACCGGCCCTCCTTTTGCGCCGTAAAGGTTCACAAGTTTCTTCTCGCCCGGAGGATCCCATATTATGAGACATTTTTTAATTCAAAATTTGGCGATGCGTCTGGAAATACCTCGACTATTTATACAGAGGATTTCACGCCGTTTTCTCTCTGGATCGCTGCGGGATATGTTTACCGGCAGGAACTGAAAGAACTGCTTAACCCGTGCCCAGGGTTCCGCAATTACATTACTCTCCATCTCAACAACCCTCACAAGGCCCAGAGCTGTAACAGTTGTGTCACTGATCGGACACTCCCCGATATTGAAATCGCGGACAAATTCGTAGACATAACTAGGGCTGCACGCTACCTCCAGTGTGTCACCCTTGAAAACTCTGCGCTCTACCTTCTCTCTGAGCTAGGGCACCGGTTCGAGTGCACCGGGAGGGGGTGCAGTATTTTTGTTCCTCATATCCTTGACGTTGTGGCCAAGAGTGATATTTCGGGCCAGAGGATTCTAGATAACGGTATCAGCCTACTCGCACTGCTTTCAAACATTACCCCGTTGTGGAAGCGGCCTCTCTTGAATTGTTCACCTTCCGTCCTAGAACTCCTGATCGCAAAAGTTGCAAGTAATAGTCAGAAGGAGGGTGAAGAGAGGCGGGCTATTCGGCTCTTTGAAACGATCTCCGATTTAAGACGTCACACCTTGGCATCCAAAAATGCCAAAGATTGGGACACAAAGCTGTTGGTACCGTTGATGGAGCACACGGTAGAGTTCATAGCAAAAGCTTTCGACAGCTTAGAAGTTACCACCGGTTTGATACGTGTGTTCCACCCTTACAACCTGTCAAAACCCGTCGGGGGGGAATTACTGAGTATGGTTATGAGCAATAAAACTCTCAGGGAAGAAACCTGCAGGCAGATATTTATTGGTATCATGGAGCTGGCCCAAAAACGGGGCACTGTACCTGAAGTTGAACAAGCTAAGAGGGATTGTATTGCTTGGTTCAAGCGAAAGTGGGTGACGCTTACTTTCAGTCCGGCCATAAGGACTCCAGTAAAGCCAACAAAAGCAAAAAGCTCACCACAAGAATATGCTATTTTCAAAGACAGAGAGCCAGACGACCAGGAGGATTCAACTGAGCCACCACGTACACCTACATCTACCCATTGGAGAGGGCCACCTCTTGCGTCGCCAGAGAGTGGGACGAAGAAAAAGCTATCAATAGATACGAGTGACGATGGGAATTTTTTCTCGGCATGGAGCGAGGAAGATCTTGCAAAATTAACAAGCGTGATCCCGGCCTCTATTGCCGACTTGGTAGCTAAGAGCCCTCAGAGTCCCGCGGTCGACGATAGATATAAACCAGTGAGGACACCGCGAGGCAATTCCAGTCCAAGACGGGGCGGGGTATCCCGTGGAAGAGGAGGTCATAGTAGAGGCTCGGCATCCGTTTCTAGGATAATCTTAAACCGGATCGATGCGAGGCCAAACAGGGAACAGCACTAAATACTTTCAAATTGATAATGGTGAGAATTATAACTAGATTGTGTATTTTTTATATATATTTTTTCTTGATAGGGTTCTTGTTCATGAATGATTGTATATGAAGGTTCGCGCTGAAAATGAACAGTGCCTGTAATCTAGAAATACACTGAACGGCTTGACGAACTAGAAAAATCTATTATAGGTCGATTTTATGGTCGAACCGTGTGCATAAGTACGGTTGCTAGAGCTCCCCGAAGCAAAGACGACCACCAAAAACAGCACTGAACACATTTTTGTGCTCACTCCTCGCATTTTAGTGTCCCCAATGTGCCAGGGATCCACAAGCCTATTCAGGCTGGGCTTGGGCGTAAAGTAGGCCCGAGTCGGCCTGGGCGGTATGAAGCCGGGCTTAGACCTCAGTTTGAGCCGAACGGAGGCCCTCCGTAGAGTATACAACGGTAAAACCTCACGGTTTCTCTACTTTGAATGATGATGATAGGTTGAGGACGCCCAGAAAGCTTCTAGAAGAGCAGCATGGACTAGATAGCTCCGGAGGATTTAGGACGTCAATGCTGTGCCTGCATAGCCCGCCTGGCCAAAGCTTGCGCTCGTCAGTCTGAGCTCAAAGCTCAATCCAGCTCGTAGATTGTTCGGTATGGCTGTACATAACCAATCTGCCGAGGATCACCGTTCCACGGGAGGAATAGAAAGAGGATTTCATCGCATGAGGTTAGTATTTAACTATTTAAGGAACTTGGAGCCACCTGCCATCGGCGGAGGGTTCTAGGCGGAGGATAGTTATGCTCAGGGTGCACTCGAGGCAGTTTGTATCAATTGTAAGTGCTCTGATCTCTATTGGCGCCGGCTCTTGAAGTATCAGTTTTTGACGCCGGTATTTGCAATACAAAATGCACTGCAGCTCATCAGGTTATAGTTTGTTCTCCTTATGTACGATCTAAGGGTTGATTATCTTTGTTGTGTTGCACATAGGAGCTTAAGGAGCTTGATGGGATTTGATATTAGGGTATGCACTCGTGCCAAGACTAGACGATGAAATGACTGGAGTTGTCGACTGTTACTAGCTAGGAGTTTTTTAAGGTTGACGGCACTCGGTGGTTGGCCTAGTGGAGCCAACTCCGGAATGATAACAGCACTGGTCAGTATGACAGTATCGAAGCTACAGAGGGGAGAATGAATAAATGGTATGAGTCCTCTTGAACCCTTTACGGCACATATGCATACAACTCGCTTTCAGTGTTTAGGATCTTTTGCTGCTACTCGGTTTCCCACACGATGAATTCGTCTTCGGACGTTGCGAACGAACTAGTCTCTGGAAGGGCACCCCAATCGTCCCACCAACATGTGTACTCTTGTTGTGGTACACAGACGATGACAACCAGCTTTGCGCCCTATATTTCTGAACCAGAGATGTGAATAGTTTGGAAGCTAGGCGTAAGTCCCCCAAAATCAATAATAAACCACACATATTGATATTTGCTTTTTATAAGCGTAGTGTCTCTTGACCTCAAGGAAAACTCGAGTCGGTTTCTAGATGTATCTCAATGCTTTCATGCGACTTCGAAGTCGTATATCACATTTGCCTTGAACGTATGAGGGTCGTGTATACGACGCTACTCAAAGCTAGGGGGTTAAGTGTTTCGGAGGCCTGTTCTTTCGCAACGAGGAGGAAAGTTCGTCGTTTGGGGACCCGGTGAGCGGCATTAGGTTTTCTGATATCTGGTTGAAAATGCCGTAGAAGTGTAATCAATGATTGATCAAACGTTATTTTCCCCTCTGAAAGAGGGTATTTATTTACACTCTTGATGTCAGCCTGAGTGACCTAGCTAGCCTAGTGACCGAGTGATCGATCGCGAGAACTGTCGAAATCTATCTCCCGTTGTCTCACTTCATTTCTACCGAGGACTCCACTTCTGCAATATTGTTTCGGACCAGCCAGGAGGCGATCGACAACTATAAAGTTGCTAAGGTAGAACCGAAGGATCTGTTGGCACAAGGGGGGGGGGGGTCAAATATATTGTTTACAAGGTATGTTTTGACTACTAAACCGACCTTTTCCTAGCTGACAATGCGGGTCAGATATCGTACAACATGAACGCAATATTATTTCAGCCGCTTATCAGCCGGGGAAGAAAAATATAATTATGGCACAGCATTCCGCTCGATATTTCTCCACGGCGGATAATCTTGGGGGAAACACAACAAACATCTAGGGACATAATTTACTTTTATTCCTATATGAAATGCGCTGTAAAAAATTTATTAGGGGCTGGGATCGAGTTTAGGAATGATGATATATATGTCATTTTATGGAGGTTATTGCAATGGAAGGTGTTGATGGATCGATACTTGCAGTTGGTATCACGGATTAGTTGTAACGTTGCAGCGCTCACCCAATAACGTCAATGATAGATGTCACATCTCATTGTAGAAAACCCCGAACTGGATATTTGTTGATATTGGGAGTCAGGATGCGAGAATATTTCGATGCTGAAAATTTCGAACGCCTCCGGTCAGTTTCCTTCCGGGGCCGGTCTCGGCCCAATGTCCGTGCCTCATCCTGTTTACTTCATCTCGCTCAAATCAATCCTAACCGCGCCTAAATTTAGATGGAAGAGATTGATAGATACATACATCATGTTACATGTATTCTCTGGTAGTAATCTGTACCTAATGAGTACGCGGTCACGTGCTACCGTGCGTGACAAGACCACACGCGACTTGGCTTGATTTTCAATAACCCGGCCGCCATGCCGCGCGTTATATAAGGTGGCAATAAGAAAAAAAATTATTAAAGGGATGAGGGATGGAGGGGCAAAACTTAGTGCCGTATGCACGAAATATTGAATACGTGAATCTGAGTGGCCGACGTAAGGGAAAAGAGATATTTGTTATTACCATTTGTTGTGGTTTTGTGGATCAAGACTCAAGAGGTCATAATATTATGATGTCTACTGCAAGTAAGACTGCATCAGGAAGCGCGCATCCTAAAACGCGGTGGAAACACGCTTGTGGGGGGTCGAAAGTCGCGTCTCCCTGGTTTATGAATTCAGGCTGGAAGAAATCAGACAAGGGAAGGGCTGTAAAATAACAAACACATCAAAACATCTAACTTCCTCATTGCGAATCACTCGATGTCATGTCAGTGCAACGGGGACAGCGAAGTCGAGCAAACACGGTAAAGCTTGGAGAAGAAATTGGCCATATCTAGGCTGAGACCGTGCTTTAAGATCTAATTAAACAGAATGAGAGTCTATAAATCGGGTCTCATATCAATGAAGGTTAGGCGACTGAAGGCACCCGTGGATCATGAAATTGCTCGTCTTGATTAAGACTAGTCACATCCAAATGGAGGATTTGGACATCCAGGCGTTCGGATGACAGGTGGAGGGGAGCAGACCGAGAGACAATTTTGGAGAATATCGGAGGCGGGTTACTACTGTGTCACAGTATTAGTGCATACTACCTACTCGCAGATTCTCGCTCGCAGTGACCGTTGCCGGCTGTCTAGTCTTTGAACGTGTTGTTTGTTTTGGTTAGGTTTGTGTAGGTATTTATGTATGGGCCTCTTCCCTGCCACCCCCTCCCCGAGTTCGATGTAAATAAATCCCAGGCCCCTCCCGCGGGCGTTTATCTGTTTACCTCGCTTCTGATCTTCTTCTACTTCTCTTCTTCCCCTCCTTCCACTACCACTGTTTTGCCTAGTACTTGCTGTTATCATTTTTGTTTACAAACAAAAAACTAAAATCGTTTCTCCCTTCATTCTATCAACGGAGAGACTTTTTCTAATACATTTATGATTGACGACACAATTGTCTGAGTTTACATTTTAATTCGTGAGCCATTCCAATGACATAATTTCGTGATTTTTTGTTTTTTATTTGTCACGCATACCTATCATATATATACTAATGTTTCGAAAGCAGTACCCCCTTACCTTTACCACACTACCTTCGAGTACTCCAGCAGCAACAATCATGCAGGACCCACTCCAACCCGCTCGCCGTGGCCCATCGCGTCGCACCCGTCCATCACTAGCATCAATGCCTGATAGTGGCTTTCAACCTTCAAGACCACAAACACAAGACAACTCTCGAAACAGTACATTCCCACGCTCATTTTCATTATTTCGAAATAACAATGTTCTTGAGGAACACCCACCAGAGGCGGACACATTCAATTTGGGTGTCACGTCGCAATTACTCGAATCGCCAACAAGAGATCCAGAAACAACAATACGGGGTTCTCGAAGTCATACAATGAGGAGCATGCGCTCCTTTCGTTTTCCATTAGGGGGCGGCGGAAGTGTTAAGAGCACTAGTGGATCACAATCATTATCGCCTAACTCAATATCAAGAAGTCAAACAATCAGCTCGGCTTGGAGTGGAATGAGCAATCGATTATTTACAGATTCTGCGGTGGGAACAGTAAGCGACAAACCAACAACAGACGAACTCTTCTCGTCGCAATTTAACAAACTTGCGAGAAAACATGGCATTCAATCATTTCCCGACAACTACAAGACTGAGCCTGCCGGTTCAGTATCGGTATCGAGTGCGTCGAATGCTAACAACAGCTCTGGAGACTCAACGCCAATTATGCATGGAAACCGACTTTGGAATAAGTTGCTCGGTAGAACACCATCATCGATCGATATTTCAAAAAGTTATGGGAACATGAAGTTGTCTTTGGGGCGCAGGAGGGGCAGCAGCATTGGTGATCTTGCAGCGATTGGACGGGGGAAGCGGGATTCGTTGAAGGGTATGCATTTGGAGGATATGATCCGATTGGGCGGCGTTTCGCCGTTTACATTACCCGAGGGACTGTCGCCTGGCGATCTTTTGATTCCAACGTGCATGCATGCTTCTGCATCTTACATATTGACCCATGGTCAGTTCTCCAGTACAATAAGGTTTCTGCAAGGGGTCTCTAACGCGTAGTAAAGGCCTCAAAACTCCTGGATTATTTCGAGTTGCTGGTAACCTCAATACCACTTATTCGCTCTATGACTACTACCAAAGACAGTTCGAAGAGAACAATAACGAAGCGGTTGTTCAGACAATAGCTCTTGCCAAACTCCCTACCAGCATCAAGTTTCACGTCCATGATGTCGCTCATCTCTTTAAGAAGCTCCTCCACGGACTTCCTGGTGGACTTCTTGGCTCTCCTGCAGTTTTCCAGGCATTGTACAACGTTCACTCGTTTGTCTACCCTGACCCATCACTCGGGGAACAGATGTCTCGGAAAGTAAAGCCTCGCATGATTGCTCTAGCTATCGCCTCTATCAATCTTCACTTTAGGATCGCCCTAATCTGTGCCGTCTTTGGTCTTTTGAGAGCTGTTAGCCTTGCTTCAGAGCAAGAGCAAGAATCCAAGATGAAGGACCCTCACAATCTTTTCGAGGCAATGAAGGAGGATGCGCTAGGGATAATCTTTGGACCTCTACTCTTAGGTGATAAGTCAGAGCAGATTTTATTGCAGGAGATGGACGACAGGGGTGGTTTACTTGTACTACCAAAGATCTCACCTGTGCCAGATATCAGCTCAAAGCGCGGAAGGTACTCTCACCGACACAGCAGTGCTTATAACAAGATGCAAAACGAAAAGACAAAGCGCGCTGCTGTGGTGTGTGATATGCTTATCAATAACTGGGAAGAGATATCTTACCAGCTGAAGAAGATCGATGCTTTGAATATTACTGCCCAAGCCTATGATCTCCCTTCGCTTAAGCAAGAACTTCCAGAAGAAAACCAAGAGGAAAGGTTACTGTCACAATCTATACGGGCGACGAAAACAGCATCTATGCGTAGCCGTCGGGGTGTTAGCACAATTCGTAGCAGAGTTGCCTCCGATGACGAGTCCATCCTACCCTTTCAAGGTCTTAACCCACCGTCATTCCACAAGCCACCGCCGCAAATTGGAGATCTTATGCAATTCTCCACTCATGACACCCTTAAGGAGGATGACGAAACTCCATATCTTAGCGCACCACCATATCTGTCAATGCCAATGAGTACAGTTCCTGAGGCACCCTCTCCAAACAGATCACCTACCAGATCTATAGGCGCCAAGTCTACTCCTGGGTCGCCAAACTGGATTGCTCACAATCCTGAGACACCCATACACACACCTAGCCGCAGACCCAATTTCAGTGTAAAGCCCTCCCAGCTCAGACAAGTAGCAGATTACGATCCAGCAACACCGAGCTCAGCATCTAGCTCATCAAACAGCTCAGGTGCCTCTTCACCAGGGCTTGAGGTTGCTGCTCAAGCTGCCACAAGACTCCAACGTGCATTCCTCGGTGGTCAAACAAGGATGGGAAGCGATAACACCATCATTGCATCCGAAATGCTACCGGAAAAACCACGTGTGCCTTCAGAAACTCCGACTGAGATTCCGGACTTTGAGTTCACTCCTACGAACTTTAGAGACTTTGACCTTGGGGAGTTCTCTCTTAGCCCAGACCCAGAGACAACTCCAAAGCCTTTGAACATCAAGAACAAGATACCAAAGACAAGAACTATACCTGCGTTCTCGATCTTCGAAGACAAGACCAAATGCAAGTCGCCTGTCCTTGCGAGCCCCATGCTCACCTTGACAAGACCCAACGCAAGGTCTGAGGTCAAGCTTACCCACAAGGCCACAAAGTCTATGTCGAAAGTTCCTATGCGTCCACCAACACGTCGCAACCCATCGGAATCCCCATCACGCCCTACCACTGCTCCTCTTCAACCCGCAACACCGAACCTTCACCTTCGAGGTATCTCAATCGACAGTGATGTTGATGATCGGTACGTCTGGAGAGAAGATCATACCGAGGCACCTTCTCCAACCAAAAAGCGTGGTAACTCTGCGCTTCATATCGAGATTCGAAGGTTGCAACGACTTTTGGATGTAAAGACCGAGGAAGCTGCGCAGGCAAAGAAGGACTTGGAATTGGCACAGAATGTTGCCAACGCCGGTGCTCTGAGCCATATGTTGAGGGAGGCCCAAGAGGAAGTGAAAGTCTGGAAGAATCGTGCAGAGTGGGCTGAGAAACAACTGAGAGCAAAAGGCATTATGGAGAGCAGAAGGGGCGTAGAAGGTCCTCGTGCTATGGGTGTACCAAAGAACCCGCCCATGAGATACAGCTTGGGCTAAGTTGCATCTGGGGTTGACCCTGACTGTGAATAAAGCCCACCATCCCTAGTGCTGAGCTAGGTTTGTACAGATCATCATCTTATGGCTTGTAAGAAAGTCGTACAAAAAAAAAGACTTGTTTTTTTGGCGTTTGCTTTGCGTTTGCGTTTGCATTTGCATTTTCGTTTTATATTATTTTTTCCCCTTATTTCCTATTCCCTTAAATATTCCTATTTTTGTTTATTTCTTCATTATTATTATTGCGTCTGAGCGGTTTTCCATTTTTTCATTTTCATTTTTTGTTCATTTCTCATATGGATGGATTAGGGTTTTGTTTATTTTCCCATAGGGGCCGTGTCGATGGATGATTACGTTTTCCCTTTCTCACGAGTGAATGACGCATGGACTTGGTGTCTATTTTTTGTCGCATTGCATCGTTTCCTTTTTCCTTTTTCCTTGATTCCTTTGATTATTTCATCATTTGACTTTTTTTCTGGCGGGAGGTGCACGGTTTGGGCGGGCTCTTACGATTCTCCTTTTCTTATGATCCTCCTTGTGGATATTTATACTTTTCAGCGAGAATTGCATATATTCTTATGGGTCGGCATCTATATTGGGCAATCCACCAACCAAATTTTGGAAATCGCTTTTGTACTTGACGTGTTGTGTTGTGGTCTGCCAAACTGAGTGAGCATCATGAATCATCAGATCTCACTCGCCATCCGAATCACTCGATGTGTCGCCGTTTCATTGTTGCAGTCTCTAGACTCAACCACATTTTTTTTGTTTCGAATTTGTTTACCTTGTTTATTTTCGTTTGGTATACCATTTATTAATTAGCATGCAGCCAGGAGTTTTATGGTAGTTAATACGCAGTCTCTACAGATATAAGATAGTAATACACATTCTCTACGATAGTTAGTTATTTAGTTAATAAACAGTCTCTACATACAATATACAAAGTGTCTGGTATAGTTCCTATTGTATTACTTGAGACGAGTGGATCCGCCAATTGGATCCGTCAATTGGATTCGGTCTAGAATTGTTTGGCAACACTAGTGCTTTACCCGACATATGTCTAATACAGGAGAAGCTGATATATAGGTTCTATTTCGTCTCTAAATTGTTTTTGGCTGCTGTGGGCGCGGAGGGCTGCGTTGTATGAGGCTATGTTCGATCCTACAAGATTACTGATGATGTGGGTGATAGTGAATTCTGTTACACCACATGTGGTTCGCTACAAGTTTGTCGCAGATAGCTATTCCAAAACTCAGCCTACTACTATACCACTGAGTGTCCAGGCATACAAAGGCACTTTTCGCCCAATACATGATAGCCCAATACATCAGATTGACCAGAGGGTGCATTTATCAACAGCTGAAATGGTGTTTTATCGGATTTTGGAAATCTGACCGAGCAGATCGGAACATCGCCGCATCAAATAAAGGAAAGGGTTACAAAAGTTTTCTATACATGTACTGAGGTAGTTAATCGTACTTAGGGAATTGGTACTAAATATCGAACTTCTTGACCAATTGGGCTGAAGGAACGTCACCAGATCTGGATTGGGCACATACTAATTACAGGCTCAACAACGAGGCTGCTGACTGTAAAATTACGCAGAGGGCCAAATGCGCAATGCACACTGGCCCCGATCAGTGATTGGATGATCTCTGCATATGTTTTCTTCCCGTTTCCACCATTAGAGTTTACAATTTAAGTTACAAGACGTAGGTTTGTTAGCGGTAGTACTTTACCTTGGCCGTGTTTGTGAATTTAATCCCACGGGCTAGTGGACCAACCATATTTATATGCATTTTCGTAGAGGTACATGCATATGTTGTAGGTAATCTTTGAGCAAGACAAGGAACCAACCAGTCTACATAAAACCCCGCTGAATCCCCCGCACTTTGTAGAGAACTACATAGCTCCCTCGACCTAGTCTCCAGACGTCAATTCGAAGCTTAGGTCTTTAGGTAAACACACCTGCCGTAATTGTGCAATCAGCTTATCTGATAGCTCCCACTGGATAGCTGTGAGAAGCCCTCTAATCCTTTCATCCTTTATATCTGTTACTTCTCTATGGACCTACCCCCGCCCCGCAAACTTCTCGACTCTCGCTGCCAGTTTTGAGCTTACTTTGGATATCAGAACACGTCCAACGGTTCTCATAATTCGACTCGGTAACTCGGCTACGGATAACCACCTTCGAGCTCAATTCATTGCAACAGCAATCACCTCAGGGCTGACAGGTTAATATTACTCTTCTCAAGATCTACTCTGGAGGGACTTGGAGAAAGCTGATTATAATCTTACATCAGTATAAGTACGACAAACTATTATCGTCACTCGTCGTCAGCCTCCATCTCTGCACTCTTGCTCGAGTTGCACTTTATGCCTTCCACGATACATAGAAATCCACGAAATATATCGGCATCGCGCCGCTCTGGATCCATACGAAAGCAAGTTCGAAGGAAACGACAGAGAATAAGTGAAGTGCAAAAGTCGGTCGCTGTTGAGCTGCAAAAGAGTACTTTCAGATACCGAGCCCAGCTGAGAAACAAGGCAAGAGAAACAATTGGCACTTTCTGAATAATCACCCAAAGCAAAATCTTGAATCAAGTGGGACGAGAGAGACGTAGAAAGCTTTCCTCATCCCTCCTGAGAAAACTTAATACAGTAAGGCAGCTGAAGAAAAAGAACAAAAGAAATACGATATTATTTTTTTTGAGATCGAAGAGCAATTGACCAAGGCCTATCTGTGACTTTACACGAAATAAAAAGAGAACTTGGTCAGGATTTCGAATGGGTAGAACAAGAGTACGGTGCACAACAGAAATGTCAGAGACAGTGGAGAGGTGGAAGGGAAAGGACAGAGTGTCAAAAGAGCTGCGACTTTTGGAGCCAAAGAACACTAGTTTCAGACGCTCAGTCGCGAGTGGCTTATTCACCGGAGAAGTAAGGTTCTGGCTACTTCCTAGCCTAATGATGCGTGAAGGATACGATATAAGTTTACTGCCGGCAGCCATTACTAGTAAAATGTGCGACGGTAGAAGCTGGAGGGGTGAAGGCAAAGGATTTCCAGGGGAAGTAGGTGTTCATCTCCCAAGACCCAACGAAAGGCTTCAAGATCTAAACCCACGGTGGCATGGATAGTTGTGTACTTTTGGAAACCACAGGGTGGCAGTTCGTGTATTGGGGCTGGAGGTGGGGAGTAGTGCTGGCGGTATAGCCAACATTATAGCTATATCATCCTTCGCGGTCACCGACCACAGCAAATACCAGTCTTTCTTAAACACCCTACGAAATCGTCCCGATGTATTAAGGACAGCAATCTCCCATTGCAAGGAATCCTATGAGGATAACCGTGCAGCGCAACACGTCAACAATCAGGAAACCCCCTTTGTCTATCGAGCAATGCGTGACGATGAGGACTCCAAGATGCTGATCAAAGGGGGGTATGGTTATCAGAGATGCAACAAAGAGTATATGGTTTAAAATATATCATATACTTGCATATACGGTGGCTATGTATCATTTGAGAAACTGTTTTCTATCTTTTGGACCCCCTCATATTTTTTTTGTTTAGAAGATTTGAACAGTAATATCAATCGAGCCCCTTTTTACTGATGTATTCTGCTTAACAGATACTGCTGGTCTGGTTCTCAAAGTTTCTTCATGCATGTTAGTTCATGTTGTTCCTTTTGAGACGATTTTTAAGCTCTAGATTCGATACTACATGTTCTACGAGAATTCTATTATTGGACATAAAGAAGTTGATTTAGTCGGGGAAACTAACGCTTGTCAGAATTACATGTATGTATCGAGGAGTTATGAGGTTTCAATATATTTCCTGTTTCACATGACATGGTACGTCCATGTAAGCATAGTTTTTCTTGAAAAATAGCCCCACCCTAATAAAACATACCCATAACACCACGTTCATTCAAAAAATAAGCTCGGGCTATCTGAGTCGGAGACGTGGCCAAAGCCTTACCATGACACATGAATGTATACAGGTACCCAGAACTACCAGGCCTTCTTGTACCATCGCAAGGAGCGCCAACCACATTGAGCACATGTTTTACCAAAACTAGCTAGTATATACATGCAGTCAGGGCCTTATAGAGTAATTGCACACCAAGGGACTACCATCTAGAGCAAGCGCACAACCTATCCTTATCCCTCAGCTCTAGGCAGTCGTCATGATCTACCCCGGCCAGTTAGCTATCCCTCAGTTTGATCTACCGCCATGAAACCCTTATCATGAGTACTTCCCACCATATGTGCGAAGACCTAAGACCGCCACCTGGCAAGCTGTCTATGATAAATATAGCTACTACTAGCCAATGGAGGATTAGAGAGGGTGTGGAGAAGGCGTCGTAGCCAAGAGTATGTCAGTTACTCGGCGGTCTACGGTTACGTTTGGCAAGGTTATCTCGATAAGACTCACTAAGTTGTGTGCTTTCTTGATCACAGGAAGGAGGATTGATAGAGGATAGCTATATCTCGATGGTAAGGCGAAAAAACATAGCGCTAGATTTCCTTTGTAGCTCGATCAGTATAGTTTACCATAAAGGGAGCCCCAGCCCCACCAGCAGATAACTTGAGGCTAAGGAAGCAGATGACTATAATGCAGATTAATAGGCATCAAGGTGGTTGAAACTAACTAGGAAGCGCGTAGGATACATAAGTATTATACAGTCAGGATTGTGTTACTAGGTGAGTGATATTTCATGATGCTGTTTTCTGCGGCCTCCTAACCAGAACTTTTGGCTATCAATCCTGATACTAGTACGAAGTGAAGGATAGTCTGTATAGAGATAACTAGACCCTTACAATGATTTTCCTTAGGGTGTTAGGATACGTACGTACACTACAAAATTGATAGTATAATACGAATATCTTCACATCCAAATTGGTATGACTCTACAAATGATATCCCAATGCACCCACCAGGGTTTTTAAATTACTAATCACTTTGTTCTCGAAGGTTTCACTACATAATTGATGGTGGGACCAGTTCAGAAAGAGAGAATGCAAAAATTGATTACATACAAAAAGCCACATCCTGATATAAAAGAAAAAGCCCCCAGAAAGCAAACTAACTATAGCTATAGGAGTGTTGCTAAAAAGAAATTCCGTCAATTGCATGCCATAATTAACGTACCCATAAAACCCAACCTGTCCTATTATTTCTCAAGACCCGTCACCAGTGACTTACCAAGCCACAAGGTTGTCAAAAGAACCACCCACCTGAACAACATACCCTTCATATCAGCTGCCCCAAAACCCAACACTCTCCACCAAAGTGGCACCGACTTCCCATCCCAGTTCCTACTATAAGGAGATTTTGGGTCCCCAAGCATTGATTTGATCATCTTGAGACTTTCCGGCGTGTACGGCGAGTATCTTAGCCGCAGCTGCTTCTCGATCCACATGGGCTGCGACAACACAGGGCGTTTGTGCACAAACGATTCGAAGGTATCACGGCCGCGGTACTTACCGTGGCCGGACTCGCCGACACCGCCGAAGGGGACGTCTGTCATAGAAGCATGAAGCATCACGCTAGTATTGTTAGTTTTAATGTTTTTGACTAGAGTCAGTATTCAATTATATTAGGACTTACTCGTTGATTGAAACGCCGCCAGATTTCATGCCACGCATTACTAATACGGGTCAGCTCTCTCCCTCTCGACTCAGAAACTCTGACTAAAGCTGGGCACTTACATTTCTCTTGCTCTTCTTTCTCTGATGAAAAAACATACATCGCCAGCGGCGTCTCCCCAGCGCCTCTGGCGATACTGAGCATCTCGTCGACATTATCGACTACCAACATTGCCAGTACCGGCCCAAAGATCTCCTCATTCATCAGCGCATCCCCCACATCATTCACCTTGACCAATGTCGGCTCAATAAACCTCGTACGTTCGTCTACCCCCCCACCGCACAGGATGGTCCCCTTGGTAGTCTGAAGCAGCCCTTTGACGCGCTCAAACGAGCGCCCATCAATAATACTCGCCATGTCTGGCGTCCCCTTAGCGCCATTGGGAAGATACGTAGAGAGAGCCTGGATAAAGCCCTGAACAAACGCCTGCTCCTGCGACGGATGCACGAGGACATAGTTGGGCGCTATGCAGATCTGTCCGGCGTTGTGGAGCTTGCCCCAGGCTGTGCGTTTGGCAGCAATGGCTGCGTTGGCACTGGCAGTCACGAATACGGGGTTGAGACCTCCGCTATATAAAGATCAGTTACTGCGCTTTAAAATACTTGCCGGAATTTTGTTGTGTCGAGCTCTACCTATTCCTCTCCATTGAGGCCAAAGTTCAGGCCGCTGTAAAGCTAGCCCCAATGGAGAAGGATAGGTAGAGCTTGACACAACAAAAATCCCGGCAAGTGCTCTACATTAATCTACTGGGACTGGGAGGGGCAGCTTACAGCTCCAGTAGCACGGGAGTAAGGTTCTTTGCGGCCGCAGCGGCGACAATGCGGCCAACACGGGTACTCCCAGTGTATACGATCTTGTCCCACTTGAGGTCAAGTAGCTGCGTGGTCTCTGGAATACCGCCGTTGACGACGGCGTATGCGCTAGGATCAAGGGCCTCGATAATGCGAGTTACAACCGCAGAGGTGTTGGGGGTAAGCTCGCTAGGCTTGACGACGGCAGTGTTGCCACCGGCGATGGCTCCAATGAGAGGATGCAGAACGAGCTGGGCTGGGAAGTTTGAGGGTCTATGCGTATCTGTATTAGCTTCTATACTAGTGTGGATATAACAGGCCATAATGTAAGAAAGTGGTATATGTGTATTTTGAAACGTAGATATTAGCATTGACAGATAGTTAAGTGGTAATGATCGGAGGACGGGAAAAAGTAGTTCTGGTTCTTGGGGAGCTTTGAGGACTGGTTTGACAGAGATCTCGCGAGAATATTAGAGGCTTCTAACAGCATGGATCGGACAGGAGCTCGAGCAATTGAGAAAAGAGGACCCATCCTCTGTTCGAGTTCTATCCAACCCATGCTCCAAAAAAGCCCCCACTCCCGCCCTCGCAATCTCATTAAGAGAGATATAATCATACCCAATAATCAACACGACCCCCAACGGCTCACTCCTCATCTTAGGCTTATTAAACAAACTCGTCGTCATCGGTACACCCTTGATCGGCTGATCCTTCGCCCACTCCCTCAGATTCTTCATCATGCCGAGTACCACCGTCTCGAGCCAGTTGATCTCTGTCAGATAGACTTCATGATAAGGCTTCCTGAAGTCTGCATGCAGCGCATCGGCCAGGAGCTGCTCATTGTCCTTGATAGCCCAATAGAGCTTGTTTAGCTGCTCGAGACGGTACTCCAGTGGGTATGTTTTGAGCATGGAGAAGGTGCTGTGCAGGCGGTTATGGAGAGGAGGGATCGTGGCAACAGGTGTTTCGACGAACATTGGCATTTGGGAAGCCATTATTAGGGTATTTAGATGGGTAATTTGAATGTAGATATCGACAGTAGTGATTGGTATGAGAACTGATCTGATAGTGAAGGTGGGTAGGGGGTAGAGTAGCGACCACGTCTTCTCTTTCAGCTTTCTTCTTCCTTTATATACATGTAACAAAGTCACTTTTAGCTTAAGGTGCTACTCTCGGAGGGGTCCCGTGATGTGCGGGGAGACAACCTACCGTCGGTGGCTCTAGAGTGGCCGCGCGGAGGAACTAAGGACGTTGATTCGCCTATCCGCCTAGAGCACGGTGTTGATTATTTTACACTTGCAAGAGGAATCGGAGTAAGGTTGGGCTGCTTTCCCCCGAGCCCTTCGGTAGTGGGGGCTTGGCATCTGTTAATTAAGAAACATGCTGCAAGGAGTTAGTGATGTGGTGACGGACTTTGGCTACTTTCTACTATTCCTGCCCTTACTAAGATTCCACTGCACGCCGATTACGATTACGGAGTAGGGATTTATATTGTTTAAGTAAGAAGCGCTTGCTTATAGAGAAGGATGTATCCATGTATGCGTATTGCATAAACACTCCCATCGCTGTGATATGTGAATAATCTACAGAGCTAGAGTACTTGATGTAGAAGCTGCGCTTCACATGTTTTTGCTATGCATTCTCCACGTGACACCAACAAATTTCTAGTAATGATAATGCACAGTATGAACCTCGGCCCACATCATCACCCCAGTCTCCAGCAACGTAACCCTCCAAAACACCAAAAACCCAACCCATCATGGTCCAGATAACGCTCCCCGCGCACCTCACGGCTGCCATAAGCCTCTACAACAGCCTCCCAACCACTACAGATCCCATAAACACTACCACACCCTCCATAGACCACCACACCATCCACCGCATCTCGAGAGCCCTCACACGCGCCCACAATGTCGACACCTATAGGTTCAGCGCCCTCCTAAAGGGCTGCTCAGTCTACACACTTCCAAAGCCGCCGAAACCAGTACCTGTAGGTTACGCCACGTCGCTGTTTTGTCTTACTTTCCTTTTTCTTTCTAGGGAGAAACAACACATCACATTTCCATGCTGACACACATAGACTCCCGAATACACAGCGCTCATGGGGCGCCTGCGCGCCGAAGAGGAAGCTCGCGCCTACGCGGCATTGACTCGACAGCCGCACACCAGTGCCGACGACGAAGACGGGGAGTATACGATCAATGACCTGAAGTCGCACCTAAGCATTATCGCCAACATCCTACTATCCGTCGTGGCGACGTCCGTGGCAGTGTGGATGGTTGCCAATAGCTGGGATGTACCCGAAAGACTGGCGCTCGCGATGACTTGTTCGCTGGTTGTTGCGATTGCAGAGGTTGTTGTGTTTGGTGGGTATGTGAGGAGAATTGAAGAGAGTCGAAGTGAAGAGAAGAAGAGATGTGAGGTGAAAGAGGTTGTGAAGAGCTGGGAGATCAAGGAAGGTGTGGTTGATAGGGGGATAAGTGAGGTAGGTGCGATAATGGGCTTAGGGGGGAAGAAGGGCAGCGTGGTGACTACGGGGAAAGATAAAGTGGGTAAGCAGGGAGTGAGAAAGAGAAAAGGTTAGAGTTTTTGTCTTTTCAACAGTTATATGTACCTAGGTACCTATATGTACCCTAGAAATGATAAATATAAAGAGTTCCCCGATGGGGCAATCAATAACTTCATTTAGAGTTCCTTATCTAGATGCATATATGTACCCATACTCTTAATCCTCAGCGTGCAACCCCTCCTCCAGCCCGTTCCCTCTCACTTCGCCCGTTTCACCCACCACTCCATCATCGAACCGAGTGATATTCTATGACTGCATGCTACACCAACCCCACCCACCGAGTGAGCATAAATGATTCACCATAGCCCCCTGACCCACTCGCCTAAATAAACAACACATGCATGCACTGCCACAAAGCTTAAGAGCACTAACGAAGTAACATATTGAGAGATAGCACTTCGCTTTGGAAAAGAAAAAAAAAGGCTGCATAGCCTCCTCGTTGAGAACCACGCATGTATCAGATCATAAAGCGGTGGCATAATAAGAAGGCAGAAAGGAAAAGAAAGGAAAGTTCCTGTACAGCGAGAGTCTCATCGATGTGACGGTCCTATCTAAACGTGCAGGCGCGGTTCGATGTATCCCAAAGGAAACAACCCCGCCCACAGTACGTACATATGGGTGTCAATCTGGTCCGGCAATGCAATAAGGCTCCAATTGATGGGGTAAATAGCTAAAAAATTAATTCTAGGGTTCTTTAGGAATTTATCGGTTGTGTGGTTCTTCGGAATAAGGATTTAGCTATGTAGACGGTTTTACCTATGTAGTTTACGCTTACCACACCGCTAACACTACACCCAAGATATACATGTATGTAGCAACTAAAAAAAGGCAGCAAACAAAGCCAGCTAACCTATCTTCAAAAGGTAATAAGAATTGCCCGATCGCGGGAGGACTCGAACCCCCAATCTCTGGTGATATTCATAACCGAAAACCAGCGCCTTAACCATTAGGCCACGCAACCCAGGATGTATGGCGGTTGCAATAAATATTATATGAACAAATTTGAAAACAAGTTGAATGAAGCACCAAGGCTGCACCCACTCCACTGCACAACTACATGTACTGTAGGCATAGTAAATTTATCATTCTCACATTATATCCAGTATATCCAATTCCCAGCCCTCATCATCATCCTCGTCGTGATTTATACAACAGCCGCCATGCAAACGTAAAACAGATAGAGGAAAAAGAAAAAGGGCTATTTTTTTCTCCATCAAAAAAGCAAAAAAAAGCAGAAGCAAAAAGATTGATAGCACAAAAATGACAAAGGAAATTAATAAAAAAATAGGTCCTGTTATTTTCTTTCTTTCCAGAGTGTAGGTCAAGATAAAAAAAAATAAGGCCTAGAATAGAAATTACAGCGACAGCCGTAAGAGAAGGCTCCGCGTGCTCGACACGATACACCCAGCAAAGGGAATTGAAAATGAGGGGGAAAAGAGAAAAAGAAAAAAGAGAAACAGTTCCAATTTCAGCTCCAACTTGTGCAATAAAAAAGAAATACATTTGGATTTTTTTTCTTTTTTCAACGATTTGCAATTTAGCTCTTGTCTGTGAACATTCCCACGCTCAATACCTGATAACACCGTAGTAGCAATGAAAAAAAAAAACGAAATTCATGGCTCATAAGCCTGTTCAATACTGCTCCCCCAGCACAAAATCCGCTGTGTGTAGAAGTTGAAACGCAAAGACGTAGTAATCGCAGGAAAATAAAAGAGAGGACGCATGAATGCGATAGAGAAAAACAACCAATACATTCAGGGTAAAACCCATATGTGCCAGCCAGGTCCAGGTTGCTCGTAATATGGAATCACACAAAATAACAAAGAACATCTCAGATGATTAAGAGATAGATCCCACTAGAGTCCTAAATGATCCATTTACTGGATTTTGCCGAAGTTACCACTGCCGTTTAGCAGGGCGGCAGATCGCCTTGCTAATGCCACGACCTCGCCTTCACCGTCTTCACCCTCATCATCCGAATCGATGTTTTTCTCACCAATATTTTTGATCATAGTGACAATTTCCGTCGACTGACTGATTAGATCCTTGAGTCGTGGATCGTCAGCCTCTAGTAATTGCAATAGTGTCCAAATGGCGATGTGCTGAAATGTTGGATCTCCACTGGCAAGGAACCTCTTTAGGTAACCATGAATACCACCCTCGGGCTCCAACCAGTCCTGTACGAACATTGAGTAATCACCCACTGATAGTTAAGTTAGCATATAATTATAGATATGGAGGAGAAAAAAATTCGCCTTACCTTTCGAGGATAAGTTTCCCAACGCGGCCGCACTATTCCCTTGAACCTCAATACTCTCTGAGGCTGTCAAGGGAATGAGGACATCAAATACGCCTAAGTTCAAAAGATGTGACTTTAGGTCATCACTCAAAGCCAGCACAGCGATAGCTGCCGTCATTTCCGATTGAACGCTTAGTGGAACATCCAAAACAAGCTGTTTACATTTTTGCACAGCGCCAGCCTCTAATACCAACTCTTTGTTCTTGTCAGAACTTGCGGCCAAGTTTCGTAGAGTTGATATAGCATGACACTGTATCTCCTCGTTATCTGTTGACCCTAGCAAGTCGATCAGTGGTTTGAGGAAGCCGGCTTCAATAATTGGTGATTCGTTCAGAGGGTGTATCGAAATATTCCGGATACAAGCCACGGCAGATAGTATGAGCGGTAGAAATGACGATTGAAGAAGGCGGAGTAGAGGTGGTAGGCCCTTTGCACGGACTATGTCCAATTGATACTTTTCGTCAGATGCTAGGTTTCTAAGTGCTAATGCGGCCTGGCATTGGACTTTCGGGCTTGATGAATCCATTAGATGAACAAGAGAGAAGACAAGCTTAGGTTCCGTTTGCGCAAGCTTTTTTCGGTTTGCTTGGTCAACTGCAATATTGCTAAGAGCTGTGGTACAGTAGTACTGGACGTCAACATCATGTGAAGACAAAAGTGAGACAAGAACGGGTATTGCTCCAGCGTTGACCAGTTGTTGTCGGTTATCGTCTAAATGCACAATGAGTAAGCACGCTGCCTAGATTCATATGCAAGGGGTCTGTTATTATTGTTGACGCACCTGAATGCGTCATGTTGAGCAGAGCCCCCGTAGCATTTCTCTGTACTCTCATATCTTTTGATTTTGCCAATCTAGTCAATGGACCTAATGCGCCTGACCTTGCAATCTTTGCTTTATTATCTTCATGTGTCGCGAGATTTGTAATGCAACCAACAGCGTTGCACTGCACTTCAACATTGGTTGACATCATTTGCCGTATTAGAGGCGCAAGCCCGCCAAGGAGGACGATAGCAACCTTATTTTCAGCTAGTTCGATGTTAGCATTTCAAGAAATGAACCCGTGCGAAACATGCAGCGGATTCGACTACATACTATTGACAGCAAGATTTCCTAGAGCTGCACTAGCTGCACGTTGGACCTCGATATCTGTGCTCTGGAGAAGAAAGAGTATCGGTTCCAGTGTATCACGATCCACCTCTCGGACGTCTGACCAAAGATACCAAGCATCAGCACACAGACTCCTCCCCCTGGTTTTATAAACATAGGTAGTTGGAGCTTATATCACCTCTCTCCGTGATCTCTGCAAACGTTAAGCTTGCACTTCGTTGAAGATCGACATTATCCGAATAAACAAGGGTGCTCAAAGCTCGAAGGGGTTCGCCAGCGAAGAAGTCCACTTCAGAACGCTATATCGCAAAAACGTTAGCAACCGAAGTCAATGCCACACACAGGAGCTTCTGGTGAGGGAAAGAAGCACAAGACGTACATTTTCGAGGTATTGCAGGAGGTCCGACACTGCCTCTCTCTCGCTCTCCTGAAGAACAGGCTCATATAGACCATCGCGAGTGCGGCCTGTATCACGTCAGTACCCTGTCATAACGAGCAAGAAAAATATCGAAAAAGGAACCAAGTACCTCTGCAGCAAGGAGAACAGGAGGAGCCGCAGTTCCCCATCACGCTATATTACGTATGTATTATTTGGCTAGAGAAGGTTGTAAAGATTTTTGTAGGATTAAGGAAAGAAAGAAAATCCGGAAAATATCGCAGAGGTTGAGGAGTCACGGCACAAGAACAACACACGTAGAATGGGGGGTTGGGAGTTGGGTGGTAGTAGTGCTGGTAGCGGTGATCAGTTTTGGTCAGGACTCGCGTGGCTGAAGGACTGGGACCGATGTGATGGGAGAGAAGGATTGGACGCGGTTAAGGGAAAAAAAAAAAGTCGAACTGGAACGGGGAGGGGGTGTGAACTGGTCGAGGCGGTGGCAGAAGAGGGAAAGGATAGAGATACAGACAGGTACTAGAGAGGAGAGAGAGCGTAATAGCGAGAAAGAAGGTGTTGCGTAGCAGCTCGAGCCCTTCGATCGGTTGGAAATGGCAAGTCAGCAGCCCCGTGAGTGAGTGAATGAGGGAGAAGAAGATAGACTAGTAACCGAGCAAGGTGCACGAGAAACAGAACAGCACAACCGCGCGCCACGTTTAACTGACTGTTGCGCGACAATACTATTTTCACTCACAGGTGACAGCGATTCAATTTCCAAGAAAAACGCAGAAACATGTGGGTGCACGTGCAGATGTGGTGGAATACAATTGATTTGTTCAAGAACTACAGTATGTACCTACAGTACCATGTGTACATCTAGGTACACAGATTAGATTACATCCGGATCTAGCAGTGGCTCGAAATGCTAGAAAGTTACACACCGGCGTCGGCAACAGTCAACTTTGGGTGGGCGAAATTCAATATCTACCTACCTTCACCAAAAATATTTTCTGGAGAAATTTAATCCATATCATACTAGCAGCGCAGGGTAGACTTCTTTAATCTTATTGTATATGAGTTTTTATTTCATGTTGCTGCTCTTAAGTATCCATTCTACTACATGTAGTTGTAGGGAAAGTGATATACTTCGGGCGTTGCAACCTGTCCTGGGCGTGACACCTCCGGTGTGGCCTAGCTCAACCCTCAATCCCGTACGAGATCATTTGTGAATTTTATTTTCCCTACTGCAGAATCAATTTGCTATCTTGAATGCGTATCGTATGAACTTACATATCTTTATCTTGTCAATCCGGCATATCGAGTTGTGCACCGATATATCATTTCCACGGTTGCTAATACCCGTGATAGGTATTTGAGCATGGTTACCCAGCCACGCCGTTGCTGCTCCCCCCAGCGATCACTAGCGCTTCTAGCACGCGTACCCATTGGTAACCTGCATTAGAGTGCATACATACATGTACATGTATTAGACTACTCTACATGCTTTTTCAAGCAGATCTGCCGAAATCCGTCATGATCACTATAACTGTAGGTATGAGGGTATCTACTTACATACATACGTTACTGTATGTAGAAAACGTCCGTTTCGGTATAGCATAAGGTTGACAAGGTTGATTGGGATAGAAGAAGGTGCTCATTGGGAGTCTTCAATAGTGGTATTTAAATTTACTTACTACAGGTACATATATGGAATTGTATAGTGCCGGTCAACGTCAACATATCTTCCAGCCATTGGCCCAGACTAAAAAACGATTTATAATAGCGAAGCTTGTTAGTCTGCGAATGAAAAGGTTTAGCCTGTGCAGCTGTTTCTGGTGATTTCTTTTAGACCATTGTCATTGACCCGGAAATGGCTGTGTTCCTTCAAAGATAAAATTCATTATTCCTTGTCTTGTGGTTGCCTACAGATTGTCCGTTGGTGTGAGGCATTATTAGGGCCCGTTTGGCTGTGATGGAGGCATCGAAACTCCGTTTGAGATTTTGGTTGTCAGGGTGAAGTTTTTGGTGGGGTTTTTGGTGGGGTTCAAGCTTTCTCTACAATTATGGGGGCTTCGCTACCTCATCCAGGTCAATTCATGGGATCCGGAACCTAAGACTTTAGGATTTCCAGCTGCTCAGTATGATTTTGGGTGGCTGGTTGCTATGCAAGGTTAGGGTTCCTAGCTTTCGACCAATCAAAGTGCAAGGATTTTAGAAAAGTCTACGAGGAAGGCGGACTGTCTGATGGCGGTCAGGAATTTGAGGCCAATAGCAGAGTTAACTTTGGGAAGCCAAAGTGTACTTATACATAATTTACTGCAAACAATAGGATCCGCCGTCACTACATGTACTTCTACATAGGGGAGCGAGTGCACCCCACCCTCCTCGAATAAACCTGGCAAGGTTGATCATGATCTGACTAGGCTGACGTCGACATCGCCGTTAGTATAGAGTACAGCCCCCATAAGCGTTTGTTCATTATTTATTCCGCTCTCCCCACCACTAAATTTCCCATCTCTATTCTGTCAAAGCAACTCTTCTAGTCTGTTTAATCTTTGAAAGTTGATACACCGCCGCTCTCATCAGTAACAAGGACTTTAGCTAGTAGCTCTCACAAGCCCCAAACTTCGAATCACACGTCGAGACTTTCCGTCATCTAATAACTAAATCATGGGAGTAAGTACATCGTGGCAATTATTCTCTTGACTTTTGTCGTCATCATCACACCCTTTCTTGGACGCAGATATAAGGTGTACCCGATATCCGCCTTGGTTGTCTTTTGTCGCATTACACCCCCCACCCCCCAAATCCCTTCCGCGTCGCAACCACCAGTTTTCCCAAAACTCTGTACCCAAAACCCCCTCTTCCCAAGCACAAACACATATACAAAGACTTAAATATCTGAACTAGTTGACTGATGTATAACCCTTATTACAATCCACAGCTTGCAAGCAAGATCGCCGCTTCTGGCGGGGGCGCCCCACCTGCACCCTACGGTGGGCAGCCTGCGCCATATGGCGCTCCACAGGGACAACCCTATGGGCAGCAGCCACCGCAGGGTCAAGGCCAAGGCCAATACGGTGGCTACCCCCCGCAAGGTGGACCTCCCGGAGGTCCTCACGGTGGATACCAGCCTCCACAGCAGCAACAGTATCAGGCATATGTAAACTCACAGTCTACTCCCCAAAACTATCGCCCACCTCCGTACCAACAGAGTAACTATGGAGTGCAAAACGCTTATTATGGTTATCAACCACAGGGCCAGCAACCTCCCTATGGTGGCGGTAGCGCGCCCCCATATGGAGCTCCACAGCAGCAATACGGCGCTCCTCAGTCCTACGGGGGAGCGCCTCCAACATCTGGTGGCCCCCCGCCAGACGCTAAAGTCTTGATGAGTATCTTGAAGGAGTGCGTGAAAGACAAGAAAATCGAGCATATGTACCCTGATTCCAGACTCTTCCAGATCGCACAGGACATTGCGGGTAAAGACCCTGTCAACACGCTGTGCGCTCACTGGGGCGTCCCGCAGGAGGTCGGATTTGACTTCGTGAAGCTTGCCCTCTTCGACGTTGTGTTCCTTCTGGACGACAGTGGTTCCATGCGCTTCGGAGATGGACTCATCGATGAGTTGAAGTTCATCCTTGGAAATGTTGCGTTCGCAACTGGCCTGTTCGATACGGATGGATTTTCGGTCAGGTTCATGAACCAGGATATCAAGGGTGACAACATCAGAACCGAGAAGCAGGCTATAGATATTGTTAATACCGCCAAATTTGAGGACGTCACCCCATTGGCAACCTCGCTGAAGAACAAGATCTTGGATCCATTGGTTTATGCTGCAGATAGCGCTGGCACGCTCCGGAAGCCAATCTTGATAATCATTATTACTGATGGTCGGCCAACCGACAATGTGCACGGAGAATTCCAGTCACATATCCAGAGGGTGTCAGATCATTTCCAGGGTAGAGGAGGTAAATATAAGTCAAGTACCATTCGTATGATAAAATGGGCTAATCTGTGCGCGAAGTTGTCTCATTCCAAATTGCCCAAGTTGGAAATGATAAGGGTGCCCAGGATTTCTTAGCCTCGCTCGATAAGGACAAGGCAATTGGTCGATTGATTGACTGCACATCAAGTATGCATTTCCCTACGCTCTCTTGATTGTAGTGCTAATACTTCTAGACTTTGAGATGGAATCTGCTGAGTGGAAGTCAAAGGGGCTCACACTTACTAAGCACCACTGGTATACCAAGCTTCTTCTTGGAAGTATTGATAGCACAGTAAGCTTCTACGCCTTACCAACCATAACCCTTTACTAACCTCTACTCAGTACGACAACAAGGACGAGGATTCCAAGGCGCCGACACAAGGGCCTGGTGGACAGGCATCCCCGTACGGCGGCTCTCATGGTGCTCCTCCTCCCTCTCAATATGGTGCACCCCCACATCAGCAGTACGGTGGCCCGCAGCAAGGGCAGTATGGTGCACCGCCGCATGGCGGGCCGCAGCACGGTGCGCCGCCTCAGCCGTATGGAGCACCACCACAATCACCATATGGGCAACCGCCTTCTGGTCATCAACACCCACCTGGTCTCCAGGCTGGATACGGATCACAGAGTGCACCTCTTCCGTATGGGCAACAACCGGGTGGTTACTCCCAACCGGGACCGTACACTGGCCAGGCACCCCCGGCACAGTACAACCCTACCCAAGGACCTGGAGGGCCTGGATACGGGTCTTCTGGGGCTTACCCAGGGAAAAAATAAACATATGCGCGGGTTTATCTTGAGAGGTCGGAGTGCTGGTAACTGGGTTTCCTTAATCGCTGTTCCAAATCGTGAAGCTTTAGGTAGGTATAGAGTTATGTTGCCGATGATGATGCCATGAGATCAAAGTTTTTCTTTTTTTCTTTGTTGTTTCAAGATATCAATGGAGGGTTCGTTCGTTTTCTTCTTCTCGCATCGAATTTGCACCAGTATGTATGTAACGGAATTGATGCACTGAGAAGATGAATTTGAGATATTCTGTATATATCTGGCTCTGGTCAGTTTGGCTCGTGACTTTATATCTTTCGTGGGTGCTGGCTTATCCTCTAGGATGGGTACAGCAAAAAGTGAAAATAAATTGGCTGTGGCAACTTGCAGCACCAGGCCTGATCCGGCATCTTTCCACTCAATACCTCCAAGAAGTGCGTGAAAACGCGCAGAAGTGGGTTGGCTGAACTAAAGTGTAGAAAGAGAAAGAAAAAAAAAGCCGGAAACGAAGAAAGTGGGCCAATAGGTAAGAATATAAATAAACGACCAACTCCCAAAGCAGGGTCCACCACTGCGGGGCGTCCTCCGCCCTTTACTCTACGAGATACCGCAGCCCCCGTGACTTACATAACGGAGGACCCCGATAGCACAGAATTATCGAAGCGGGAATTTAAACAAGCTTTCAAGCCTCAACCTCGCTACACTTCTTGGCAATTATCCACCGGATCTCGCCTTTCTACAATGTGCGAGCAACTGCGCACCCTGATCTCTCTGACCACCTGGGACATCTATATCTGACATGCGCTCCTTGGTGATGGTGGAAGGTACTCTCCACCGCAACATCTTCCCCTCCTTCTCCTCCCTCACCTCTTCTCCCCCTCTCCCCCCGGCTCCTCTTCGCCCAAATCTACCTTCGTTGGCAAGAAAATAACGGGAAATTAAAAGCGAGTGAGAAGTAGAGTAAATAGAAGGGAGCCGAAAAAGTATAGTAATATTTCGGAAGGCGCGAGCGTCGTCGGCAGATCAAATAGAATAGGTACCTAGATCTCCGGCCAGCCAGCCAGCCCTCGCATCAAAGTCCCGTCCAACACCTACATATCCACCTGCATTCTACATACTCAAACGAGCCGCACCCCACGCCTACGCACCCCCTCCCTCCGATGTCGCTCACAATGACCAAAACGACGGAGGGCTACGGCTGCCAGCGCGAAGTTTACCATCCATATTCGAAGCTTTCTGAGCCCGGCGCCGTGTTGTTTTACGAGTCTTCGGACGAGGAGGATGAGATCGGGAAGGTCGGGAGCGTATCGCTGGTGTCTATTGAGATTAAATGTCTGTTGTTTTGTTTCGTATGGGATTTTCTTGGGCTAGACTAACGAACATATTGGTTCTAAGCTTCCCCCAAAGCTTCCCCCAAAGCTTCTCCCAAAGCTAGCCCCAGAATCACCATTCGGGATGCCATCGTCCTACGGGGAGAAGACACGACTGAAATTAAGGTTCGATCATCACCCGGGAAAACAGCCGTATTAGATGCTGGTGATACTAGTATGGAAGACATAGCCTTGGAGAGCGAAGAGAAGACGGCGGAAGTAGAAATGCCTGCCGGCAACGAGGATATTGTGATGCTAGATGCGATCTCAACTGCATCTCCAAGCAAGCCCGGTACCGGTATGCTCACACAAGCAAACATTCACCCAGCTTAAGCTAATGTTATTACCCGTAGTTGCATCTCCCAGCCGAACCATTCATAGTCCTGCAGCGCAACCTTCCACTCCCCCGCGGCCAAAGCGAACACCGTTCGACGTATTAACTCCCGAGAATACGTTTGGCGCCTCCTCTCCCTTCAAAACAGGATCCTCTGGCGCCGCTGGAATATCGTTCAGCAAGACGAGTCCCAAGACTAAGGAGAACTATGAAGTCCCCGGAGGGTTTAACGGTTAGTAGAACGCAAGCCCGAATTCCCCTTACCGCTAATTTCGTTTCCAATAAACTCTTTTATTACGGTTCTAACGGGGTTTCCAATCGGTCAAGATGATCTTGCATCCGAGGTCTCGCAAGGTACTAGCATTATATTTAGTGATACCCAGGGCTTCTTCGCCTCGTTGTTTTTGTTTGTTTTAACTTTCGCGCTGGATGTTTTTGCGTACTCCACGGCTCAGTACGAGCTGGAAGACAAATGGGATCACATACATGTACAACTATGCGAGGGGTAAAATCATTGTAATCTGGAGTCCTATGGTGAGTTGTATACTCAGGCTGTCAGAGATCAAGCACTAACCGCATGAATTTAGGTTGTCTATTTGTAAATGTTAGTTTATGTCTTAGCGTCAATGTTTATTTATTTTTGGGAAAATTCCAGCAATATATGTATCAAGGTGATCACATGTATGGACCTGACCAGTGTCATGCTTAGATAGTAGGTTTGTCTGGCCTCGCTTTACAGACAGAATTCTTTAGTTCTCTATCGGTTTTTATATCTGTGTAGAAAGAAAGATGGAGACCAGGACTAGTGAGAATATAAGAAAACAATGCAACAAAAAAAAATATTTTTTTTGGAAACCCTCGAATCATTGCCCATCAACACCTAACATCTTAGCTTCCCAAGTGTCTTTAGGTCTATCAAACCTCTGTCAAATGCGTGACCAGCCCGGTTAATCTCGCAATCCCACCGTCCTTTGCATTGACATCCGGATCCCTCAGGTCGTCGTCATCATCAATTGGCACAGGTTTTAGCATACCAGTCGCTTCATCACGCCCCCATCCCTCAGCGACTACCATTGCGATTATTGAGCTCTCCTTCTCATCTGTTCCTTCTAAGCCTAAAAAGATAGCTGTAGATTTGAGCGAGATGGTCGTGTATGCCCTCGACAAGAGAATGAAGGTCCTACGACGAAAGTACTTTTCGAATCGAGAAACCAGAGGTGTAAGAATGCTCGACCAGGGGGCTGATGAGAGGGTTGTGTAGATACTTTGGTATGAGCGCGTATAGAGTGCTCGAAGGAGGGTGTAAGTGCTTATGAGGAGAGGGTCCGACTGGAGGAAACCAAGTGGGATCCGCTTTGAAAGGAAACGAGCTTCGTTACTGTATATCATTAGTATAAGATTGAGAAGCGGAGTGATAAAATCTTACAGGTCGTCACAAAGAAACAGTGAGAAGAAGTAGGCGCTATAGTAGTTTGAGATAAGCTCGCTGCTTGAGGAGTTGAGTGGGCAGCTACTAGCTGTAGCTTCCAAGTCTGCGAGGAGATCTACCAGAGCTGCTGGTGAGAGATTTTGATCAGTAACCAGGGTAGACAAATGCTCGAGGTTCAGCTGTGCACCCATCGTTAACCACAGACGTGATGTGCTTTCGGGCGAATTTTGAGATGAGTTTATGTTGATATGGCGGGGTGTATCCCAAATAGCGCTCAGTGGTGGGGGAGCAGTTGAGGCTGACTCCTTAGCGCTGTCTTGGCACACGTGCCGGATTCGCGAAAGAGACACCTAATGGTTAGCTGCCGAGAAGACACCTTCAGGTTTTGACCCCCCAAGTGAGGGAGCTCTCTTTCAAATTCATACTGCGCTGCTCAACTTGAGCAATCAACCTTCAAAATGTCGTCCACTGGAGCCCCAAGTGTTCTTAAGGACGAGTCAACAAGAAACATCCGTCAACTTCTAAAAGTCGTTATTCTCTTTACCATTGCTGGCGCTGCTGTGTCGAGTCGTCTGTTTTCTGTTATTCGTAAGCTTTCTCCTCGGTTTTAGAATTCTTGAACACCTGGACATAATTTTTCGATATAGGACAATGCTAATTGAGACACAGGGTTTGAAAGTATAATTCACGAGTGTATGTCTTCCATATCGCGACAATTGAGTCCATTAGAAATACTTGAGGATACAATTAGGTGTCCTTTTGATTGAAACAAAGAGCTGACGACGACAATTAGTCGACCCATGGTTTAACTTTCGCGCATCAAAATATCTCGTCAAGAACGGATTCTACAACTTCTGGGATTGGTTCGATGATCGTATGTAGTTTGTTTTTATGTATAAAAGTGTTCTATTGTGGATTAACATTGTGGTCTAGGAACATGGCATCCTCTTGGTCGTGTCACTGGTGGTACGCTCTACCCAGGCCTCATGGTCACCTCGGGCGCTATTTACCACATACTTCGCTTCTTGACCTTCCCTATTGATATCCGTAATATCTGTGTTCTTCTTGCTCCCGCTTTCTCAGGCCTGACGGCTTTTGCGACATACCTATTCACCAAGGAGATGAAGGACGAGTCTGCCGGTCTTCTTGCCGCGGCTTTCATTGGCATTGCACCCGGTTACATCTCCCGTTCAGTCGCTGGTTCCTACGACAATGAGGCGATTGCCATTTTCTTGTTGATGTTTACGTTCTACCTCTGGATTAAAGCCTTGAAGGTTGGAAGCGCGTACTGGGGTGCACTTTGCGCCTTGTTCTACTTCTATATGGTTGCTGCTTGGGGTGGTTATGTTTTCATTACCAATATGATCCCCCTTCATGCCCTGGTCTTGATCGCCATGGGAAGGTATTCGCCGAGGCTCTATGTCGCGTACACTAGTTGGTTCGCTCTAGGGACCTTAGGAAGCATGCAGATTCCGTTCGTCGGGTTCTTGCCCATTAGATCTTCAGAGCACATGTCCGCACTTGGTATCTATACCCTCATACCTCGAAGTTATTGTTTGGTGTCTAATCTTTTCTTCCTACGACAGGCGTATTCGGTCTTATCCAAATTGTTGCCTTTGTTGAATTCGTCAGGGAACATGTTCCTTCTCGCCAATTCCAGACTCTCTTGAAGTCATTTATTCTCATCACCTTTCTCGGATCAATGGGAGCTCTTGTTCTTTTGACTCTCTCTGGTGTAATTGCACCATGGTCTGGGCGTTTTTACTCCCTTTGGGATACCGGATACGCCAAAATCCACATTCCTATCATTGCCTCTGTCTCTGAACATCAACCTACTGCATGGCCCTCATTCTTCTTTGACCTTGAGATGTTGATCTGGATGTTCCCCGCCGGTATTTACATGCTTTTCAGCACCCTCGAGGATCATCACGTCTTTGTCATCATCTATGGTATCATGGCTAGTTACTTCGCTGGCGTTATGGTTCGTTTGATGTTGACCCTGACACCTGTTGTCTGTGTTTCTGCGGCCATTGCATTGTCAAACATATTAGACTCTTATCTCACTGTCAGAAGTCCTGAGATTCCAGAGGCTCTTGAGACTGCTTCCGTCGTTGATGATGCTGCCGATTCAGCCTCTACCACCGCTGTCCCTAAGGCGCAAAAGAAACGTACTAATCTTCTCAACTCGGCCAAGGGAACAATGGTCGGAATTTACTCCAGCTGGTCCAAGCTAGTTGTCGTTGGTGCTTTCACTGTTTACCTCTTCATTTTTGTCCTGCATTGTACATGGGTCACATCCAACGCCTACTCTTCACCTTCCGTTGTGTTGGCTTCAAGAGGGGCTGATGGATCGCAGCACATTATTGATGACTACCGTGAAGCATACTACTGGCTCAGGAAAAACACCCCCGATGATGCTAAGATCATGTCATGGTGGGACTACGGATATCAAATTGGCGGGATGGCAGACCGTACTACGTTAGTTGACAATAATACTTGGAATAACACACATATTGCGACGGTTGGGAAAGCCATGAGCTCCCGCGAGGAGGTTTCATATCCAATCTTAAGGCAACATGACGTTGACTACGTTCTCATTATCTTCGGTGGTCTTTTGGGGTACTCTGGCGATGATATCAACAAGGTATGTTTTATTCCTTTGAATTATCTCTTCATGTCTAACACATAACACAAGTTCCTTTGGATGATCCGTATCGCCGAAGGTGTCTGGCCAAATGAAGTAAAGGAGTCCGAATTCTTTACCCCCCGCGGTGAATATCGCGTTGACGAGCACGCAACTGAGACCATGAAGAACTCTCTTCTCTATAAGATGTCATACTACAACTACGATCGTCTTTTCCCCGCTGGCCAAGCTCAGGACCGTGTTCGCAACGTTAAGCTTCCGGCAAAGGGGCCCGAACTGAATGTCCTTGAGGAAGCCTTCACCAGTGAAAACTGGATTGTAAGAATCTACAAGGTCAAAGACTTGGATAATGTTGGCCGTGACCATGCCGCGGCAAACGCGTTTGCCGCAGGCAAGAAGAAGGCCAAGCGAGGCGGCAAGGCAGCAAAGGGCGCGAACCGAAAGCTAAGGGTCGTGTAGACTATTTATTTGCATGGAAATGTGACTTTTCTTGTTCTGTTTTTTTTTCTGGATTATCTATCCTATTTTATAGGGTTGGGGGTTGGGGGTCTGGGGTTTTGACCGGGTTAAAAGGATCAATGATTCCCTTGTTTTTTTTACTGTGGGTTTGATTTAGACTACAATTGTATGAAGACAAAAATGTAGGGAGGGTGATGGAAAGGGAGTTTATCTCAATGTACTCTATCTTTTTGCACGAAGTAGTGGGATTTTAGCGCATTAGGTTCCAAATAGGAGTGGTGAATTGATTTCGACAAATGATAGCCCAACAAATGGAATATCGATCCCCCCTGTCCTTCGAAAGTTAGTTATACTATATACAGCCGTTAAATCGCCGGTCTTAGATTAACCGTCGGAAGGGGTCGCTAGTAATCATTGCATTGGAAAAGAAAGAAAACTCAGTGTGATTCTGATCACCTACAGCGCGCTATGTCCATACAAAGAGTTGATATTGCGAGTGATATATGATGTTCAAACATGAGAACTGAACATGGAGCACGGGCCAACCAATCAACCAACCAACCAACCACTACATACTTAAGCCTGCAATCGATCAATACTCTAACACCTATCCACGGCCCGACCAAATCAATCATAATGCCCCCAATTATAATCAGCGACAGCGAAGACGATGACCGCAAGCCTGAATTGTCACCACCTCACCGTCCCCTTATAGATCCCTCTCTTGACCGTGAGATCAATGAGCTAAGGAAACAGGAAAGCAAAGACGAAGACGAGCGCTCAGAATTGCTCTCTCGGCTTGAGAAAGTCAATAAGAGATTAAAGAGATCTCGGAAGCGAATAGCCGATTTGGTCGATAAAACGGATGCGGCTTTGAATTTGGTTCTTAAGGAGGGGGACCCTCAGGCTCAGAAGACAGTCAAAAAAAAAATTAAAGTAGAGGTCAAGAAAGAGGTGAAGGAGGGGAGTAAAAAAGAGGCCAAGAAAAATGGCAGGAAGGAGATTGAGAAGGAAAGCCTGAGTGCTCGGGCTCCAGATACTCAAGTGGGTCGGGGTTCTGTATTAGAATCTCGAGCTGATGTTGATAATCGTACTGGCACCCCGGTAGTTCCGCGGACTGTACGGAACTCAATAGTCAAAGAGGAGTTCAGTTCCGATTCGGAGAATGGTGTTCCGAGGTTCACTGTAGCACGGTTGGAGCCAATGAGCCCGCCGGCAGCTTCACGGTCGGAACCAGGGAGCTCGCCGGTAGCTTCACGGTCAGAGCCAAAGAGCCCGTCGGCAGCTTCGCGGGCTTCGAGACGAAGCACACGGGCTTTAAGTTCAATATCACAAAGTTATCCGCCTGGTTCTCAACTCGCAGCATCAGCACCAGCATCAGATGATGGGATCGAGATTTACGAGAAAGTTCGACCCTGGGTAAAGCCCACAGAAGATAACGACCAGATTGCAGCCTCTGACGCTCCATTCAGGAAGTTTGATGCCAGACAGCTGATCAAGATGTGGCCTAAGCTCAAAATCCCAAACCTGCCTTGGCCAACTATCAAGTTTACGCGTAGATTTTTATCAAAGGTTCTTGGAGGTGGTGAGCAGATGGTAGAGTGTGTTATTAGTGAAGCGAAACAGAGGACCCAGATATACCCTATCAAAGTTTACTACTGTAAGTTGGAGCGCTTGCTATTGATGTGAAAAGGTCCCGAGCTTACTGTCCCTAGGCGAACGAGCCGAATGGTCTCCAGACATGCCTCCAGAGCCTGGTGCCCACGGCGTAGTCTATGCCACCGTACCCGACCCTAGAGACCTCGATCGTCCAGTAGACCTTAATTATTCCAGTTATGCCTTGTTTTGTAGGCGGGCTGCCAATAAATGGGATTACTGCGGTGAATATGAAATCACAAGGCGCAAATTCATTCCCGGGGAATGGGACGACGTACCAGAAGTTGCGAAGAAATCGTGGTCTGAAGGGTTTTCTGGGAAGAAGGGGAAGAAATGGGGTATCAACATCCTGAGGAAACGTGGGCTTCTAGGCCCACACGACCCCCCGCCTTCTCCAGAGGATATCCTTGTGTTAATTGATCAAGGGAGGTTGCTGTTAGAGTGTCAAATATACAAATGCGTGGGTTATAATCTTGATTTCTATGAAACGCTCAAAGAGGCTTGGGAAAGAGAGGTAGAGATAGACAACGAAATCAAAAGAGAAGAGGAGGAAGAGGAAGAGGATGGAGGCATAAGACTTCCCGAAAAAAAGCGAAGGAGATTAACTACTACCATAAGGGTTCCCAAGGATGCAGAGGATGAGGACGAGGAAGAGGGGGATGGGGATATAAAACTTCCTGTAAAAAGGAAAAGGAGATTGACTACTGCCAGAAGGGTTTCCAAAGATACAGATGAGGGGGACGACGAGGAGGAGGAGGAGGGTGAAGAGGTGTTAGTGGAAAGGCCGGAAACTAGGAGGAAACGGAGAAGGAGAAGGAGAATTAACGAGGAGGGGGAGTATGACGATGACGAAGATGAAGATTACACAGAGAACTAAAGAGTTATAGCGGGGCATAGTTAGTAGTATACGGCCGGAAAGGTCACATAGGGTGCTGCTATCGAGAATATGCTTGTATAGAGCACAGTCTCGCTCATATCCACCTGATTAAAAGTAAAAAGATGTGCTACTAATAAGACTCCACTGTAATGTCAAATAGTCGCTCGCTGGGTACTTTGCGTGTCCAATAACTGTTGCGGATGCATCCGCAAATGAAACCAATGAGTTATGTAGCATAATAGGATATAAAAATCCCATATAGACATTGGATTGGGATAATTTTTAAAGTTCAAAATAGTCGAGTGAGGATCTGTGACTAAAGCCACCTGCTCATAGATTTACAAAATGCGTGAATTATTTATCCTATAAAAATCCCCATTATTTACTAAATTTCTTTCCACCTCCACTTTTACCGGCGGGTTTGCTGCCGGACTTGGATTTGTCCCCCGACTTTTTTCCGCCCTTGTTCTTCGAGTGTTGGGGTGGAGGCTTCTTTTTCCCACCCGCCTTCTGGGCCATCTTCGCTTTCTTCTTCATTCCTGCCTTTCCAAGTTTCTTCTGCTCCTTTCTTGCGTTAATATTCCCCTCTCTCTTTTTCTGCCTCACCGCAATACCCTTAGCTACCGAATCCTTTCGCTCTTTCCTATAGTACGTTAGCATTTCTTCCGAAAATTAGAGAAAACCCAGGACTTACCACTCCCTCTCGCTCTTTTTCTTCTGTACCGTCTGCCTCTTCAGTGCCTTCTTAAGTAATTTTTCGTCATCTCTCACCTTCTCGCCCGCTGTCTGCTTCAACGCCTTACTCCACATCTCTTTCTCATAGATCTTTTCCCTCTTCTCCGGATCCATTGTTTCTAGCCGTGCCTTCTTCGCCTCGACTTGCTTAAGCTGTCCCATCACATCCGTGGGTCCCTTGCGTTTGCGGCTCTTCTTGAAGTCTGACAGTGTATGATCCAGTTCCTGGCCATCGTCAAATGTAACGGCGCCAAAGGTGAAGTTGTTTTCGGCCTTTTCCATCTCTTTAGGTGTCATTGGTGGTGGGCGGGCCTGTGGAGAAGCGGGCGAGTCAGGTGAGTCGAGGGAGGTAGACTCTAGTTTCTGAGCGAGGCGGAGTGTCTTCTTGCGCTCTTTGCGGGCCTGGGCCTTTTTTTCACGGGCTTCGAGTAGAGTAGCACGAGCAGTTGATTTGGGGTTTCGGCGGGTGCGTAGGGATTCTATATGAGCTGTAAGTCGGGCACGGGCTTCCGCACGAGCTGTAGGAGAGATGGGCTCGGTAGGTTGCGGGGGTGTATCAGTATCCTCTGGGTGTGCTGCGATATCGCTGGAGGGCGCCACAGTAATTTCTGAAGGGTCTAAAGAGATTTTTATAGAGGTCTCTGTCGATACATCTTTCTCTGCACCCTCCTGCTCTGCACCTTCCTGTTCTGCAGGCATCCTTTTTATGGGCCCCATCTTCTTTGCGGTTTCCTCCTTGGTCGTTTCCTTCTCTGTGGAGATATTCTTTACGGGTGTCTTTTTTTCGGGCGCCTTCTTCGCGAGCTCCTTCTCTCCAGACCCTGATTTATCCTTTTTTCCAGTCTCTGTCTTCTCGGTGGTACCATTACTCAGTTCATCTTTTGCTGTCGCCTTTTCTTTCTGCTGCTGCTTCTTCTTCTGTTTTGAGTTGGCGGAGTTCTCTGCACTTGTATTTTCTACCAGCGGTGCCTCTGAAGATTTATCTTCTGGTACCTGCTTGGGCTTAGGATCCTTAGTTTTTTTCTGGTGTACAGCTTCCTTCTTTGGTTCTCTGTTATCTATCTGTTCCCCTCGCGCCGCAAGCTTCTGCTCAAGTTTCGCTTTCTTTGCCTTCTTTTCTTCCTCTTTCCTCTCTTGTTTCGTAGGCACTCGTTTCTGTGTGAATATGTTGTCAGCGCTGCAAAGAGATAATTGCGCCTGGTGGAAGTACCTCAGTTACCGGTACGAGCGACAATAGTCCCTCGAAAGCGTGGGAGTGCTGCGATATCCGGTCCTGTGCGCGGTTAGTGGGTGAGCAAGATAACTGACCAAGAGAAGTAGTACCTCGATGTCTGCCATTGGTGCTGGTGGGTGCTAAATGCAGAGTGTGAGGTTTGGATATATTTGTTGAAGGGTATAGGAAATAGCGCCCAGAGAAAAATCAACGAAATCTTGGCGAGCATGGATTACACGCACAGTGAACATCTACCTACGTACGTGCCCTAGTACATATTCTAGTCTACAAGGTAAATATTAGCGATTCTGCATGCGGTAAAGGCCCAAGACATTTTGATTACTGTAATAGTATGAATAGATGTGGTCTCCATTTATACCTTCTTTTGTAAACGGCCCATCCCATTGATCAGGCTTGAGGTATGAGGCTTATTCGTTAGGTATGTAGTAGGACAAAGGAGCTTTAAAATGCCGGACGCCAACAGTTACAAGTGGTGAGAGTGTCTTTGAAATGATTTGTGGTATAATACATGTCCTTGAGACTAATTTTAACAGGTTTACAGGCTATGACGTGGTGTCTGGGTCATTATATGTAGTTGCCTTATTCTTCACGTGGTGTCACTCGGTTCTCAATCTAAACAAGAAAGGTCACCATTGGCAATCTCAATTCCCAAGACGGAACAGCAGCACCAAGTGGGGAAATATGCTCTCAATTATTGCCTTCCCTATCCTCGCGCGAGTGATCGTTTATGATATCTCAACGCCTCGGACTAAGAAACAGCCCTCTTTATAGCAACTTCACCATCAGGTAGACCACCTAACAGCTGGGAGCCCGTCACTTAAGAACTTGAGATGTTTAGTATGGATTTAATGCACTGAACGCAGATTCTTGCATATCAATATGAAGATTAAGCCCCGTTTGCTTACTGGCTAAACCACTATAAGCCCTTGCACTTATTAACTCTAAACTCATCGGATAGCTCTATGTTTACTTGGGTTGGATGTTGATGGCACATAAGGCCAACCTCTTCTGGTAAGTATTTACAATATATATTTAGTGTATCTACCAACTCCGGCTCTTCCGCACTCGCTCAGCTAAACCTACAAAGTTGTTGGCTTCCCCATCGGCGGTGCTGGTGTCTGCGCTGGTGCGGTGCTCGACACATCCGGAGTTTCCTGTTAACGTTTATTAACACATGACACAAAGCCTCACATCCCTACCACTTCGAAACCTACCTCCTCGAAGTCTTTCGGCGAATAAGCCGGTCTGTCTCCACTCAAGTCCACATCCGGGTCGGTCGCTGCGATAGCCTGTGCCTCCTGCCACGCATAGTATCGCTCTGTGAGAGCATGCTTAATACCCCGCTGTGTGTTTTTAATCTGCATGGCCCTTCTTCGTGCCTCGTGGGCGCCTTCACCGGGCTTGAGACGTTCGCGCTCGATCCGCTGCGTCAACATTATGTTGAGTTCCTTGGCGCATACCCACCACAGCTTGTGAAGGTCTTCCCACGACTTTGCACGGAGTTCCTCAACGGTCCAGGCACGACCTGGAAGCGTGGTTAGGAATCTCAATTGACCGCCTCAGCCCAATTGTTGAATGCCCACATACCATGTTCGCTATCCTCTAACGGCGTCGGCAGCGCCTTCTTATCGGCGAAGAACCCCCACAAGCCATGGTCCGGGTTGACCTCAAGCTTGTCCTTGTGGTCCTCCAACTTGACCGGTTCTGGTAACGGGAACTTTGCTGCCGCGAGGGCAATCTTCTTAGGGGAGCGTCGTAGAGCGGATACGCCTCGGAGCTTGGAGCGGTCGCGGTTGAGTCGTGTAAACGCGGAGGATGCGGTGGTTGAGAATGAGGTGGCATTGAGGGGGGTAGTTACCGCCCGGAGGCAGGGACGCAGGATGTGGTTTGACATGGTGATGTGGAGGTCTTAATGCGGTGGTGGGTGCTGAGAAGTTGGAAAAGTTTGAAGAGCCGCAATGCATGCATGCCAAGATATTGGTGGGTATAACGGGTCATAGAGTGTCACTCGAGAGCATCAGCCAGTTAAGCCAAACTCGAATCTGGTGGTAACCTATGTAGTGTCTACCATAAACTATAATCTATATTATGATATCTTCTCAATGCCAAAAATTCAATATAACTACATATATATCTAGATGGAATTTAATCGTTAGGATTAGGTTTTTGAATGTGGCACGCCATCCCTTCGTTCGTTTTCAGGACCAGGTACTAAGTGGAGGTTATCCCAAAGTGGTGTTTTACTGGCTACTAAACCTAACCTCACTCCGCGAGCCTGTTTTGGTGTGAGGTCACCGTTTGTGACTTCTTCTTTTTCTGGCGATTCCAGAGTCTGGAATGAGTTAGATTTCATGGTTATCACTACGCCGTCGTGGGTCTCATATGTCTCCATCTGCGGAACACACGAAGGGATGTGAATCGCGGGCACGAACGAAGGGATACGAAACCGATTTCTGACTTATCCTTTATATTACACTAAAAATTCTTGGTTTCAAAAAAGATCCAATATGATATACGTATTTTACGTCTATCTAAGTACATGTACATCTAGTGGTATTGTTACAGCCTGATATATACTACATGTATATGTAAACAATACTCTAAAACTCCGACTGCTGTTCCTCAACCTTATGAAACCAACCCCGCGAATAGCAAGTATGAACCACGAGTGCTATATATACTGGAGTTTAAGATATACATACTTAGTCAAAGCACGTGTGCGTAGTCCATATGTTTCTGGTAGAAACATACTCCAACTAGTCGTTAAGAAGATCCTTTATATCGTCTATCCGGGCCTGTCTTTTTTCGTCATCATTCATCATCCCCAATGACGACGCAATGAACTTCTTCTTTGCTTGTATCTTGTTGACCATTCTCTCCTCAACGCTCCCCTCAACAATAAACCTATGGACGATAACCTCTTGAGTCTGCCCCATCCTGTGAACCCGATCAATTGCTTGAGCCTCTACGGAAAAACTCCACCACGGGTCCATCATGAAAACTCTCTTCGCTTCCGTCAAGTTAAGCCCGACACCCCCGGCTCTGAGAGATATTATAAGAACTGCAGCGCCTTCATATGTCCTGAAGCTATCAATGGCGATTGCACGTTGTTGTTGCTGCATTGAACCATCAAAGCGGAAGAATGTGATTCGTTCCCTTGGAATAACGTTAGAATATATATAAGCACATTATTCACCCAACCGAATTTTTTACCTTTTTAACGCAGGCTCAATAAGATCAATGAAAGATGTGAACTGGGAGAAAATAGTGCTTTTTGTGTTTGGTTCCTCCTTTCTTAGCTGCTTTAGCTTCTTAATCAAAGCTTCAATTTTTGCTGATGATCTGGAATTAACCCGCCGAAGGGTTATCTCCAACGGCGACATGTCTTCTCTACTGCCATCCATGGGTTTGTCAGGTTGATGCCGAATGACCTCGAAAAGATCTCGTTCATTTATCGCTTCGCGGCAGATGACACACTTTGGTACCTCCTCTTTCTCCCTGCCTCTCTGCTATCAATTTAGATTTCATCACTCACAAGCGGGGTTTGGCGGTTCATACCTCAATCACATCCATCCAGCATTCTTTACAGGCCGCATGATAGCACCCAGTGACAGTCATATCATCCATGGGGGCCGAAAAACAGACTGGACATTCATGCTCTACCTCGTCCCGAATTTGCTTGAGTATTTCTACGCCATATATATTAGAATTTTCTTCGTTTTGCTGATCTGAGAACCGATCGATGAGTTCATTCAGGTCCATATCGTCACTGAAGCCCTTAGCTGCGTCATATGCGGCTTCAGCCTCCAGTTCATCTTCAACGATCTCTTTTTTCCGGATCAGGGTCGGATGACAACATGATTGACGAAGTCTTAATATTTGCGCAAGGATACTGGTGTATGATTTCATGAGTGTACCTGCCTTTAATAGTTTAACACAGCCCTTACACGTTACTAGAGAATGGAGTATACCTCAAGATTATGTGCAAGGGATTGTTTTGCTCGGTTTCTAAGATGATCATATACTTCTCTTTCAGCCCTCGAAAGTATAATCTTCTCGATAATGATTTTTTTAGGGGGTAAAGGAACCAAAGGCATCCCATCAGGCGTTCTCATCTCTTTGGTTCTCCTCAGTACAAGTGGTTCCAATACGGTTTGGACAACGTCGAGAGCTCGTAGAAAATCTTTGGCCTCAAAAGGGACAGTGATGAATGTCTTCCAGAAAGAGAAATTACTCCAAGGCTCGACTCGTAAAAACCTCACTAGGCTGAATAGATCTTCTAGCCGATTGACGATAGGCGTACCTGTTAGAACCCAGCGGTGCTCGGCGCTGAGTTCATAGCAAGCTCTTGCCGTTTTGCTTGATCTTCCTAGGTGTTAATGTTATCTGAGGACTGAAGATGGATTTATTTATTCACCTGTTCTTGATGTGGTGCCCTTCATCTAATATAATTCTGAAGAATTTTACTGAAAAAAGTCCGCTATGAAGCCCTCGATTACCGCCCGTCTTGGAAATCTGTGTATATTCCGAAAGAACAGTCCCATAACTCGTAATGATCAAATTCGGTGCAGTGGCAGCGTTTTCAACACTACATATGTTCTTCAAAGAAACCTTCTTTTCAGAGCCATAATAGACCAAAGTCTTGAGGGTACCGGGCTTTGAAGCTGCCTCTGCTTCTGACTGCCATTGTGATAACAAGCTCATTGGGGCAATGACAAGCGTTGTACATGGTGCAGGATCCACCTCGCTAGATACTTTCTGGAAACTTGGCAATTTCTTCTTCTTGGAGGAAAATTGTAAGCTGTTCGCAAGGTCGGACTTATGGGAATGTATGAGACTAAGCATCTCAATTGTTTTTCCGAGACCCATTTCTAACCTTGGTGTTAAAATACTTCGTTCAAAAAAAGAGGAAGAGACCAAGCATACCATCCGCCAAAATGCCGCCTAAACAATTTTGCTCCTGCCGTGGAAACTCAAGTGAAAGCTCACCGGAATACGGATTGACGTAGAATTTATCCTTACCAATAACTCTAGGAAGCTTGGTATCATTTTCGTCCTTGATAGGCCATATGTACTCTTCCCATAAAGGGTGCATAGACTCGTCATCCCGTTCAGAGATATTCTTCTCCTTGTTGAGAAACCAATGAAGTGCTTGCTTTTGATACCTTCGAAGGTCCATCGTAAATGTGTCTGCGGGCTCTGTCTCCGGGTAATCAAAATCAAATGATTGTGCCTTTCCTAGATATGATAGACGTCAACAAAAGCTTACACATTACCGTGTACTCGAAAGGCCACAAACGGTATAATTGATCAAGTTGGTCCTGCTCCAATTCTTTCCCTTCTTCCTTTTCCCCCTCTGAGACTTCTTTGCCCGCGCTACTAGCCGCTTCGGGCCCAGCTGCTTCGTACTGTTCAGCCATCTCAGCAGCTTGTAGGATGCCAGCTCTTTTGTGTTTGGTGGTGGCGGCATTTGTTGCAGACGGCTCGAGATCTATCTCCTGAAACAGCCTTACCAATGCCACCTGTCTTAAGCGCAATGCTTTCTCATCATCTGTCTCCTTTGCAGCAAAGATATCTGCAGCACGATTCGTATCAATTGGTTGAATGTTTCTTTGCTCAAAGCCTCTTCTTAGCATGAAACACCTCAATTGTATATTAATTGTATCATTTGTGCGTATTCTATCCGGTGCATATACACACAACCCTTCGAATGAGCAAATATGCTGGTCGATAAGAGTAGATACGAAGGCTGCAGTGTCTTGCGGCAAACGCCCAACTTCTTCGCCCTTAGAATTGGTGAACCGAACTACGATATCTTGAGTTTTTCGTTGTCTCATCGGAGGATTTCTTCCGGGAGCAACTGGCCCTTCGCTCTCCGTCTCTTTCTTTCCCTTTGTTTTTCTTGCAGTAGCTTTTCTTGCAGTAGTTGTTTGCGAAGCCTGTCTTTGCCGTTCGATTCTTATAGATTCTCCATGGGAAATCATACCTGTACCACTTTTTGTTGCCCAGCCAGCGACGCCAAAAGCACCGATATACCTTTTCTCGAACTTTGATGTCAAGTCTCCATTTTCGTGAACAGGCTCCACTTGAAGTAAGTTTGCAACTGATAAGGATTCTACGGATTTCGATGACTCCTTTCTTTTTCGAGACGAGCTAAGGGTTAACAAAGACCGAGGGGCAGTTGCAGTTTTCCAGGATCCATCAAAGTACCTGTTCATCCAGTTAGTTATATTTTTTTTAGGAGTTTGCTAAAATCTAACTTGCATATTAATGGCTCTTTCCATATCTCCACCAGACATATCCTCCAATCTCTTTAGTATGTCCAGCGATAATTCCTCTCCTGTGAAAACGGTAAACACTTTTGGATCAAAATTAGAACTGGAGGCAGGCTTGGACTCATCCAAAATGGGCACTCCAGCTCTTTGGCATGTGGAAAGAGCTTCTGTGTCTGGATTGGTAGTAGGACCAACAGTTTCGGCACACCGTCTACGTTTCTGTGGGGGAGAATCGGTGATTTTCATGGTATGTGGCGGCTCTAAAAAAGAGTAGATGATAAGCCTTTCTCGCAGAGCTTGTAGGAAACACGAGAAGACGTGTTAAGCTCGCTTACTAAACGGCCTATCAGGGGAAATTGGTCGCGTCGCGTTGAGCTTATCTAACACACACAGCGCTACCATATTATTCCTTGTCTAAGAATCCCTTTCAACAGTAACTCCTCTACTCTACGTGTAGGTACTTACATGTACATGTACTCAGGTGCAAATACATGTATATACCATGTACATCCCTTCGTGTGTTTTCACGACCAGACGCTAATGGGCAGCTTTTACTCGGCAATAAACCTAACCCCCGTAAACCCTTTGCTGTACTTGCCCGATTATAAAGAGTAGGACGGAAATAGTACAAGGAAGGGTGAGTCGCAACTGTACGTGCTCGCACCTGATATAACGCCTCAACACCGAGCAAGTATCATAACCATACGTTTTTCTGAGGAAAATACTAGTATATTGGTAACAATAATTATCAAGCGTAACAAATTGAATTCATTGCATTGGGCTTCGTCGAGTTGGGCTTCGTTGCGTTGCGTTGCGCCGTTGCGGCGCTGAGCTTGTTGTATTTCCGTCCTACTCTTTATAATCGGGCAAGTAAAGTCACCTTTTGTGACCCCTCCTATACCTTTTTCAGTCTCCACAGTCTGTAGGTAGTTAGACTTTCTGAATATCACCACGCCGTCGCGGGCCTAATATGTCTCCGATTTTGCTCTGGCGGGCGAAGGGATGTACTTCGGTATCAGGGGTAAGTGAGTAGAACGCGGCGGTTCATATTCGCGAGCAAAACAGGAAAACTACAGCTTTAGCCACGCTGCCACGTTCTACTCACTTACCCTTGATACCGAAGTACATGATGTATTTTTGCCATCACATGATGTTCTTTCGTGGGTTGATCACGTGATTCCGAAGATTTGGCACAGACGTCATAAATCGATGACTAAGTATCACTGTTACGAGGCTTAACTCTTCACACTGAATTGCACTCATCATCATGTCCCATCACTCATCTTCCTTCTTACAAATAACGAAATGCAACGATTTTATCAGCTAGACTATGAGAATTTAAATTTAATACTTTCAGGGCTAATGGAAAATAGCGGTGGTTGTTTTGGAGTACTTGCCCATTGGAAATTTACAGCCCCAAATAATGAGCAATAAGCATGAGTCAGGCGGGGTCACCCAGCGTGTCATATTCATCCCCTACCCTATGAAGCTCCCAGTGTTGAATTGACTCAACAAAGGTGCGCTCAAAAATCATCAGTATCCTCTATAAAAGTACCGACTCCTTTCCTTTTATCTCCCTATCACATTGATATATCTATTCTCCAGCATTCGTGCTAATTTGTCTCACCTTATAGACCAATGATCCTACGAATACTGCAGACCTCCAAAACCAAATCTTTCGGCTAATTGCAACATACTTATCTTCTCCAATAAAAACACCCCATCAACAAATCATGTCGAACGTACGAGCAGACAAGCAAATAGCACACGAAAGGCGCCGTGCTGGCGAGGTGGCACTCAGTGACTTTGCCGACTATGTTGAGAAGCAGACTCGACTACGGAAACCAGGTGGCGATACAACACATACTGACGAGCATGACGAGTTGAGCATTCTTGAGACATTGGGTCTCTCTGATGATACTCAACCTAGTGTAGGAATGAGGGATCTTCTTCTTGGCCCCCAGGAGGAGAATGGACCCAAGCTCAAAGAGCTCATAGCTTCTAGAATTGCAGAAGGCCGAGGAGAGACCTTGTTCGACGTAGGGCTTGATAACACAACTGAAGAACCTATGGGCTTTACTAAAGAAGAGTATGAGCTTGCGATGGAATCGGTAAAAGCCGCTGTCTTAGAGCTCAAAGCATCTATAACAGTATTGATTACACATAATTTGGGGCTTGATGGAGAAGAACCATCAGACGACAAGGGTGCTAGCTCAATGCTACTAATACGAAAACAGCCAGAATCACTAGAGGACTTGCTCGAAATCCGAGTGGCAGTGGTTGGGAATGGTAAATATTTAATCTGCGTGCTAAACGTCGAGTAATGCTAAGCAATTGCAAATTTATAGTCGACGCAGGGAAATCTACCATGTTAGGTGTATTGACCAAAAACACCCTAGATGATGGACGAGGGCGAACTCGTGTAAATCTATTCAGACACAAACATGAGATCGAGTCTGGCCGAACCAGCTCCGTTGGTATGATATCAAAACAACTAATATTTTTCAATTCTAACTGTTGGGCGAAGGGATGGAAATTCTTGGTTATGACTCGGAATCGAACATAATCGGCAGCAATGATCCGGGTCGAAAGCTCAAATGGGAGGAGATTGGTAACCGCTCTGCCAAAGTGATATCCTTCACTGATCTTGCTGGTCATGAACGGTACTTGCGAACCACTGTCTTCGGTCTACTAGGAACCTCTCCGGACTATGTTATGCTTATGGTTGCTGCAAATAACGGTCTTATTGGCATGTCCCGCGAGCATCTTGGGATTGCACTGGCACTAAATGTCCCCGTCCTCGTGGTGGTAACCAAGATTGACATCTGTCCCCCACAAATTCTTGAGCAGACTATGACTCAGATCACAAAAATCTTGAAATCTCCAGGCGCACGCAAAATTCCTATATTCATAAAAAGCAAGACGGATGTTGTCAACACCGCCAAACAGTTTGTCAGCGAACGTATTTGCCCGGTCTTCCAGGTATCTAATGTTACTGGTCAAGGGTTGGATTACATCAGAACGTTTCTAAACATTTTGCCGTTTCACGGAAAATTCGACTCAAAGTCGTCGTTCGAGTTCCATGTCAATGACTGCTTCTCTGTGCCCTTTGTAGGAACAGTGGTTTCTGGTGTCGTTAAGAGCGGCGTGATTCACGCTGGCGATCCAATTCAATTAGGGCCAGACAGCTTGGGAAATTTCATACAAACAACTGTCAGATCTATCGAACGGAAACGGATAGCTGTTCCCGTCTGTTCTGCGGGTCAAAGCGCTTCGTTTGCGCTTAAGAAAGTTAGACGCCGTGAAGTTAGGAAAGGGATGGTTGTATTGCCTCGATCTGAAGTCCCTCCCAAAGCGCATATGCGCTTTGTTGCCGAAGGTACGTCATGTTGTTTTAGGTCTAAATATCAAGATTGGTAGTTGACGTACAGTTTCACTGCAGTCTTGATCTTGTCCCATGCAACTACTATCAAGCCAAAATACCAGGCTATGCTACACGTCGGTCCCGTCAGCCAGACATGCCGTATTATTGACATAGATCGCGATCTTATGCGTACTGGTGATAGGGCTATTGTCGCTTTTGAATTCTGTCAGAGACCGTGAGTTCCCTCTTCCACGAATTTGAATTCTTGGCAATCATCTCACATGAGTCCTGTATATAGGGAATTTCTCTGTGTTGGCGACAAGCTTCTCTTCCGTGAGGGTCGGACCAAAGGGCTAGGTATAGTTAAGTCCTTAGACTATGATAGTACCGTCCCTCTGGTTAAAGAAACCTGATCACTTTCCCTTACAAGGAGGGAGTAGTTATCTTTTTTTTCCTTCTTGGTTTTAACGTTGTGTAATAATTGATTTGTTTTGATTTTGATTTCTTTCCATTTTTACTTGGGCGCCTGGCACGCCTGCTCTTATGTCCATCCCTCAAATGCATCTGTTGGTTATATTTGAGTCTTTTAAAATTCTTCTTGTCGCGTCGATTAAACACTAATGTACAGTACAAGTAGTTCTAACTATGAATCTTTTGGAGTTCATGTTCATGGGACACTCAGTCAATCGTGCAGCAATAAAAAATATACATAAAATAGTTAGAGGCCACTGGCCACATGAGATATATGTGCCTAGTTTAACGCCATTGGTAGCTATATTCTCACTGTGGCACCGCAAATTAAACATTTTTGTGGACGGTGTTGAAATTGCCATGTCTACCGTAGCTGTTACTACTATAGCCATTTTATGTGGGGATATATGGAGTGAAGGGTGATAGTTGTGGGTATAGAACCTGGAGGCGGGGTGTATAATTCCCAGACATGAAGGAATCATACCCAGCACGGAAAGTAGTGTTGTTACGAGTCTTGTTACTAACCGAAATCTGCTACCCTGAGGAGCTACCAGTACAGCTGGGCGTCCGTTTCTTGTTAGTATCGAGTGATAATTTATGACGGCAAGCGTTCTCTAACTTCATCATTGAAAACGGATCCCTAACCATGGACAAAAACCTCCCTACAAAGCCTTCCGTTCACTGCATACATGTATCTACGTATACACGACACGAGTAGAGCTGTGGGGTTGAGCGAGACGCAATGGCGGGGCTTGGCGTTTTTTCCTTAGACATATGTAAAAATCTTTGTGGGCCATCCCCGGGTCTCGCCCAAACCTTCACCGCTCTAAACGGCCAATCCAATCTTCAATCTATATGATCTACACGAAGTAGCCTTACAATTTGTTGCCCTCGCGCCAAGAGAGCATCAAGTTTCTCAGCCGTATCTTCTCCTCTTCCCCGCTAAATATTGGACTAATTGTCTGGAAACTTAACTCCCAGAGTTGTAGGCGGGTCAGGCCGAAGTGTTGTGCCACAATTGTATACTCGTTCGAAAGGGGTGAACAAAAAACCCCCACATCATCCGTCTAAGTACTGTAGTTAGAAAATAGCTTTGAGATGATAGAGTTTCAAGCCAGCTGAGTTATCTAGCAACAGAAAATACCAGCAAGAGACACACGATTACCAAAATAATCTTGGAGGTAAGCGAGGCGCGAGTGCTAATATTCCCCTTGCTGATTTTTCTCTTACCAGAATCCTAGCTGGCTTAAACACTCAAATCGGAGAAGTGGGAAAACATACGCATAGAATCAGGGGACACTGCTTTTCCACCCACCAATCACGGAAATGATGATCTTGGAAGGATCCCGTTATCATTTTGGCGTGTACGTTGCATGAAATACAAAGCTCCAATGCCAATTTCCTCCTGGATATCTTTGCGCGAATGGCATCTGAAACATGAATAACATGGCCAATTCTGTCCGGTTTAAAGGAAAGAAGGACAAGCAATTCTTCATCGTTTGATGTCTTTGCAGCTTCTGCAAAGTGAAGCGTTACTCCCAGCCCGTTTTCTTGTGCTTTTGAAAAGACTTCACGAAATATCGTGACATCACCTTTCTGCAATCTCCTTATTAGCGGTCAGGACTCAATATGCATCTGCGGCCTACAGCATTCTATACTAACCATAGGATCGCCACAAAGATCAACTCCCACAACACCCCGATACTTGTAGCGAATGGCTAAATCAATGCATTCTAAAGCCTTTTGAAAAGAATCGCGGCGATCAACAGAAAGCAAAAGAACAGTTTTCATGGAAGTTGATGCGTCTTTTTCGTATTGCTCGATGCTCTCCAGGACAGTCTCAACATATTGTTCCTTCGACATCCCAGTCTCTTTAAACTCTCGTGGAGTGGTACGAAGTTCTAAGTATGCAACACCATCGGCCTCAAAGTCCTGGAGAACTCTCTTGGTGGAATATCGGACACTTTGGACGTCGTTACAAAGCTGGTAGATATATTTTGAAAAAAGAGGGAACTTTCGAATTCCACGAAAAGTAAGCCCTGGCCGCCATGATAAAGGTTATACATATCATACAAATGTCTCGAGGTCATAGTCAACTTTTCCCGGTGGAATTACGATCATGGGGTCTTCCAGCTCGATACTGGGCTCTGCTTCCTTGCGTTTTTTGTATATCTCATGGAGACACTCGCGAGTTATACTTCCCGATAAATGGGCATGAAGTTCCTACATACAACACGATAGTCAGCCCGGTTAGATCTTTGATAAACGGGGTTGGAGAAATAACAATCTTTGGCAGTTGTTTGCAGAAAACTTCTAGTTCCTCCATGTTGACTGACATGACGACCACTGCGGACTGAGCCTTTTTTTGTTTTTACTACTGAGGTTTAGTTGGGAAGTCTCGTCTAGATCAAGCGCAAGCATGCAGGGATGGGGGCGATGAGGCTAACTGAATCTTCTGGGGTTGATTATTATTTATCCCAGGCACATACTCTTTCAGGAGGGAAGCTCCACATCGGTGGATAAATAGTTTGTCATCCGTCCCCATAAGCTGTGTTTAGCTTGGTCTCGCACTCACACACTCCAGATGTAGAAGAGGAGGAAAGATAAATGCAGCTGCTCTTCATAAAATAGCTTCAGAGAGATGAGGGCATTCCGGATATCGGTTGACCTCGGATTTAATCGGGCTGGTCAATATGTATGTACCTACATAAAGTACATGTACCTGCCACTGCAGAGCATACATAGGTGAATACATAGCTTGTAGATCAAGCAAGTACTCTAAAGTTATAGAATTCGTGGTACTTGTTACCTACTGGACGTTGTTCATGTGGGTACTACACACTTACTTTCTAACCAAAACTGTTTGAGTCTCGGCCGGCAAGATCTACACAGCCGCGAAAAAGTTCGCGTCTTCGTTTGCAAGTGTGGGCCTGTTGAATCCCTTTATCCTTCCCGGTCGCTAATTCGCCCGTTCGCACCTCGCTCCTCCCTTTGCATCTGCATCGCGACATCGTTCGCTCCCTCCCACCCTACCTTAACTCTCCTTCATCCAGTCTTCCTTCAGCCTTCCATCTGCATTCCTCGTTAGTTAGCTGCTGCTCTTCGTTCTCCTGCCATTTCACTCATCCTCATCTTCTCAGAAGAATCCCTTGTCGGAAACGTTTACTTGAACGGCAAGACACGATTGAGTGTTGCAGCCCCCCGTTACCGACATCCCTACACCAGCTAATTTCCCCTTTTCATATTCACCTTACCTCTTCCCGTAGGCACTAGGCGTCAAGCAAGACAATATTGCATCGCACCAGCTGCTAAATTCCCAAGATTCCCAATCCATCCATCCATCCCCTTTCCTCCTTCCCACCCCCTCCCCTTCCCCGAATCTCATCCAACCAAACCGTCTTGAAAGACGTCTGTCAATCTTTCTTTCCGTGAGGCGTCGCTCGTGGGGTACTACTCTGTTGTTCTTTGTTGTCATAATAGTCCATTCGCTCTTTCTACCTTTACTTTTAATTTTTTTTGAACGAGAGAAAAAAACCTCAGCCTTTCCCTACCAAGCATACCTTCTGGGAAACAAAAAGGTTTAACTTTCTTTCGCGACAAGCAAGTGCATCCCATTAATCTTCGGAGGAACAGCGCCGCTCACTTATCCAACACTATTACACTATACAATCATGTCCGATATTCAGGATAGAATCGCTGCTGCTAGGCGAGAGGCTGAAGGGCTTAAGGCAAAGATTAAGATCAAGAAGGAGGAGCTGGCAGACGCTGATTGTAAGCAAAATACACGATTCGAGTTCCATTTATATTGAAGTGAGAATGGCATGGCTGACCATTATTCAAAACTGCAGTGCGCCAACTGGCAAAAGAGACACTTGAACCCCTACCACGTACCAATATGAAAGTCCGAAAGACACTGAAGGGCCATCTCGCGAAAATCTATGCAATGCATTGGTCAACAGACAGGAGACATTTAGTGTCAGCCTCACAAGATGGTAAACTTATCATCTGGGATGCTTACACCACCAATAAAGTGCATGCCATCCCACTCCGCTCATCATGGGTGATGACCTGTGCGTACGCTCCTAGTGGGAACTATGTTGCATGCGGTGGTCTGGACAATATTTGTTCAGTTTATAATCTTTCTTCAAGAGATGGGCCCACACGCGTTGCACGTGAGCTCTCTGGGCACTCTGGATACCTCTCGTGCTGTAGGTTTATCAACGATAGGAGGATCCTCACTTCGTCCGGAGATATGACCTGTATGCTTTGGGATATCGATACAGGCGCCAAGATCACGGAATTCTCTGATCATCTCGGGGACGTAATGAGTCTCAGTATCAATCCAACAAATCAGAATATCTTCGTTTCTGGTGCTTGTGACGCCTTTGCAAAGTTGTGGGATATTCGTACCGGAAAGGCTGTTCAGACCTTTGCTGGCCATGAGTCAGATATCAATGCTGTTCAGTTCTTCCCTGACGGAAACGCTTTCGGAACTGGTTCTGATGATGCAACTTGTCGGTTGTTTGATATTCGTGCTGATAGAGAGCTAAACACATATTCGGTGAGAACACTCGTCTTTATAATACTTTTCAGCCGGGGCTAATTTCCGAAACTATTCTTAGTCTGATCAAATCTTGTGCGGTATCACATCGGTTGCGTTTTCGGTTTCAGGCCGATTACTGTTTGCGGGATATGACGATTTCGAGTGCAAAGTGAGTATTAAAACTTATTTAAACATCCCTAACACTTTAAATCCTTATGTCCAAAAAGGACACTCTATCTTCAATGATTTCAGCCGCTAACGCTTTTCCCTACTAGGTATGGGATGTGCTTCGTGGAGAGCGTGTGGGAACCCTAACAGGGCACGACAACAGGGTCAGTTGCCTAGGGGTCAGCAATGATGGTATTAGTTTGTGCACAGGATCATGGGATTCTACTGTAAGTCTGGTGGTCTGGTCATTCCCAAAGATGATATCTAACCTTTATCTAGCTTAAAATTTGGGCGTGGTAATCCTCTATACAGCTACCAGGAACTTTTTTTTCAAAAAAACAAAAGGCTATTGATTGGATGACGAGAAAAAGTTGTCTCTGCTGGCAATTAACGAACTGGCTCGATCTATCACCCTCGGTATTTTTTTTTTTTTTTTGGTCGGGGAGTAGGAATTCATTGGCTACTATTTCTATTCGTTCATTTTCTTTTTTTATTATATCTTCCCCCATTCTACTTCTAGCAGCAATCATTAAGTCCTTATTACCTGTAACCTATGTTTCCCTACTTATGGCTCTCATTATTTGTCTTTGTGCGCGTTGCTAAGTTTGCCACGCCTATCATGTCCGTCGCCGAGCGAGTGTAGTACTGAGTAATATTTTTCCCTTTTTTTTTTCGAGCTGCAAGAGCACGAGGCCTCGGAGTTTTTCTTATCTTTGATTCTTTCATGTCAAGAATATTTCCCCTGCCTTTCAAGGCCGTTACTCTAAGTAGCCAAGTAGTAGTAGGCATTTACAGTTGTTTGATCCTTCGCATAATTAGACAAACAACCTGATTGTGTTAAAATGCCAAAATCCAAAGGGACAGAGGATTGTCTATATATACCAGACTTGCCATGGTCTGAGCAGTGCAGTCTGGCGCTCTAAAATAGCCTTTGCGCAAAGCTCCGGCAGTGCAGATGTCAAAGAACGCCTTCCGTACTGGTCTCATATTTCGTGATCGGGAATTTAGATTGCTGCGCGCTGACACTGTGCATTGTTTCTACCTGGCTTCTAGAAGGGCAATCCTGCACCATCAACCCCTGGCCAAAAGCCGCCTCTTCTTATTCCACTCTCCTTTCCTGTGTCGTGATGAATCCAATGCAGGTATGTGGTTCCGTTAACCTGGGGGGCATGCACCAGAAGAGTAGCTGGGTTATGGGGAAGGTGTGTTCAACAAGCACTTCCTAGGGTCTCTAGCACTGTAGTTAGAGATGTAGTTAGTAGTTACAGGGTAAGGATCTCCCTAGCCAAATGAGCATAAAACGGGCGATGCATCCGGTTTCATAATTCCCTAATAACTACATGTAAATATCAAGAAGTAAGCAGAGTTCGAATGGAGCAGACCCTTGCTGTTTATGAACAATAAATTTCTTGGGAGACGCATATTATCTTCTACATCACGATACTGAGGGCATACCTAAACCTACATATATTGTACCTACATATATGTAGGTACATGCAGTAGTTATCTGAGCTTTTCTTGGGACGGTACATGTACTCGTAGCTTTATAGCGTTTCCGAACACGACCAATATTGCATGACATACGAAAAAGCGCCAAATCCACCTTTTTGTATGTCATGCAATATTGGTCGTGTTCGGAAACGCCATAGAGCTACGAGTATGTATGAGAGGTCGTGGCATGCCACACCCCCCTGACACCTGTGATCTTTTTTTGACAGGCACATCCTCCTGCACAGGCGAACCGACGGTAGGTCAACCCAAACTCGAAAAAAAGCAATTTGTGATCCTTGCCGAACAATGTGTGGTCAGCGTTTCAGAGGGGGGTTCACCGCATCATCATACATCACCTCCCCCTTTCTCATCCAATTGCTTAACTTTATCGCCTTAACCTGAGATCAAAGTTTGGGGTATCAAGGTTTAAGTCTAGGTAGTTTCCTTCGAACCAAGCTACTCAGGCAGTGGTTGTTTCAGAAGATTTCATATTCGCACGAATAACGAAACAATTGTCAACACACATCCATAAACAACATACCGGCATAAATACCTACACATACATCAATTTCTCATCGTTCTCCCTAGATAGGTTGTTTACTATAATTTTATTTACGGTAGGACGCGCCACTACACAGCATATCTACTAACGCCCACGTTCGGTGACGTTCCTGCTTTCTAGCCCCCTGCCAGACCCTACAAGATCCCCGCTCTATTCTCCTACCACACCACCGCCCCCCCTTCAATTCTCCGCCCCACCCAATACTCATCTTCCTCCCTTGTCCTCGTCCATCAAGTAGACACACTACACACTTCAACACCCAGAGTAATAAAAAAAGAAACAAACCATGGATGAGCTCGAATCAATTAAAAGTGCTGCATCCCCCGCCGCTCGTCGTCATCCAGAAGACGTCGACTCGGATGATTATAGTGACCAAGAAGATTCTCACTTAAACCACGAAGACGGAAAAGACGAAGACGGCGACGACGACGATCCAGACGATATTAAAATAACTGGTGTAGGACTTTCTAGAGATATGCCATCCTTTAAGCATACATCGAAGCTTTCGCTGTCAGGGTCATTCCAGACTGTATGTTGTCATCTTTCGCCTACCCCAATACTCTTCATTCTTCTCGTATTGTCCCATGACTAACCTAACTATTAACTTAGGGTGTTAAAGGAGTTCTCGCAGATGCTGTTTCTTTTGAGTCTGCCAGGCGACGGGAACGTACGGCCAGAGCATCTCCGGGTCAATACGCGGGCTATACTGAGCCCGCAATCGCTGTTTCGCCTCCAAAACGCCGGGAAAGTGATGGGGAGAGCGGCAGTGACGACGATTTTGTGAAGACATGGCGGAAAAACCGATTGGCGGAACTTAAAACAGGTGTTGCGACCACAAGGAGGCAGTCTCCAAGTAAACGAAAGTATGGAAAGGTTGAAGCTGTGGATGCAGCGGGCTACTTAGATGCTGTCGAGCGCGTCTCATCAGAAACTATTGTTGTTGTGACAATCTACAATGATTCGGTATGTACACACCTGCTCAAATTTGGCACATAGGCGAAAAGAAAGGGGTGAATTTCTGCCTTGAATGAGAGTTCCTGACGAAGAGAAAAGTCATCAGAAAGTCAGTTCGTAGAAGACTGCTTTAATACACTGGCCCGCCGCTATCTCACAACTCGATTCGTCAAGCTTCATTACCGAGAAGCCGAGTTTGATCCCGAAGTCGTGCCCGCCGTACTTGCTTACAAGGGTGGTGAATTATTCGCGAACCTTGTAAGGATTGTGGACGAGATTCCACCAGGCAGAAGTTTGAGCACCGATAGCTTGGAGCTGGTTCTCCGAAGGTATATGACTCCTGTAGGCAAGGATCACGTAGTATCACTCTGCTAACTTTCGTTGTCACAAATAGGGCAAATGTCTTACACGCGGATTAGAGGATAGGCCTGGCTCCTCTACTGGACATAATGATATGAGATGGCATGGTTAGTGTTTGAATCGGTTTTCTTTTTTGTCTTCGTTCTTGCCTTTGTTCGGTGTGGAGTTTTGTATTGTACTAGGGTACATATGTACTCTCGTTTTATTGTCTTCATATTCTTGTTTTTTATTCTTCTGGTATTTGGATACCTATGGCGCTATTGGGGCAGGGGCTAGGTTTTGTAGTGGTGGGTCAGGCACACCAGGTAGTTTTTCTCATTTCACATTTCAGGGTAAAATAACTTACTATCCCTTCATACCCTAACTGTTCCTCCTGATACCGACCAATTCAGATACTACCTCTTGGGACGAAGATTTAACACTAGATGATACTTCTACATTACATTTAATCCTTCCGCCCTAATTTGAGGCTTTCAGATTCGAGATTATCGTATAAATCTCTGTCATATGTGATGAAATGGAGTCCTAGAAGCTTGAGACGCAGATGAGGGAGATCATCAGGCTATAGTATATATAGTTAGATTCTTCGCGTGAAGACGTCGGGGAGGGGCAGTAGATAGTTGATTGGTCGGACGAACCTGGTTAAAGAATCTCAACACCTCCTTCCAATGTGTTCCTACATTCAGATGTTCCACTGATTTAAAGACTTTCTTCTTCACAAGGATGTTTTTACCCCAGAGGTGTTCCAGCAAATGCTCAGCCCATCTTCTTTGATCGTTTGGCGAAAATTTCTTCCACTCATCAAGACTAATTTCTTTAATATATGAGATTAAATATTTGCCGTAATATCTACATAAGTCAGTAAAACTATTTACCTTAGCTACTTAATATATTAGATTAAACTCACAGCCAGTTGTTACTCGATTTCTTGATGAATATATAGTATTTTTTCCCCACCTCCTTCTTCAACCAATCAGCGACATATATCCCACCATCCAGACCAGGCGCCGTTGGGAGTAGATGGTTTAGATCACGAATTAAAGCCATATAAGACCCTGCTTTATATCGTGTGACGCGGCTTTGATTGATATTGCACCATGTCCCCTGTGTTTTCCCGCCAATTAAATTTGATATTTCCATTCGACTAAAAGTCTTAGAGTTTGCAGGAATATTCAGACGATTTCCCGGAACTAACTGGGAGGCTGTAACGGGCGTCTCCATTTCGGAATCACTATTGGAAGCCTCATAGTAGGGACTATATATCGGGCCAACAGCCTTACGTTGTGGGGTCCGACCACTCACGCTTGGTGCTACAGGAGTTCGACTCCCTACAGCTTGACCATCTGCAGCTCCAAGACCACTCGGAGCTGTGAGAGCTTGACTCCTTACAGCTTCATTTTCGACCCCGGAGCCATCGGGTGTCGCTAAAGTTTGGCCCTGTGTGGTTCGACCCTGCGTGGTTCGGCCACCTATGGCTCTAAAGCCGCTCGCAAAACCACCTAGAGGTGCGACAGTTGGGCCTGCCGCAGTATGACCTTCTGCGGCTCCAGGGCCACTCGGGCTCGGAGCTGTGAGGGCCTGGCTTTCCACGGCTTCGCCTTCTGCAGCTGTAAGGTTATCCCCGGACCCATCCGATGTCATCAGAGTTCGGTCATGTGTAGTTTGTCCTCGTGTAGCTCGGTCTTGTGTACTTGGGGCACCCATAGCTCTAGAGCTGCTCTCAGAGCCGCTTGAAGCTACAGCAGCTCGGCCCACTGGGGCTTTATCCCCTTCAGTTCCCAATCGGCTTCGAGTCGAAGAAGCAGTGGCCGGGGTTCGAGCTTCAAGCTTTATGGCTCGATTCCTAGCCCTTCTCTCTAATAGCCTTTGCTTCCTCCTTACAAGGCCATATTTCTCGTCGACCAATTTCTCTTTCTGCTTCCTAGATGCCTGTAGTCGCTCCTCAGCGGTTTTGAGGAGCTTTGCGTATGATGTTACATCGTCGTTGGAGTCCTCAATCTGCTCGTTGGTCTCCTTCATCCTCTGTTCTAGATCCTCCAGATCTATTGGCTAGACGTTAGTCTGATTGTACTACTACTAGTAAGTAGAGCGGAGTTTGTTTCTTGATGCTAAAGCGGAAATTGAAGCTGACCTCTGGAAATAGCTTGTAAATCGGATCCACAGCTGTCTCCATCATCTTCGTCATCTGAAATAGGTATAGTATCTTGTATTTGTACGAGTGGAGGCATTGTTGTGAGCTATGCGAGGTGTAGAGTGGTTAATTACCGTTTCGCGATATAATATTAGTGTTACATACAGACTAACCGTATTGGGGAAGATCTTCGACAGGGGGAACGATAACCGTGGTTTTGGATGCTAAAGATCTTCAGAGGCCGATAATTGGAACTGTCAACTAGCGGCGTCAGAAAAGCGGTGATAGTGTGAAAATTGTATCTACCACTAAGACATTCTTTTTGGCAAATTTATAGTGAATCACAACGGACAAAGGGTGATATCAAGTTCAATTACCACAACCCCAAAAAACCCTGGCCCGTAGGCCTCCCTGCCACTACCCTTTATTTCTACTTCCCCCACCCCGGATACGTAAACAAGCCCAATTTCTTTTTGTCGTGCCCAAACATACCACTACTACCTGCTCTTCCCCGAAGCCAGATGCCCACAGAATGAAAAAGAAAGAAAAAAAGTGACTAGGATTACCAACTGAGAATAAAGATAGAGGGTAAAGGAAATAGAAGTTAAAGAATACGAATCAAGGACCAGGCGGGTGATGGATGGTAGCAATTGGGTAGGAAAGAGGGGAAAAAAGTATAACATATTGTACAAGACCCAGGCAGAAAAACTTCGCAGAAATTGCGCCGCGAAAATATCCAGTATCCTACTCCAGCCCACACCTACTTCCACTTCCATCCCCGCCCGATTTTCACGGGATCCAAGCTCGATCATCCTCCTATTGTTTTTTCTAGGTCTTGCAAGCACTTCCCCAATGTACTTCCCCGTCAATTCTTGAGAATTATGACTCTGGCCGGTTCAAGTCAATCGTGATATTTTGGGGGAAGGGAAAGGTCTATCCGTTCAATTAAACATCGACCCCACATTCTTGAACAAACTTCCAGAGCATTTGTGTAAGATGTGGGGGTAGTGTATATAAATCAACATGAAATTCCCCTTGTTCAACATCATTTTTAATGTATGTATCGGGGGTTTTGTTGTCGTGCACCATTTGGACGACTTGGAGCAAATGCTCCTCTTGAAGCTTTTGCAAACCATCCGCCAGCTTCTCCATATCAAACTACAGTGCGGCGCGATAGGTTAGCAAAGGGGAGCTCTGTCTTTATGTTTTCGTCGAGATTGGAGCTCTTACAGCACGCTCGCTTCGCGACTTCTTCTTAACCCTCTCCTCGCCGTCGTTCTTACGTTTATCGCGTTTCGTTATACCATTTTCTTCTGGTGGCGCTGAATCTGCGCCTGGTACGGGCCCAGAGAGAGCTAGTTGTTTGAGGAGGTTCGGACGTGGATTCGTGAATGTCTGCGCAGAAATTAACACATAATGTCCAAGTGAATATTTAGGGACTACTCACCACCGTGTGGATAGATTCATATTTGTTCTTCTGGAAATTCAGGTCATGGCGGATGGGGTGATCACCACCTTTGTCCACACCATGCAAAATAATCTCCATATCGAACTCACCCCATCCTTGCTCGGAAAGCAGAAATGGCGGCTTTTTTAGAACTGCGCACGCACATGACGTTAAAACAAAGGTTTCTTTCCTTCAACCCTCTCCGCAAACTTAAACGCAATGGATGTTTATATACGAACCCCTTGTGGGATTAGTGAAAGTCGGATGTAACTTATATGTTACTTTATCAAAGAGGCTCGCGGGCATTTCCTCCCCACTGGGTCCTAGGACAAAGATACGAATGGACCATTCTCGCATCGGGAATCCATCGTTCGAGGGCACATTGTCTCTAAATATAGGGAAGGCTGTTAGCTCTTTTTCCCAAATAACTGCGATCATACGCGCAAGTAAAGAGAAAACAACATAGTAGAGAAAATAGTTAACATACAGAATTGCCTGCTGCGTCACAAGCTTCACCTTCCGAGTTACCTAGGAGTCGCCAAAGCCTTGTTAGCTCCACGTCCAGTTTCGTCGCTCGTCTCTCCAAGCAATCGCGTGTGCGCGAATAATGACCGCGTGTGCGCGTCATTATTGTCCGCATTGCTCTCAACTATCCTTCACTTTCCTGCCAGAGTCGGGAAGGAGACGCGGGAAAAAAACGAACACACCTCTGTCATTGCGAGGATGCACGGTCTAATGAGAAGTTCAAAGGTGATCGGATTAGGTAGTGGGGGGCGTGGTGGAGGACGCGATGGTTGCTCTCAGCGATATTAGCTCCGGGAGGTGCAGTCACAGTTCTCGGTGCAAGCTGTCCAGCTGTGTCTAGCTGGTTCTCGAGGTGAACGGGTTGATTGATGTGGGGGAAAGAGGAGCGTTGTTATTTGTTATGGCGGGTTTTGGGTCTTGGCAAGTCACGTGCCGGGTGCCACGAAGCGCGCCTCAAAGTCACCAGGTGAAGGTTCCACATCATCATGGAGCGTCACTCGTTAAAGCATACCTTGTTCAATCCACCACAACACCCACAACACCGACACAATTATAGAAAAGTGGAATATTTGACAAGTTTGAAACCTTTCTATTTGTGGCTTTTATTTATTTAAGTCCTTTTTTTTTTTTCGTCAATGCACCGGGGCAAGATCCATTTCCAAAGTCATCATCTTTCCCCCAATTCTCCATAGCGCCTGACAGTATAAACGAAATAAGTCAATCAATCAAGACATTAGAATCATGTCCACCCCGTTTTGGAACCCCCGAACTATTCCAATTAGCTTATCCTATCCTCTGTGACTGCACCGAAATCACTCACCTGTGAATGTGCATATACACCTTTACTATATCATGCTTTGAGATACAGATACACACACAGTGAAGGCATTCGTATCCAAGGAAGATAATCATGAAGAGTAGAGAAAGAAAAAATACCAATAGAGAAAGAAACACAATAGCAAAACGACAACATAAAAAAACCTGACACCAAACCAATCCTTTCCAGTTGATCCCCACACCCAAGCAAAAAAGAAGACATAAGAAAACAAAGAGAGACAAATACACATGACCTAAGAAAAGACGACGGATAAACCTGCCACCCTAATGGAACGTAATGATAAAAAAGTCCTGCATCATAAAAAAAAAGTCTGGTGTCAATATACTTCTCATCTCCGCAACCAGCCGCGCTTCTTGGCTTCCGCTGTGGTCTCAGCCATATCTGCGACCTTCTTTTCCCAAACGATCTTTGCCTGGCGCTGGGCTGTCTGCACATAGACCGAAGGGGGCGCGGAGTTGAAAAGACGCTTGACATTGATCTCCCGTGTGCCTCGGTAAATCATTGTAACGCCTTTGGTAAGCTCTCTAGCCTTTGAAACCAACAGGCCCTTGACCTCCAATGCCTGTTGCCCTGCGATTTGGCTGAAGTCGCTTGCGATGCGGTTTGCGTCCGTCTTTGCCTGTTCAATGAGAGTCTGTAACTCCGTCTTCTTCTGCCCAGCAACCTTCTTCCATCCCGAAAGCTTAAGCCATGGAGACCCAAAGTCAACCTCGAGGGTTTCCTTCATCACAGGCTTTTGCTTCGTCCAGAGCGAAACGTTCATCAGACCCCAAGCCTCCTCGGCATCCAGCTTCAAGGTATAAACCCCGTCGAAAGGTTTCGAGAGCTCGGCTTCGATCTTCGCACCGCCTCGAGTAACCTCGACGAAAAGGGCTGGCGGTTTCTTGAGAAGCAAGTACTTTTGCGGAGGACGTACAAGTATATGATTGTCACCGATGACATGAATGCTGAATTGATCAGATTCGTTCAACGAGAGCAATGAGGAGTCATAAATAAGACTCGAAATGTCCATTTTTGGCCCGCATGCAGTAGAAATACTTGGGGCAGACTGCATCGCGGTATAAATGGACGTAAATGCCGAGATTGATGTGGGAACGGCCAAGGTCGCCGTAGAGGTAGCCGTGATCGCGGTAACAGCCTTGATCACAGTCTCTGTGACGTCCTCCACTTCCATGGATGACTTCGAAAACTTCATATATGCGATTGCGAACGTCGCCCCAGCGAGCCCACATACAAACACCCAACCAACAAGGAACAACTTCCACAAATCATCACGCTTCTGCTCACGGATCCAGTACAAGGAGCCCGTAGCGTTACCGTCTTGACGGTGAGGGGTTTTTTCTACATCTCGCATTAATGGGTTGAACAAAGCGGAGGAGGACGTACGCGTTCTGCCAACTGGCGCTGGAGAGATTTCCTGGCTTGAAGAAATGCCAGTGATACAAGCCAAGTTTCGGTTCAACTGGCGAACATCGAGATTGAGGAAAGTGGACAGATCAACAGGAAGACGTTTATGCACCAAGTTACCATATTTCGACTCCGATTGGGATTCGAGACACATATGCACACTGCGCGTGTCGAGAGCGAAATTCTCGGTAGGCTTATGATAAAGCGTATTCTGTGAGATAACAAGAGTCGGGACGGAATGCCTAGCCATGAAGGACCTTGCATAAACTCTGGTCATTCTTCTTTGTGTATTATCGTCATCCGAAGAGAAGACGACTGCAAGGTGAGGGAGCTTCCATCCAGGAGTTGTGATCTCAGGACCATCATCGCCATAGGTAGATTGCACCGATTGATTACCGTTCAACCATAGGCAGATGTTGTCCGGACGATTTTCCCGTTTAGAAGACTTTGCAGTTGTACATACATCTACAGCCATCTCCACGCCGAAGGACTCGACCAGCTCGACCTCAGGTGAGCAGCTACGAGTCCCGAAAGAGGAAACAGGAATGACATTGAAACGGGAACCTTTGGATCCAGATTCCCAAGAGCTTAGAGAGCTTGTCGATTCTGTAATAGGTACAGCCAAGGCACCACCTAGCTTTGTAATTATGTCATCCTTGGCCACTGTGGATCCAATATAAAGAACACGGAATGGTTCATTCATGATAAGCTGAGACTTGCTCATAGTCTGGCGGACGGTAGCAAAAAGCTTTGTTGGTGGAGGTTCTTCAACCCGAATGTGAGTGTTGATCTCGCTAGTCTCAGCCTCGTTGAAGTTGCAGATACTGTGGCTGACCGAGATTTGTTCGCCGGCAAACTCTTCCGGTTCTTCAAAGGTAATCTGCTCCGAGATTGATCCGTCCGATTTCATGGTCATTCCACTACATTCGAGGGGCTGCTCGTCTAACCCACCGAATGCTGGGATTCCTGGATGGGGATCGTTATGTTGTGTCTCGACAGGAAACTCTGCGAGAGACTCAGCATCTTCGGCAGATGCACTGTCTTCTTCTTCACTGTTTTCGTCCAAAGAAGCAACTGATGATGCATCATCTTCGTCGTCTGTAAGGAGGGTAGAGTCTGTGAGGATCTCATAGGTACTTTCACCCATTATGCCATCGCCGTCCTCTGAATAGGTCGGCATTTTTTTCCCCTTTTTTCAAAAGAGCCAAAATTTAAAGATGGGAAATTTCAAGGGATATTTATAGAGTTATATATCTGGGGGGGGGGGGGTAAGTCGCTGTATATCTAGTGACGTGGGACACAGCTGGTTTGTATAGCCTTGTTTTTTGGTCAGTAACAAAAGAACAAGATAGCGGTTTATGGGTGGAGCAGCGTGAAGCGAGAGGACAGAGAAATACACCTTTGTGAACGTAGTAGGTAAATACGAAGAGTCCAGGGTGTGAATCGGGGGGGAGCTTAGAGGTTGCGGGGGAAGAGGGAGGGAGATAGAGGGAGGGGTTTCTTTCCAGTGTTGTATGTGGGTCTCGTTACGTCGGGACTTTGAGGCTCCTCGGCACCGAGAGGCAAAAAGCTACTGCCTTGTTGTTCAGAGTTGAGTCAGACAAGAGAAAATCTGAGAACGAAGGCTCAGGATTGCGAGAAAGGAATCGCCGCACAGTAATAGCTATTCAAGAGTTCCTGGTAGCCAACCGTAGCATGTAACAAGGTTAGACTCTCAGTTAAACGCGGGGCAAAGCAGGTCTATTTGTTTGTATTGCACACAACTAAAGTAGCTATTAGGAACTGTCTCAGAGATAAAAGTAGCTCAATAGGGATCTTCTTCGAAGGCAATAGAAACAAGCTGTCGGGCCCAGGCAAAACGGAAGAGTCTGAGTGCACAAAAGACAGCGAATGCCGTGAGAAGATGAGGAGGAGAAGAAGAAGCACAGAGTGGGGAGAAGTGGTGTCCTTCTTCTAAAAGGTGTGTATGAGCTCAGCAATGGTTGTTATGGAGCCTTGGAGGGGTAAATTACACCAGGCCAGGTGAGCTGCAAGCTGCATCACGCCTAACTCTATGCAGCTAGGCCGTGTGTTATCGCAGTCCAGGATAAGGGTTACTCTCGCTGAGGATGGCACACGTTTCCTGCGATATCTCGATTGACCATCTCGTTCGACTGTAGCCGGTGGCTATCCATGACACAGAGGCATGGGGCGGGGCGGGGGACCGGCAGGTACCAATTCGTGTTGGATATGTAGAAACATCAAAGTTCCTGGATTCAAACACATGCAGTTGTTGTACGGGCAGCTCTTAAGCTTGCAGACAGACTCTCGTCAAAGTTATAATAATATCTGAGACATCGTTACTGTTGCCCAGTCATAGATAAAGCGAGTCATTCCGCCCACTTCTCTTCTTTTTTGCCAAAATTGTGCCCCGCCTATTACTACCATACATAAAAGAAGAAATCATAAATCATCCCTATCGACAAGTATCCAATTCATTTTCTTGGACTCGGCAAACTTCCTTGATTCCTGCTTCTATAAGCCTGCTCATGGCTAATCCTCTTTTTGTTGACCGCCTTATCCGATACCGTAACCTTCCCCAGAGAGCCGCATGAGACATAAAATAATGCCACGGAATGTTACCCCATGCCCGCTAGCAAGTTTAAAACATGAAAAAACAACACAGGAAGAGAATAATAATAAAAGAATAAGATATAACAGGAGAAAAGCCCGGTTTACATCTTCAACCTCAAGACCCACAAAAATGGCATCCGACACCAGCGTCAAGACTAGATAAAACAATGCAAACTAACCTATCCACCGTTGAAATATAAAACGAATTTATGATGCCAATTCTTGCAGCCCCGACCACAAAGAAGCGGAATTATAACGCGGTAGATGCAATGGGCAAGACAGAAAAAGGGGTAACAAAAAAGGTACTGTAAAACCAAAAAGAAAATAAGAAAGTGAAAAAAGTGAAAATAGTTAACATGGAGAGCAATACACAGACTCCGAGAGAAGTAGTAATCGATATCCACCCATCATTTATTCGTCTCTTACATCATGCCGATGTCCAACCGCCTGCCACTTCTACCCACTCAGAAAGACAACTTCCTGGCTTTCCTTCAATATCCAGAATATCAGTATCACATCTGCACCTGCACCCCACTCCATTCTCCTTCTCGGCATCCCAATGTTGCCAGTAGTCATCCTCTTCTTTTGCCTTCTTTGGATCGGTGGTTGTTTTCTCAATGAATTTTGGTCTAGGAAGCTGTCGAGCGGGAGCATTAGCCGGACAGTGCTGGATCGTGGTGTGTCGATAACCAAAGTCACGGAAATAGTGAATATCTGCGGGACCAAGGAGGGCACCAGCGGCAAGAGAATGAATTGGGGCATCTCCCCACTACAGTAATAATCAGTAATCAGATCTAACAGAACTGCAGGTATATTGGGGGGAAACACTAACCCGTTCTGTCCAGAAACCGCCACTTTTATCCATCATTTGGAAGAAATCCTCATAGGGTTTGCTTCGGAAAAAGTCCAAACGAGCGATTTCAAAGTTACTCCAGAAATGACACATGTTGTACTTTTCCGACTCCATTGCATCTGGATCAACATCTGGGAGCTTTCCGCTGTTAGGGTCAAGCTTCAACACCTCTTCAGGAAGCTTGTCCAATTTCTTCTCCTTGGGTGGTTCCGGTTTCTCAAGGAACATCTCCCATAGTCCCTTGGATGTAACGTTGTTGGTTCTTTTATATGCGGACGCATAGCGGAAAAGGTTGGGCACTGTTTCCTTTAGTTCCTTGACCGCAATTGTGAAACCGTATGTCTTGTTATTCCTTGCCATGTGCAAGAACGGATCGCTGAATCCATTAGTATCTGTAGAAATGCATCGTTATGGAGAGGAAACCCTACTAAGTGATATCACAGAAGTACTTGATCTCGGGCTCCAAGCGCCAGTACCATTCGTACTTTGCCAGCAACTCGTGCTTGTAGAAAAACCTAACCCCCCAATTCTAGTTAGAAACAGATCCCTGGCCGATGTGAAAAAATAACAATGTTCCATACCCAGAGTAAAACCGACACATGTGATGGTAACTGGCCATGCCACCGTACATAATTGCCGCATCTCCTTGCTTTGCGATCGATTCTGCAGCCTCATCATGATCTACCCAATCAGGGAATCCCCACATGCTGGAGTCAATCTTTCCAAACTCAACCGAACCACTGGTGTAGTTCTGAACAGCGTTCTTGAACTCCTCGTTGAAGACGCCGTCATTGAGGAAGACGTAGGGATAGTGGTACCAGCGATTGAAGTGACGTTCGATTGACTTGAGAGACTGAATAACACCTTCCAACTCCTTGTTCCGGGCAAGCACAACGAACGCCGCGTTTGCCCGCGGTGTGTTCGTCTCGGGTTCCAAGCATCCTGTAACAAAGGGCTTATCGAATTCTTCAGAGATTTTCCTGTATACTGTGGTCAGAATACCCCTATCATACAACTATCGGCCATTTCAGAGACCGGGAGTGAAAAAATCCCTACCTTATCGACGGAGGAGATCCAGATGGGATCAGTATTCTTGCGGGGGAATCGGGGTGTCGAATGAATAGGACGAGTATAAGAAGGACAACTGTTACAGGGAAAAGTAGGATTACTCCTAATGGTATCGTAATGCTGTTCCCTTTAGATAACTTGACCCGCCGCCGCAGGAAAGCTAACCGCGGCGACAGTCGATTCTTTGAAAAGTCCTCAAGCGATGGCATATTTGTCTTTGAGGGGAACCGTTGGTAAAGTTGGGTTACCAACCCCATACAATCGGGAGTGAAGGATGGAGGGGGTTATTGCAAGGTTGATAGGGAAGGGGTTCGGTTACGATAATTCCTTCGAAAAGAAGCTTATCGAGTAATATGTAACGCCTGAGCGATGAGATAGATGATGGATAGAAAAAAAGAGAATGGCAAGGACGGTCCGAGAGAATGGCTGCTGCTGTCAGAGCCACTGCGTACTCCTAAAAAATCTCAGTACGTGCTCTGCGCAACTAGCCCCGGCAAAGGAATAAACGATAAGTGGAAGCAAGTAGAGAACACACCTATTACAATCGATGTTGTATGGATGATGAAGATGCCGGCGAACCAGCTCTGTTAAGAGGATTGGAGATGATTGATTGCAGACAGCAGCAGACTTCGTCGCGAGAAGTGGCTGTTGGAGCCAAAAAAAACTGGGGGCCGCCGATGTGGACTTAGGGGAAAGGGAGAATCTGGCCTGCTTGTCGAGCAAAATCCCACTGTGTGATTAATCAGGTTAGCCGCATGTACCACTGTGGAGCAAAATATCAACCCCCCACGTGCAAAAGCTTTTACTAAGCCCTTGCCCAACTCCAAGTCCACCCTAGATGCCCTAAAAAATAATTTTTGGATTTCCTAAGGCAGCCTAAACAATCATTAAATACGAGTTGCACGAGTTATCACTCGCTGGGACCCTTCGAAGGTGGTTAAAAAGGGTGGATACGCCCCTGTCAATCCTATCTGTTCAACTTTAACTCCAGTACTACATTTCTCATAAGTGTAGGTGCAACATATATAGCTGCCAATCTGGGGCACTTTTCATGCAGGTTCAAGGCATTTACATCTACTAATCTTACCAACCTTTATTCAATAGGGGGAATGTGAGATCGACCATAGCCTCAGAGGTTTCCTATAGCAATATTTGAAATCTTAGTTACTGGATTACCAGATCATACGAGCTTGACTCAAAACCTTTCCATTACAACCCAAGTTATGATGTAGTCAGTAGGCATCATAGAGACAAATCCTAAATAACCTTTATTTTGTAGACCTTGGCTAGGCTCGATCCAATCCACTGCTGGTCCTGCTGTGCAGCTCAAGCTGCTAGTAGAGGGTTTCCTGATGCTATTTCTCATGAGTCTCAGACCTTGAAGCTTCAATTATACGCCAAAGGGTTCATTTTGGTAGATCGACGGCGCCGATTTTAGAGTATTACACTCCTCCAAAACCCATCCTCCAATCCAAAGGACAAGAGAACATCATCTTCCCCCGGGGAGATGTACAAACCTATTAATAATTTACCCGGGTGTTTTGTCGAGCACACGGATCTCTCCCAAACCCAAACCCAAACCCAAACTTAAGCATAACCCGCCAAGCCTTCCACCTCAATCACGTCTCCCCCTGCCCTGCCAGCACCTAGCTCCATACATGTAGTTACACGCGCGCGCACGCCCTCACAAACAACACCAAGCACTCGCACCATGTCGCACAAGTCCAAAAACCTCCAATATGGTAATCTACATGCCCAACCATCCATCCGCGGGCAGCTAGCGAACCTTTTTCCTCCGGGCTAACTGAACAAACTGCGCGCGCACAGAGATGGAAGAGCCCGCCTTCCTGCGGCGCCTGCGGCAGCAGCACGCCGGCGGCGGTGGGCCGGACCGCTATATCGCGCCGCGCAATAAGAAGACGGCCGTGGACGACGAGGAGGATGCGCCGGCGTATGTGATGGAGGGGTCAGAGGTGTCGAGGGAGGAGTTTGATGCCCTCACGAGTAGGAAAGGGGCGCAGGCGGAGGGAGAGGAGGGTGCTGCTGCTGGGGAGGAGAGCGTTGTGCCTGTTGGGGAAGAGAGTAAGGAGGTTGTGGGGAAGGTGAAGGGAGAGGAGGAGGCGGGAAGGGTGCTGAAAGAGAACGTCACTGAAATAGGCGTCAAGGGGAAGAAACGGAAGGCGACTAAGATCGGTGGCGATGATGATGAGCCGGCTGAGAAAGAGAAGAAGGAGGAGGTGAAGGATAAGAAGGGAAAGGCGACAAAGGCGGGCAGCAAACCTAAGAAACGAGCAGTCAAGCTGTCATTCGATCAGGAATGAGGGATCGGAGTAGTAATATATTGTGCCTAATTGTCATAGGCCCTAAAGGCATATAACCCTCACAGCGTGGTGTCCTGGCTTGCGCTGGTGTTTGCGGGATTAGGTAGAAGTGATTAAGTAGAAACTTCTTTTAGTTTTTCGTATGTTTCCTTCTGCGAGCCATTGGCTTTGAGCAATAGATAAGCATGCTGTAGAAATTAGTTACGGTTCTCATAGAGGCGATGCTCCTCTTTCCGAAGCCGTTTTATTACTCCATGATGCCGCGAGGAAACAGGGTACCCCGCCTGCCTAAAGCTAGGAACCGGGCTTGTCCGTATGCATTTTATATAGCGAGTGATTGCTTGTGATTGATGTGTACCAGGGCCCCACGGCTCTGTCCGGGGTCAAAGGAACCCGTACCTACATCTCGTGTAATCATCTCCCAAAAGAAGGTCCATCAGTGCCATATTCGGGATGACATTTCGTGTGGGTGAGAGTACTTGAACTTATCCATGTGGTCGGGTCGGTGCTGATATGTTTATATCATGAAAAACGTCACTGCTTAGATATCGGTCCTGATAGCGTTGCATTGGTCTCGTTGTAGTTGTCACCGATTTGAATATCGACCCTCCGAAACTCAAGTGTGAACCCCCACTACCAATTGCTGTTTTTGTAGACATGAGTTATCTACAAGATCGCGGACATCATCCCGAGTACCCCCGCACAGCATCAATTTCGGCAGGTACTCTTATATGACATTCTGCGGGGTTACATGGCTACCGACTAATATCAAGATTAAAGCCAAGCATACGTTCTTCAATGCAATCTCAGCTCGGGAAAGTCCTGACAGTCGGAGCAGAGCAGGCCATATCTCGAATCTAATCTATGGAGGCAGACTCGATCTGGAACGGTCATGATGCATCGCTTGGCAGTGTTCGCACACCCGACCAGCCCCCGCCGCTCCGCTTACCCTTGGAGCTAGCACGCATCTAGTCACGAGTGAGCCCTGGTGATCAACAGCACCCGCCCGATGAAACGAAACCTCCCCTCGACGCGCACAGCGAGCAGAACACTCAGGACACACAAACATCGTGCCAAATAGCAGCCTATTTGCATCACTTAGCACATGTGTGAATCTATCTATCTACATACCGCTTAGGGAACATCTACAAACGAAGCAGCTATGTACTCCTCGAGCAGTTTGTAAAACGATCTGCATCTACAGTCCGGCACGCCGCACATCGATCTTGGTAGAGATATATGAATTCCCAGATTACCTCCGCACCCCTTCGACCAAACCCTGGGGCCTGGGCACGCGATAGGTTTATCTATGATTTTAAACGTTTACGTATTCCCAAAGCAAGCCTTTTCCCTCCCGCCATCTATCTTATCCTACGTGCGCATGCAGTCGTATTAGCGACTCCGAGAAACCTTCCTGGAATGTGGACTATCATTACCGCATGCGGGCGGTAACTCCTTGTTGCCCGCTACACTCTGTTGCCCGCGCGCAACTGATAACCTATCAATTTGCGGACCCATGGGGGGTTTCGGAGACTGTTTTAGAGCTGGCTAATTGTAGCTTTTTTCTTTTGGCTTTGGGGGTTTAAAGTATTTATTTATTCGCCCGGTGATATATGGTCTGCCACGCTCCCAGCTCTAGAGCTATAAGAGACAACACAACACCTTAATACGAGTTACTTTTTTTATTATTATTAGTCTTCTTAGACGCTGTACTTGTATACCTACGGAAAAAAACTCAGAGCAAGAGCTGTTTAGCTTTCGATATATGACGGACATTAAGCAAGAACACCCGGACGTGGAAAAACACCCTGGATCTATCTCGTCAGCGAAAGATGGCTCGACGGAACTCACAGCCCGAGTAGTCGATGTCGCTGCCGAGAGAGCACTATGCAGACGTTTCGACTACAGACTGATGCCTGTTCTGGCGGTCATGTACCTCTTTAATGCGTATGTTGCCATACATACCAATAAAGAAATATATTTATTGAGTACACCAACTAACTGTGCTTATACACAGGCTCGACAAAGGAAACCTTGGAAATGCGAAAACTAACGGTTTTGAGAAAGACCTTGGCTTTAAAGGAAATCAGTACAATATAATCCTCTCTGTGTTCTATGTGCCATACGTCTTATTTGCGCCGCCCTTGGGGATGCTGGGAAAGAAGTATGGGCCTTCTAGGGTGCTCCCTGTGATGATGTTTGGGTTTGGGAGTATGACACTGCTTGGAGCCAGTGTTAAGAACTTTGGAGGCATGATGGCAGGTAAGTACATCTACTTTTAGAGTTGTTAATAGCAGGATACAGACTAACCGTGCTTACTTACAGTCAGGTGGTTTTTGGGAATGGCTGAAAGTGCATTTTTCCCTTTGGTAAGTCCTTAGTGCAGTATGTAGTAGTAATAGCAGTAATGAATGAAAGAAGGGACTAACTCCTCTTATAATAGGTCATATACTACCTCACGACCTTCTACAGGCGCGGCGAACTCGCCCGCCGTCTAGCAATATTCTACGCTGCTAGCAATATTGCAAATGCCTTCAGTGGTTAGTACTTAGTTTAGGCAATCCCGTAAACTAAAGCCTCCCAGCTAACCCAGTCGCCAGGTCTCCTAGCGTTCGGCGTCTTCCAAATCGACCACTCCATCCCCTCATGGCGCTTCCTCTTCCTTATCGAGGGCTCTTGCACCGTCTTGTTCAGCCTCTTCGCCTGGTGGTACCTCCCCATGAGCGCCGCCAAAGCCCGCTTCCTCAGCGATGCCGAGAAGGAGCTCGCCTTCCACCGCATCCAGGTCGACAGCTCCTCGGTCGTCGACGAAAAGTTCAACCTGAAGGAGTCGCTCAAGGTGTTTAAGCTGCCGGTTGCGTGGGCGTGGCTGGCCATCGAGGTGTGCTTGGGTGTGCCGCTACAGAGTGTGTCGCTATTCCTGCCGCAGATTGTCGGAAGGTTGGGGTACAATGTTATCAAGACGAACCTGTTTACTGTTGGTATGGGTTTCTGCTTCTCGCGAGATGTGTGGGGAGAGAGAAGTGCTGATTGATGGTTATTAGCTCCGAATGTAACTGGTGCGGTCATGCTGCTTATCCTAGCTTTCACATCGGACTTTACACGGCTGAGATTTCCGTTCATTGCTTTAGGCGGGTATTTAGGTGGTGATACGATCATTGACTGCAGCTAACGTTCCTGGTAGGCTTTTCGTTCCCGCTCATCGGTTTCATCGTATACTCCAGCATCGACGCTCTCTCCGAGAAACAGATTGCCTACTTTGCCACATTCATGATGTGCTGGGGCACCTCGGCACCCAGCGTACTGCTCTCTACCTGGTGTAAGTACTGCCACCACGAACAAAACCCCATTGCATATCTCGAGGCTAAAAAAGACCTCCCCCTATACTACAGATAACAACAACATCGCCCACGAAGGCCGCAGAGTAGTCCTCACCTCTGTCGGAGTCCCAGTCGCAAACATGATGGGTATAACCCCCATTCCTCTCTTCCTGATCTATCACTAACCTAATATCCCGCAACTAGGAATTGTTAGCTCTAACATCTTCCGCGCCCAAGACGCCCCCGACTACATCCGTAAGCCCCCCCCCCCCAAACTCCCTTCCTCCCTACACCGCAGATAGCTAACCACTCATACGTACAGCGGCCCTCGTGACAACCGCCTGCTTCGGCGCCGCAGGCGTCATACTCTCCGCCGGACTGGGCACCTTCATGATCTGCGACAACCGGCGACGGGACCGGGAGCAGGGCGTTCGTATCGATGCAAGGGACGTGCCTACCAAGGTGCTGGCAAAGGGGCCGGGCGCGGCCGAGTTTAGGTGGTTTTTGTAGCTAGATACGTGTATATAGCTGGAATGTATGTCTTAGTGAAGGAGAGGTGGTGCGTCATGGGGTGTCACTCGGTCGGATGTGCTGGTTGTTGTTTGTGATTAACGAATGGCTTTTTCGTAGTTTGGTTGAATATGTTTTGTTACTATTTTCAAAAGGAGATGTGGGGGTTTTGGGTGGGTGCTGTTGGGGCAGCTGTGGTTGTTGATCTAGTTGGTAGATTAATTATGATTCTCTCCCTCCCTCCCTCCCTCCCCCGCTTTCCTATATCATAAATACAAACCAACGAACCAACCTACCCAGAAGCTCTCCACTAGCCAATCGACAGGATGAAGGGATAATCTCGACCCTTTCCCACCTCTCAGGATAAAGGTCCAGCTATGTACCTAACTAACTCCATATACACACACACAACGTACCTCCAGTAAACCCCAAGCCCACAAACTCCGCCCAACCTCCAAGCACCCCCAGAACAAAGAGCACCACCACCACCACCACCACCACCACCACCACCACCACTACTACACAACTCTTCCGTCATCCCTACACGCCAGCCACATCCCCAGCGGAGAATGACGCGCGCGGGGGAACGCCAGTTCGGAGGTTATATTTAGAAATTCAAAGGGAAAAGTGGCGGCGGCGATAAAGATAAGGGCAGGTCTAACTCAACTGGGGGCCCTGGGGTAGATGTCCGGTAACATCATATCATATATCGGACCTAGTTGTTGAGCAACACAGGACAGGACGTGTAGGTCCCTCCTACATGTATGTAGCAGCGTCGTAGATGGGTACGAACACGCACGCCCTTGGCTACGAGTGATACACTATGACGTACACACAATCCACAGCACGGTGAAAAGATACTAGCTCAAGATGCACACAAAACACCAGGCAACCCCGCAGTAAGACCCACAAGTCTGCCTGCGACCTGACTTTTTTTTTTTTGTATTTAGGGCCCGTTTGGCAACGGGGTCGACTTGTCGGATTTTGGTGGGGAGCGACTTATTCGCGTATTCTGGACTCCCTAAAAAGTTTTGGCTGTTTGGCAACACATTTTGTCCAGTAGATTTGTCACCCAAAGTTAACAAATCGACTGAACGATATCACCTCCAACCCAACCACATTCGGTCAACTTAATTTAAACTACCAAACAGCAGGCAACTAACTTTTCTAGAGAGCGACTTATCCTCTCCACATAAGTGACCCTTTGGATAAGTCCGTTGCAACGACTTAAACTACCAAACGGGCCCTTATATCATCAACAAACACCCCATCACCACCACAGACTCGGCCGGCGGGGAGGGGAAACAAGGTAACTAACTACATATAATAACACAACAGATATTCCCGCGACGCGGTACAAGGTTTTTCTTTTCTTTTAAAAAAACAACACACACACACTAACAAAGTCCCTTCAATGTCCAGTATTGTGGGGATAGCATGCAGGAGATTATCCACCCCACCCCGGTTACCTACTGTACCCTATGGCAGCAGCAGCAGCATACAAAAGAAAAAGAGAAATTTTTTTTTCCAAATACTCTCAGCATGGTGGAGAAAATATAACACAAGCCCGAGATGTCAAAAAAAGAAAAAAAAATGAAAGAGACTAGAAAGGTTAATATATTTGCGTCCTCACACCCCCCACATAAACTAACAGAATCCTCATACCCCCCCCCTCCCCGCCCATCCCCGTTACCCAAACCACGCGCCAAAAAAAGACGTGTCGTTGCTCCGGTCCCAAGATGAAACCATAACTCCAGACAAGGTAGGATCCACAAAAAAAAAAAAAAAAAGGAAAAAGGAAAAAGGAAAGCACAAAAAACCCATTCCCAAAAAGAAGAGGAAATCAGAGACAAATGAGATCAAATAGAGAAAGGAAGGAAATAAAATAAATGAAGAGAGGACTCTTCTTTGAATAAGGCACTTACTTGCACTTACTGTCCGCCCATCTTGGCCACGCCCTCAAGATACGCCATCAACCCCTGTCTCTCATTGCCAAGCGGGCTCTTTAGCGGCTCGCTCTTTTCCTTTCTGGCGACGCGGCCTCTGCTGGCGCTGCGGCTCCTCCCGCCGCTAGCAGGGTTGGGGTTGGGGTTGGGGTTGGAATAGGCCTGCTCGGGGTTGGGAAGCGCTGACTCTGGAGCCGGCGAGACGCCGCCGGTGAACATGGCAAGGAGGGTTTGCTGCTGGCTACTGAAGCTGTCCCTGCGATCAACGTTGCTCGGTGGTGGAGCGTACTGAGATGTTTGCCTTATAACGCCGGGGGATGCGCGGTGCTGGGCCTGTGGTCCCACGGTGGATGAGCGGGATATCGGCGCGTGTATAACTTGCGGCGGGGGGGCAAAAGCCTGCCCTGAGGCGACGCTAGCGGCGCGAGGGCTGTCACCGCGGAGGGTGGCAAGAAGAGCAGCTTGCTGCGCGGTGTGTGCTAACTTTGGGGTCCTAGGAGTTGCCTGCGGCCTCGCAACTGGCTGTTCGTAGGGAGCGGCAGGCGAGGCCCTAACTTCTACCTTCGGGGATGCAGCAGCCCGTGGTGCTAGTGGAGGTGGGGCCTGTGCAGGTGGTTGTTGTGGTGCTGGTGTCGCTCCTGTTAGAATAGACAATAGGGTACCTGCTTGTTCTCCCGGGATCGAGGGTAGAGGAATATTTGTCTCCACTGCAGGTGTAGGCACCATGGGCGGCCTGTACCCGTTCTGATTTACAGGTGAGAATGCATATGGCTGCGGCTGCGGCGGCAGTGCGTAGTTTACACGAACATGATGTTGAGCCTGATGGTTCTGATGGCTCTGGTGATTTTGATGGTTCTGATGACTTTGATAGTTTTGATGATTCTGATAGCTTGGTTGACTTTGAAACCCTGGTTGGCCCTGATGTCCTGGTTGATTCTGATAGCTTGGCTGATTTTGATAATTCTGATTATACCGAGCGGATGGATGATTAGACATTGGCGGTGGCGATGAAGGCAATTGAGTAGTTGAATCTGGCACGTTTCGCGGAAACTCAGGCCACCCAGTATTTGACCCGATGATACCACTGTTAGCAGAGCTCAGCGCCTTCTTTATAGGCGTTGATTTCTGCGATTGCGGCGAATTAACATAGTTCTGGACGGCCGGTGTTGCGCGCTGAGGAGATGCCAACCGCTGACCACTTCCTTGGGGCGGGACGCGCGGAGTTACGGGTTCGCCAGATCCATTTTTGAGTATTGAAAGTAACGCGAGTGGGTTTGGCTCGAGTTGCTCTACGTTCAGAGAGACGCCCGACTGCTGGTTCGGAGAAGGCCCAGCGCCCAGCATGTTCATCAACCTCGCGGACTGGTCACCATGAGCTGCTGGTTGCACATGTTGCGCTTGTACCTGTTGGGATTGTACTTGTTGTACCTGGTGTACTTGTTGTCCCTCCTGCTGATTACTCGAGGATCCGAAAAACATATTTTTGAGCCTCATTGAAGCTTCATCGGTGCTTGAATACCCATTGGCCATAGCTGCATCGTTCTGCGGCGGCGGTGGAATACCAATGAAATTCCGTAACTGAGCTGATGGATCTGGCATTGGAGTTGCAGTCTCCTCCTCAACCTCAGTCTCATCAGCTATCCTATTTGCTGCCGCCGCAAGGCTCTGCTGATGCTGCTCTTGTAGCCACTTCTTGCCCTTTGTAGAGATCCATTTCCGCAGGTCCTTGAGGAACGGGGCCACCATGTAGTATTTCCCAGTCCGCACCTCGTTCTGCGGCGGCGGCCCATTCTTCTTCTTGGAATACGCGGGGAGATCGGTAAGGCGATGCCATTTGATATCCTACCAACAGCCTGTCAGCACCCCACCACCCCACCAGCACACACACACAATACGCACACTAATCTCCTTTCTTGTCTGGCACTCGAACACCGTTTCCTCCGAAACGCCAGGTACGATATATAGCCTCAGATTCTGGTCCCTCATCACAATCTCTACATAGTCCTCCTCCTTCGCCAAGCCCTCGCAGTCGAACCCGGTCTCTTCAAAAACCTCTCTGATTGCGCAGACCATGTCGTCTTCATCCTTGTTGATCTTGCCCCTTGGGTAGCTCCAGCTCGCGCCCTTCTTGTAGCCCTTCACAAGCAGAAGCTTGTCCATTGTCGGGTTGAGGATGATGGCCCCTCGCACAGGCACCCGCGTCTTGTAGGACATGAAGTTGATGAATGCACTTTCCGCGCCGCCGGCGGGGAGGCCGGCGATAACGGGGAGGGGCAGCACGGCAAAGATCTTTGAGATGAAGTTACGGAGGTTGAGCGTTGGCAGGGCCGGGTTGATGTCCCGGAGGAAGTCCTCGTAGTACCATTGCGCGGCTTCGATCTGGAAGGATAATCGCTGTACGGGGGAGAGAGAAGGGGGGATCAATTCAGTAATTTTTTTTTTACGGATTTTACGGGGGGCGAAAGCGTTAAAGGTAGCTTGCTGGTTGGAAAAAACAAACCTCGATTGAGTTCAGCTCCTCCTCCGGGATGTTGAGAATGAATCTGTTTTTGTTGGCACCGCTCGTCAGCGACCGAAAATGACAACTAGCACAACCAATGGGGTATTTTTTTTCTCTATTGCGTACCGTACACAGAGGTCATCGAGAGTCTCTGGAAGTGTCGAGCGACTAAGGATCTAAAAAAGGCATCAGCCTCATGTTCCTCCCCTCTATCTCCTCCGCGTCAATTCAACAATCTCCACAACAGAAACGCACATAGGTAGAAGTGTTAGGCTCCATGCAACTCGGTGATGCTCTCTCTCGGGATCAAAGCGATTCCCACAGAGACGAAAAAAGACTTTGACAATAAAGAAAAGAAAAGGTTGGTACTGAAAACCAAGGGGGTTGTAGATGGTATGAAAATAGAAGTACTAGAAAGTAGTAGTAGTGGTAGTTTTTACTCGAACAAGGAAGGAAAAGATCGAAAAGACCAGAGCCAGTGGGGGGGGGGGGGGGGGAATATGACAACAGGGAGCACACACACAACCAGGGGGGAGTGGAATGTTAGGATGAAGGTTGAAGGTGAGATTTTTTTTTTCTATTATTTTTTTTTTTGGTGGATCGCGATATGATTGATGATGATGAGGTGGTGGGGGAAAGCTGCCTGCGGGATTCAGGCAGGCAAGGTAGGCTAATGTGGTGGGACCTCTTCCGCTTTTCTGTAACACGCAGTTTGGCCTTGTGCATGAACTCTTCTTCTTCTTCTTCTGCTGCCACAGCTGCTTTCAAAAGTCTCCACCTTTACGATATCTTCTAGGGTTTACTTTCGCGATGATGATGCACATCATGTGGAGTAGGTGCTTTACTGAGCTAGATCGATAGCCTAGAGCTCGACACAAGCACATGATTATTCCAAATGTTGAAAGTGTTGAGTGCACAGCCACAGCCACGGCATCTCCGAGCCACTGCTCATGAAGCTGAGCACCGCCACCCATGACGTTGTGCGTGTGGCAACCAATCAAGGCTGTCCAGATGTGTGGAGCTCTCTCTCTTTCAATCACTCGCCAGCCAGCCAGCGCACTCACGCCCGCGCACTCGCTCGCTCACTCACACTGCCCGTGCTGCACCTGTTGTTGGAGCTTGGTGATGCTTGATTTTCTCATTCTGTCCCTTGCCATTATGTGGTACTCTACTGGCACACCGTCAACCGCCCGCCCGCCATCAGGGAAGACGATCCAATCAAGCACCCGGCCTGCGTAACTGTCACCTGTGAAAAAGCTTTCTTCCAAGTTTTTACTCTTTTCCCTTTACTGGCTGTGAGCCCCTTGGTTGGTGGAGCTACCTACATACGGAGGTTTCCTTGCACTAAGGAGAGGCGTGATGATGATCATGATGTTTGATATAAATGTTCAATGGACTCCTGCCAGTCCTGCCCAGTCCTTCAGTCCTCTGTTCGCTCTCTCCTCCCAATTCAATTGTGCTTCTATCTAGAGTAGATCTCTCTTCCACCATTAAAGCTGCAGGCTACATACATAGCTCAGTATTTAGCTGACACCATACATACACACGCACTCCCCGCTCTGTCTGTCTCACCAAGAAAGCTCCCCCTTCCCCCCACCAAGACTGAGCTACTCTAGATCTACAAACAAGTAAATTACCACCAGCTCAGACCATCTCATCTCATCTCCCATAATATAAAACATAGAACACTCCCCCCCCCCCCCCCCCCCCTCGATCAAAGTCTAAATCCCCCACCCCCACCGACCACCCCGCATAAACAACCACAACCACACACAAAAACGCCATCATGGCCGGCCTCATCACAAAGGTCGTCTTCAACAAGATCCTGCGCGAGAACGCCTCAAACAACCAGGGCCGCACCGACCCCTACTTCGAGACGGTGCCCGCCGCGCGCCTCTCCACCTCCCGCACAAAGAAGGTCCGCCGTGCCCTCCCGCCGGGCCTCTCCGCCGAGGACGAGCGCACCCTCGTCAAGGTCAAGCGCCGCGCCTACCGCCTCGACATGGCCTTCGGCGAGTTCTGCGGCATGAAGATGGGGTGGAGCTCGCTCATTGCTATCGTCCCGGGCTTTGGTGACGTCGCGGATCGTAAGTCCACCACTCTCTTTTCTTGTGAAAAACAATGCTAATAGCAACCTCCCCCAACAGTGCTCCTGGCAATGATGGTGATCCGCACCGCCTCCGAGGCCAACCTCCCCACCTCCGTCACGCTGCAGATGGTCTTCAACGTCATCGTCGACTTCGTCATCGGGCTGATCCCCTTCCTCGGCGACCTGCTCGACATCGCATTCAAAGCCAACACGCGCAACGCCATCCTGCTCGAGGACTACCTGCGCCAGCGCGGCGCCGCAAATATCGCTGCCCAGGGCCTCCCGCCGCAGCAGGACCCGAGTCTGGGCGCTAATTACGATAGACTGGAGGATCAGCAGCCGCTGGCGCAGCCGGCGCCGGCGTATCAGGGTGGGGGGTTGCGCGGTGGGTGGTTTGGCGGGAGGAGGGAGGAGGATTTGGAGGCGGCGAGAGGGGAGAGGAGGGAGGGGGTGGTAGTGGTGGCGAGGGGAAGGGGGGCTCGAGACATGGTGGGGGAGGCATGGGGGGAGAGGCATGGCGGGGAGAGGCATGGAGGGGAGAGGCATGGCGGGGAGAGGCATAAGATCTCCAAGAGTAAGTCTTCGAGAGATAGGAGTGCGAGGATGGGGCCGCAGGAGAATGGCACTACGGTGCGATAGATGGGGCGGGTTGAGAGCATAGAAATGTATATTTAGGTTGTGTTTCTTTTGTAGATTTTGGGGGAACGGAGTTCGATGGTCATACCAATGATTGTTTCTTATTTTTTCTTATTTTTCTTATCCTTTTATTTCTTTGTATTATTTTTTCTTCGTCTCTTTCTTTTTCTATTTAGCTAGCGTTCAGTAGTAGCGGGGTACACTGTCGGCGAATTATTACTATTCATTTTTTTATCCAATTAAAAATGTTTATTGAAAAATTAACTGTTACTAGTGCACTATGCTATTTTGTCGCCCTAAATATCATTTCCGTTTCTAGCCCCCACGGCAGCAGTACCCGGGATTCATATTCGTTAACGAAATACATGTAGCCACCTCAACGCAAATACAAGAAACTGAATGTAGGTATATTATTATATGATTGGAGGCACAGGTTGGCCTATGAATCGTCCCATCCTCTGTTTACTGCTTGCGCGCTTAATTATAATTTCACAGTGATACCAATCAATTGGTAGCTTTAGAATCTTGCGACACCATGTGGACCTTTTAACTTGTGTATATCACCAAGCTTAATTAAAAACTTGCGGGTTTTGTTTCTCCCATCTAGCTACATATGTTTATGTTTATGTTTATGTCCTACTCATAGCGCCCAGTCTTCTGTATGCCATGTCTTCCCCCCTCTGAGCCAAGTCAAACGTGATGGTCAGTAGCTGTAGTGAGGTACCGGTACCGAATCTCTACTTGAACCACCGATGCGAGCGATGAGATGCATTTCGTCCAGGACAGAAGTGATCAACTAGATACAGTAGACTCCGAGTAGAGTAATCAATTAATATCAATCGCTTGCAGTGCCTTACCTACGTATATACCTACATACCCAGAGTAGCAGTACCGCAGTAGGTACTCGCACCCCCCCTCAAGCATTCCCATTCTACCGGATATCCCCGCGGGCGGTAACTACAGCACCAAGTAGCAAAGCCGCCGCACCGCACCGCACCGGCCCCTGACCATCCTTTGCGCCCTTTCCCCAATCCAACCCACGTGCGTCAACCTCAACCTCGGTCCGGGCCTGTCTGGCTACTCGCGCATTCACGTTCACGGTTCACATACACCCACTCACATCCCATTCGTGCAGCGCAGCCAGCAGCAGCAAAGAAGAAGAAGAAGAAGAAGAAAAAAAGAAGAGGAAAAAAAGGCTATCCCTAGCACCGTACCGCGATGACCTGTCACTGAGTGATATCCGTGATTACCGTAACCCGTAAGCTAGCCAGCCAGTAGTCCGGCGGGTAGTCGAGTTGGGAGGAATGAAGACACCACCACCGTCACCCCAAGACGACTCCCCAGCTCTCCTCTACCTCCTCGCGCTATGTGATCCGGCCCACGATAAACAAACCAACACCTACTTCACCCAGCACTACCTCGACACAAACACCCACAACAATCACAACCAATACAACAACACCCCCGGAACAATGTCGCCCAATAATAATAACAACCTTGACCTGTTCGCTGCCTTGGGTGGTGGGATGCCCGGCGGAGGAGGAGCGAAGGATATGGGCGGTATCAACATCGACGAGGCAATCCGGCAGCTGAGGAAACACCTCCCGGGGGCCAGATCGCGTTTGCACCACTTCCTGCTGAGGATGAACAAGTGAGTATATATATATACCATATAGATATATATGTCTCAATACACACATCTATACTCCCCGCTGTTTACCTACGCCCTCTTTCCGTCCCATCTCCCCTCCACATACACCCCGCGTTTCTCAGAGGAGGAGGTCTGAACCAAACCGAACTGACAACATGCTGCGTGCCCGTGCGCGCGCGCGGCGCTCCCCAGGATGATGTCCACCCCCGGCGGCGTCGACAAAGTCCTCATGACAATCTCCTACACGCTGCAAATGGTATCTCCGAACCTCCCGCGCGGCTCCCCGCTGCTCAAGTCCATCACCTCCCTCACCTCCCTCATCTCCGACATCCGCATCTTCAACCGTCTCTGGGGGCTCCTCGGCATCTACGCCTGGGGCCACAGCATCGTGCAGCACCCGCCGCGGGACCTGACGATCCGCCGGATCGTCGCGGCGCAGGTGCTGGTCAATGCGTGCTTCCAGGGCCTGGAAAACGTGGCCTATCTGGCGTCCCACCAGGTGCTGAGAATCAGCAAGCAGGGGCAGAGCAAGCTGTGGATGTGGAGTAGCAGGTTCTGGATGGCGCATGTGGGGCTAGAGTTTTGGAGGTTGCAGAGGGTGCGCGAGATGAGGATGGGGAAGATTAGTAGGGGCCTGCTGCAGCGGGGGCAGAGGAAGGAGGAGGAGGACGAGTGGAAGAAGAACATTATTAGTAATTTGGCGTATGCGCCGTTGACGGTATGTTGCCCAGTTCTTTTATTTTCCATTTTATTGGGAGGCCGAGACCTTTTATTTTTTATTTTTTTATTTGGGCTTGAGCGGGAGCGGGAACGGGTATGGTGCGACATATGGCTGACGGTTTTAATTTTTTTTTTGTGACGATGTAGCTGCATTGGTCCGTCCAGAATGGGATGATTGGTCCGTCGGCGGTGGGCGCTCTGGGGAGCGTCGCGGCAGTCATTGGATTGCAGAACGCATGGAATGCAACTGCATGAATATATATTTCGTGGGGTTTTTGGCTAGCGCTAGAGAGAGGTTTCTTCATGTACAGGGGATTTTATCTTTTTTTATTTTCCTTTTTACATTCTTTTTTTTTTTTTTTGTACGGATGGGCTTCTTTGGTTTTGCAACGTTTATCCTTTCTTTCTGCCCTTTTTAGGCCATCTTTTTTTCGTGTGTATGTACTCTACTAGATGTATACCGTGATATATGTGATGAGGAGATGAATTGATATCAGGAATGAGTAATTTTTATGGTTTATGCTTGGGGGCGGATAGGCGTTTATTCGGCTCTTATTGATAGGCTAGATACACTATTCTCATAAACAAAACAAAATGAAACACACCACATGGCTTCGATAATACATGATATTGGGAAGTGGCGGCGACGGCGGCGGGGTTATCAACCAGCTGCCTCGTATCTTCGTGGCCGGAGGAACCTAGCTAGTCGGCGTTGAGGATCGGTCCCCACCTATGCTCGGTGTCTTCCTTGACTACCAAGAGTTTGAACATGTCTTTAGCGCCGTTGCCGTGCTTAGATTTCGTATTGATAGCCAGAGGTTGCGAGGACGCCGCGAGTTAGCGGGCAAGTGAGCTGCATCATAGCATATCACTCGCCAGCCTGAAGTCAGCTGGGTAACCATAGTTCAGTCTACCTTCGAAGCCCCCCAACTCTAGTAGTAGCGACATTCGCGCTTTGTTCCCTACCCACGCGCCGGAGCATATTGGTTTTCAGGTGGGATAGTTTGTCTGCTATGCACGCTCAGGTTTCTGAGAGGACAGGGCAGGTTGTCTATCACAGCAGGAGGTGGGGAGCGGGCTGGCGGGCTCGTGGCGTCATGGTATATGAGCCGTCTCAAGTCGAAAGGGACATAAGTTCGAGTAACTTGGCTCTTGGAGAATAAACGCTAGAAGGCTCGAATTTTAAGAGGGGTGAATTGGGGAGCTCGAGATACCACTTAAGCTTGTAAGTCAAATAACATGTCCCGAGAAAAGGGTAAAAGGTGAGTTATATTCCGGCCCATTTCCCTAACGAACGGGCTTTCTACATACCGAAATCTGGGGTTCTCGCCCTGCCGAGCTGCATGTCGAATCTACAACAAAGGAATGTTTGTATGTCAATCGGATGCTAGGTTCGGTATATACGCAGGAAACTCGCTCGATTGCCAGGGAAACGTGCGGGGTATATGTATATGAGGAGAAACGGCCAGAGGAATATATATAGAGGGTAACTGGGTTGAGATCGTCCTGTTCTGCAAAGAGATGATAAAGTCTGATAAGTATATACGTAAAGATTTCCGCTCTTTCCATGACTCATAACTCACCCTATAGCATCGAGCATAGCAGCTCTAGGCTAACTCTGACCTAAGCTCATGTATCGAAGTAAGGGGCTTTGGCGTGCTCAATTTCCCTTCAGAGGGGTGAGGCTTCCCCCTAATGAGCAAAACCCCGAGCACAGAGTTCGAACCAGCTCTTCTCATGGGCCACAGTGCTATGAATGGTGTCCAGGGCGTTCTGTGTAGTGATGGGCATGAGATGAGAAGAGACGAGACTTGGGAAATTTTCGTCTCGTCTTGTATTCTTCAGATTGAGTCTCGGAAATCTCGGGACAATGATTTAGTCTAGTCAAAGTCTCGAGACTTATTGTCATGTGGCCGCAGGGCTGCGAAACCTCTAAATCATACTAATCAATACAAATCAAGAGTTCAGATATTTTGGAATCAGGGCTGGAGAATACATTTAGGTGGTAAAGAGAGTCGAAAAGATCTCTAGATCTGTATCGAGAGTACCTATAGGTCTGGTCTTGTCTTATCGACCTTCACCGCCCCCAGGTCTCGTCTTGTTTTGCCAAAAGTCTCGAGACAACGTGTCTCGTACCCATCACTAGAACTTCCGTGGGCGGCTTAGATCGAATAAAGTGGACGAGGGCTATGGTATCTGGTGGTTGTTCTACTTGTAGGCTTGTAAACAGACTTAAAATGGGTGGTCGTGGCCGGTAAGGGGTCTGGATTGTATGTATCGTGGAGTTGTAATACTAACTTACTCCATTTGGCTCCATAGACCACGAGAGGGCCCTAAAGGTAGAGGATAGTTGTACTTCTCAATCAGCGTTTCTAGGTGATAATCTGAGGGTGGACAGCGCGGTGTCAACCGTAAAATTTGTCGTCGTACTCCTAAGCTAGCTAGCCAGCTGTTAACTGTGGGCCGGCTAGTGTCAATAGTCAGCGAGTTGAGAGCTCTTAGGTTGCTGTTAAAACCTCGAGTTCTCGCGAGCTCGTATGCTACCAGGTGGAGGTATTCTTCTGGATTAACGAGTGCCGTATGAGCACGTACCTTTGTCACTGTTGTTTGAACGGCATCTTGCCAGCGTTTAATGCATAATATGATGAGTCGATTCTGAGAAAAATACTGGTACGGGTAGCTTTAGAAGTATAGGCGTCGACAAAATGTGCAGCGGTAATCGTGAAGCCTTTGCTGTTCTCCTTTCCTCTCGAGCTCAGTGTCTATCGAAGTTGGCTAACTGTGGGAACCCGGCATCCTCACCACGCGAACTAGACAAACCCGATCACAGACTATCACTCGTTAGTTGACGAACACTCATACTCACCCACAGGGTTAGGTGAGAACACAAACAGAAACGGTGGGGATGTTGTTTTGGGGTACTGTGACTGCCCTATGCTACTACGTGGCTACATTTTACATGGCAATTTCGGGCAATCGCGCAAGTACGCCATTCTGATGCCAAGAAGCACCCCGATACCAAAGGATCAAACATTCCCTGACTCATACCATGAGTTCTTCGTTGTCAAGATTTATTGGCACAGTTCTAATCAGTATCAAAGATAAAGCAAGAAAGCTTTCCCGCCAAAATGGTATGTGGACGTAGATAGCAGATAGCACTACAGCACGGAGATGCCAACAAGTGACAAACTCGCACACCATAGGTGGTTTTTTTTTTTTGACGCATTCAAATACTAAAGTAGTAATGAGCTCAAGTACCGCTTAGTACGCAAGGTAGTTGCTCGAACCGCCTGGTATATACCGATATTGTATACACTACATGGAGATCCCCTTCAAATCCTTCAAATCGTGGGAAAACTGGCCTGCTAGCAGAGTCACAATTCTAAAAGCACAGTGTCAAATACCTCGACGACTAGGGTTATATTTGATCATGCCACAATGCACCGTATGTGTGGAGTAAATATACTGATCAAGTAATGGTTCAAGCAATTACATACCAGCTGCAGTAGTCTAAGAGCATTCATATTGTCGACTTTGGAGCACAAGGCTCCGTTTATCTGGAGATGAAGGAGGACAAATAGTTGATAGTAAAAAATTTACTTGTGGCCGTAAAGAGAGCCCTCACGCCACGCTCTTTGGTATCTCTCTCCTTGATAGATGGTAATTGGGCCTTTTTCCATTAAGAAATTATGGTACCGAAGGTCTTCGCCGTTTATCGGACCCAAGCACGATACAGTCCGATGGCCTACGGAGAAGTCTTCCGGGGTATTTGAACATAAGATGCTTGCAACTTCCCGATTAGAGGTTTTTAGTGTTTAGGATTGCTATTGAAATACCTTACGGGGAATTAAGAATTCGAGAACCAGGCATGACACTTCCCCTTTCTTCCTAAGGCTAGCTAGCTAGTCTCTTACTTGCTTTTTTCATTGGTTCGCTACTGTGGTATCTCAGAACTTTCCATATGGGCGGTAAAACCGGTGGAGCCTGTCTAAACATGCACATTACAGCTAGAGATCTGGGGATTTCTGGTTGCATAGGTGCATTAATACTAGAGGTGTTCTAGTCAAGCCACAAATCGTTTACTTTCAGCTCTAGCTTTCTCGATCTCGATGTTTCGTCTTACCTCTTATGCATCTCATTAAGAGATAGGTGTACGCGCGCGAAAAGTCAATAGATACTATGCCAAGTCATCATCTATATGACACAACAGCGCATAAAAACTCCCGTCAGAATTGGCTATTGATTTCAAAAGACCTGCCTAGGCTTTGGCTGCCGCATTTAATGTCTGTCCTGGGCTCCAAGAATCAGAAAAAGAAAAATAATCTTCGATTACATTAGCACCTATCAATGATTTACGAGTACCAATATTTACACTCTACACTGCAAGGCTTGCCGCTTGAGCAGGAAAGAAAGCAATTTCACGCCTACGTATGGCTACGATAAGAGTTGGAAGAAAGGGTATAATCTCGGTTCATGCTACTGAGGCAATACGTAGTCGTAAGCGGTAGTTGGAGTTGGTAACGTAGCTAGTGAGGCACGGCTATTACAGCTAGACACTTATGAGACACTACTTGTACCTCGAGATTGGGTCCGTGATGCATGCTCGTATGGGGGCCCAATGATGTTACAGTTGGCATAACCCGTTAGATCTGTCTACCGCTGCTAACGGCTAGGAAAGGAATCTCAATGAAAGCGCCCTCTCTTCCTATATGCATCAATCCAACAAAGCTTCACGAAAAGGGAGGTCCCACGGGTCCATCTATTGAGTGAATTACTGAAATTCCCTCGGTCATCATAATTCTAACTTAGTATCTGAGATATATATTAAGAAAAAGTAAAAGATCAGGTTATTCTCAAATCTCCGAGATTCTCTAAATGTCATGGACCCTACAGAAATGTACGATCCAGGACCAGAATCATTCTTTTAGCCTATGCCTATTAGAAGCAAGAGCTCTTAGAAGTAACGCAATTGATTAGATAGATAGCAACACGAGATCTGAAACCCTTGGGGATTTTTTATGCTAGCCTAGGCCTATATAGTTACGTCAGTGGGGTTTGTTCGCAGTATAGCGGGAAGTTCAGGAACAAATCACCTTTACAAGGCGACAGTACATATCAGAAACAAGAACGCGTGAGGTCAATCGGCTTTCAGAAAATAACCATGATATGCCAGATTTAAGTCTTCTTGTCACGAGGGATATTGCATTTCTAAAGAGTAGATAGTGCCAACCAAGAAAGCACTTATAAAAAGAAAGATCATAATCAGCACTATCAATGATTTATTTGCGGGTACTAGTTCTAATTACACCTATGGCATTATTTGGTGATCAACACCTGACTGCCATATCATTCGCGCCTCTCCAAAACATAATAAAAACAAATACATGATCTCATGTGGTTCGTACGTCGTACATATACTTTCTTGATTATGGTGGCTGATCAGATCTCTCGATCCCGTAGACTGATACGAATCTAGAACGGCGCGCGGAAACCAACAGGATACGAAGCAGGTAGCCCTCATGGATATTCCAAATTAAGTTACTAGTAATCATATCAGCTTATTAGATGTCTTGCACTTTCCAGAGTTAAACCAAGAGACATGGAATATTTGCGTATGATATGCCACAAGTATGGTGCGCACCATATATGTCAGGGGTTTAGGGATATAACTGTCTACTATATTATTTATGCGCGTACGTAACCACGAGCTTCAAGACATTCACTGTGCGAAGCAATTTCTCCCTGTTTAACAAGGCATGAACCCTCGGCCGAGCTCGAGTGAGACATCATGACCTAGGCCGAGCACGCGGGGGAAAAAAGTAAATTGCGTTCCGATAACGTGAAACGCGATAACTAACCCGAGATAGAATAATTAAAGTACCAGTTACTGGGGTTACAGAGTCTATAGGGTGCGGGAGGATCACTGTTGCTTTCAGCGATGGCGAACGTCTTCCACCCCGCATTTTCTGCAGCCACATGTAGTACATTATCGCCCATACAAAAGATGCGAGCCAATGGTTTTACATTCCATTGCTCACTAGCATGCGAGGAACTGATAATAAGTGTGGGGCGGTCTAGGGCTGAGGTTAGCCACTGTCTTGCAAGTAATATGTACCCAGGGGTGCCGGAAAGTGATGCAACGACTCAATTTACTACTCACGATTTCAACCACATGCAACCCAACTTTAACTTTAACGAAGCAGCGATATATAGTATGTAAAGTAAAGATATTATGAAGAATTCATCAATCACATCAAAATGAAAGAAATTACATGTAACGTGGTTGCGAATTCACTAAGACCTCACCCTATATTTCCAAGCGTTGCATCACTTTTGGGTACCCCTAGGTACATGTAAATTGGTGGCTGCACGTCCAACTAAACACCGGCAGTTTTAAAACTGTACCCTAATTCACTTGATCTTGGTAAGACAACTTCAATCGCTACTAAATCCGATTCAAGCCCAACTACAGCCAACCCACCGATATGCAATCGACATGCCAAAATATGTTCTGAATTATCCTGTACAATGGCACAGACGCATAACAAAGACCCCTATGAAGATTACACCACAAGTTTACCTAGTACCTGTCGCCACCGCCAAATATGCAAAGCCCTCTAGTAAAACACAGATAGCCTATAAGGAATAAAAGACTAGCGCATGTAGAAATATAAACCCCACCCCAAACATAAGTGATCGTCAAATCACTTCAGATTCATGTAATTCCTAAGACATCCGTCCCCATTCGCAGAAACGTATTGATTCTGGGTATAAAAAAAGGGTAAGAAAAAGTGGTATAATGGTGGTATCCGCCATAAAAGAAGAAGAAAAAAGACATTGATGCAAACAAACCAGACGCTAGTTCTCATAAAAACTCCATTAGAGTGGGAAAAAGAAAACCAAAACCAATAACCTAAAACCCCAGCCCTCCCAAAGGAGAGATATAGCGTACTATGCTGTATCCTCATCCTTGAATATATTACAACCTCTGTGTTGATTTACTAATTCGCTCTAATACCGCTCTGCAAAGCCGCCGTATCCTTGGCTCATGCGATTACTATGATATGTGCTGGGCGCATACTCGCTCTGCGCACCCTGATGCTCATAGATGGTTGCTCTTCGGTCCTCCTCCGGAAGCAGCTCCTTAACTTCCCATACGTTCGTTTTCGTGCCCACACTAAACTCAAGATCCTCTTTCGTGATGGAGTCCCAGTACTATTACATCCGGTCAGCAGTAAACCAGTAGAAAGGGAGGAGAAGGGTATTACCTTGTAGACCATCATCACACCAAGTAAGTTGCAAACGGAAGCAAAGAATAGTCCGTCAAGGTAATGCGACACCTCATCGCAGATTTTGCGGCTGAACACATAGAGGAGCACCTGTCCAACCACAAAGAAGAACACGCCAAAGGTAATGTCGCCCATCGGCCACCTATCTCCGAGTGTTCCCACCACTAGTATGACCTGGCACGCAACATAGATGAACAAGAACAGTGCGTTGACCACGTACAACAGCACAAACAAGGCCATGGTGTTAGAGGGATCTAACCCCGCCCATGATTGGAAGGTACAGAGCGCGACTGCACCAGTCACAATAAACATGACCAGGGAGCATAGGCGCAATAACCACACGCTGAGCGCCGTGCCGTCTTCGTACACCTGGAAGCCGATGAAGCCGTTGATGAGTAGGCATGTACAGAGGGCGGAAGAGAGACCAGCTTGAGCGGCGACAAAGTATGCGTAGGGTGCTGAACCGATAGGAACGACGCCAGAGTCGAGACAGAGCGAGATGACGGTGAGGAGCATAAAGAGATAGAAAAATGTGGTGATCTCCTTGCGACCTGTTTAGGCTATTAGCAACACAGGCATGTGAAAGGGTCAATCAAATAGGGGGAGCTTTGTGGGAGACAAACCAACAGCGGTAAACTTCGAACGGACGTGTAGAACCATGATCGAGCACATGACGAGTGACAAAATGTGGACGAAGTCATTTGCGGCCTGAAAAATCATTGTGTTGGCCCATTCAATACTTCGTGAATAGCATAGTGCCTCGATTCCCGGTCCTGTGAGTGATTTTGCGCCATTGTAGGGACCGACGAGCGAACACAGAGGTATCGGGGCAGTTTCGCATATTGACTGGAAACTTCCGAACGACATGGTGGACGTAAAGTGTTGAAGTTGACGCTGTTGTCGTTGTCGTAGGTATCGAGGAGGAAGAGTCGGTCGTGAGGTTTAGGTTGCGCCAAGAGGGGCTCGGGCGCTGCTGCTACTCTACTGCCAAAAGGAAATTGCGGGTTGTCGGATCAAAGGCGAAGCGACGAGGGGAAAGGAACTCTAGTCGCGGATGGGCAAAGTAGATACTCTATGTAGATCTAGGGTATGCAGACTGCAGCAGCAGCAGCTCTAGAAGGGGGCTATGTAGAGAGACTCGTAGAGGAGCGCAGTGGGGAAGAGAGGGGAGAGAGGGGGGGGGGGAGCTGGAATGGAGATTGACTACCTTCTTCCTCTTTCCTTTCTTCTGGTTCTTCTTCCTTTGCTTCTCTTTTACTCTGTTTCTTGTTTTCCAGTACAGTTCGTACCGGCCTCTCAGAATCCTTCAAAATTCGGGCGGTTGGGTCTGTGGTTGTTATGGTTACAGGAATCCAACCAGCCCCTTGCATCTCTCTTCCTACGCCGCCTTTTTTCTTTCTTCCCAACCCAATTGTTCCGTGTTTACCTACACCACCGAATAAGTAGGCACCCCCAACCAACCACTCATTATCCATCCGGTATATGTGCTGCCGCCTGTTCTGCGTATATCTCTTCATATCCCCAATAGGTAGTGTCTGAGACAGCTTGTTGCCTATTCTTAGCACTCATTCATTCCCTCTCACTCGTCGTCTGGGTTCATCCCATGATGATGCCCACACCTGGCACCTGGCACCAGTAGGTACATCGCGCCAACTTATCCTCTCCGCAGACCACCCTTGAAATCATTTGTCGCGATCTCATTGATCCTTCCATGGCCATATTCAATCGATTTTACAGCACTAAAAGCCTCGCAAGGCTGCATTGCATTAATAATATGTAGCTACTCGTAGATTAGGGTAGCACTTGTTCTAGAGCATGTACCTATGTATGTAGTACATACCATAGAATCTCAAGTAATAACGCAGTACCCCAATCCTTCCTGGGTCTGTGAAATTAGTGTTTATAACACACTTGCGACTTGATCCCTACTACGGAACTTGAAATTTTTATGTTCCTTTTGCCTGCCTAAGTAGGTATGTACATACAGTATTGTATGTAGCTTGTCTTTATGTGCAGTTAGATGGGATCGATGGCCTTTCAGCTTGACATAATGTGCGAGGACAGCTGGGTGGTAACAGCCAACCAATAGTGTTGTAGCTTCAGTAATGACCCGACATCTTTGATTGATTGGATATATTTCCCGCAATAGATAGAAGGATCCAATCACTTACCGGACTAGTCGTCCGAGCTAGCGGGCGACTTTTCTTTTCCACAGTTGGACTACCAGGTATCCTAACGGCCTTGCATATTAAGGCATGCTTCTTTTTTGCTTCTCTAGCCCACATAGCGAATCAGACTGAAGGCCGGGGGAAGAGGTATGCTATGCTATGCGTCAACCAAGCGGTCAAGAAGTCAATCCATCAATCAAAAAGTCACTTAAGTAGTTAAATAGTGATGGGTACTTCTTTTTCTTTTTCCCTCTTCTCTTGGCTACTTTACTTTTGTTTCATTCTTCTTTCCAAGTAGGCAAACTCATGCAAGTAGATATCCCTTTCCTTTCTTTTGCTTTTCATTGTCATGGGGGTTTTATCATTTTTGGCGGTCTCTAGGTCCCCTTTTGATTGCCGACCGGTACCTGGACCCTAGGCCGGTGGTTCCTGTATGTAATGTCCGGACGGCGTACCAAGGCATGTGCATGAAGGAATCCAGAAGAAACAAATAAGCAAGTAAACGGCATAGAATTGTATATCAGATCTTGTGACCACTGGCATCTAACGTTCAGCTCACTCCCAGGGTGGACAAGAAGGGGTTATATGTAGGTATGGTGAGATGAGTATGAGATGCTGCATATCAAATCCATATCTCAGAGGATGAATGGACGAACTCATGAGTCTTAGGAGTTTGAAATAAAAACCCTTGAGACTAAGGGGCCATCGGCCTGGTCTATGACGGGGCCCTTGGTCTGAATAACAGGGTTACTGGTAATGCATACATACATACATACAGCACAGCATAAACGAGCAGCTGGTTACAGTTGTAGAGTTGTACAATGCTTCGGTAGTTAAAGGTGGGGTAGAGGAATCAAGGTCAGATATGTCTCGGAACCATATTACCGGATGAGTAGTTCAGTCGAGTCGAGTCTTGTAATGACGAAGCAAATGTACTACACTGATCAGGAGGAGAACGAGGGTTTTTTTTTTAATATAAATGCGGGTTTCTTCCTCTAGTTGAATTCCTCTCTGTCGGGATCTCCAAATATCTACTCTCAGAATCAAAACCTAGCTCGAGCTCGGGTGCTTTATCTCGATACTTTCCGTTCGCCAATATATAAATCGACTTTTATATTAACTCGCCAGTATAATATAATCTATTCTCAATTAATATACATCATCCCAACCTCAGCCGGTTGTCTCGTGATCTTGATAAACAGCCCATAAGTAGGTTGAAAACACTCTATTAGAATTCCCTCATGACTTCGATCGTTGCTCACGTGCAGGTTTTATATATCCATAGCCCAGAAATCTTTCCCAAACAACAAGAATGTGCAACTTTACCATTAACTACTACTACCACCAAAACTGCATGAACCGGGAGAAGCACGCGGTTAAGCTCGACAGCAGCGAGGGAGGTATGAGTACTTCCACCAGTGTCTGTCGCGAAGGACCCCACAAAATATTTAAGTTGGAACCTGGAGAGTGCCCTGAATGTAGGCCAAACATTTAATTGGTGGTACACTCTCGTCAAGACTTGCTATCGGGATTATCTGTGTTGGCAGGTGCTGGATCATGTCACCAGAATGTTGGGCACGTTAACCGTGTGATCGAAAAGGGATACACGCCGGGGCGGGGTTTATCGACTGTGGGGAGTATCTGTGGGAGGGACAAGGAGAGTGGGGGGGGGGGGGGGGGAGAGAGTTTTCTTTTTTCTTTTTCTTGTGGTTTTTGGACCTGTCATTCAGTATTATTACTCCGCGGTTTTGTTTTTATATGCAAGTGCATGCACATCTTATTCCTGTTTAACGTTTTCCCGGGTTTTCAATGTTTCTTAGCCTTCCTTGCCGTTCCGCTTATTTAATTTCCCGTATATGTGTGTCTTGGTATATCCTCCTGGGCTTTCATTTGTAAAGAGTTCTTCCTATTGGATATCGTTAGCTGTACTCCGTATTCTGTGCTTTGAGATTTTGTTTTGCAAACTCAATCTGCTCTTTTCTGTCATATTCTCTTCGCTTCCGGTTTTTCCCATCGTTTGCGGCCGCTGAGCAGCTTGCTACTCCTAGGGGATAGACACGAGATTATTTGTGGTCCTGTTTCCATAGCATGCGCCAACAATGCTATGTATAAGTGACTTGAGTTCGTTCCTGGCTCATGAGTGAGGAGCCTAGATATTTCCTTTCATATTTGGGATTGTCAACAATGATGATTACACACTAAGTTACCTGAATTCTTTGTAGCTGCATCTATTATGCAGTAAGCATATCATTTCTCCGCAAGTACGCAATGCAGGTTCAAGCGGAAAAGAAGGGTGCCATGAGCGGCCCGAGCCCAGGACTTTGGTTACGGTGCGGTATAGGTGGGGCGTAAAATAAATAAAGGTTGATAAAGCCTTGGTAGTATGGTTACATTGTTGCCAATCGGTCCGCCCAAAAAAAGCACTATGCCAGTGCGAACCTGTCACCATAACGGCCAATTGGCCGGGTTGTAGTGAATGGGTTAAAAGAACCGCAATCTTGCGTTAGTTCCTCAAACTAATTCGACAGCCTAGACTGTACCCATACGGCTTTAACCAATGGTCCCCACCCGTTCATCGAGTAGTTCAGCTGGGTACCCCGCCCTTCTTCAATACACGTAACCTTGATATAAGGGTAAACACTAGATTAATAGCGGGTCTCATACGTGCTTACAAGCATATCGAGACACACTGTTCCTGGGTTCCGTTAGATTTTATGTGAGATTGGGACCTATTGTATTAGCAAGGGGTAATTGAGTCCCATCACTCGCTCTCCTTTTAGACCTTAGAAGCCGCCGCCGGGAGAAAGTGCAAATGTCGATGGGCCAGCATGGTGTAAAAGAGGCAACGATACACGCGTGAAGATGGATTGCGGAGCCCGATCTCCGTTGTGTGCTGATTATGTGCATACCATCGTCACTTGGTATATCGCACAGATACCGATGCAGCTGATGTATGGAAGGAACTTCAGAATCGGCGCTACAAGCGGCCATATCTTCTGTGATCTCTCTCTGCCTAATGCTTACAAAAACTTTGTGAGTTTCGAACCTGCAAATCTGACTGGAGAGTTATTGTTGGGGCTGTCAGACATCCAATCAGGGTCAAAGTATGGATAACTCAGAATATCTTGAATATTGAATAATCCTAGAGGTTTTTTCCTGCCTTTTCGCGCGTCTGAACCATAACACTCCGCTTATACCGCCTATAATCCTTAAAAGAAGAAGAGAAGGGCCGGGGGGTAGGTTCGTATTCCTTCTGTCCGAGCTTTTTTTCAGCTAGGAACCCTGTCCTGAACATGTACAGATATATTTGTTGAGGTTAGTTCTGGTTTTGCGCAGCCCGAAGATGGTCATGTACCGTTATTTCGGTGTCATTATTCCAGAAAGATTGGATGCTGGCGGGAATATGCGGGCCAGTTTATTATATTTCCCCTTGTTTATCATACGCTACGATATCCACGTGGACAGGATCTATCTGCAAGTCATTATCAAATGAGCCGATCGGTAAGCTAGCAACTAAATCGACAAATTACGGGGAAGCCTTCCAACGCATGAAGCAAGAAAGTAAGTGGCAGCAAGGGTTGGTACTTAACAACGTTGATTATTGAGACGAATTCGTGAAAATACATGTATACACGTACATATCTGGCCTACTTTAAAGTTGTGACCCGTGGACAAATGTCTGGGGCCGCTTTAATTCCAACGCTGTTGCTTTGACTCGCGCTCCGTATGCAGGCCTCCATAAACCCTGACCCCTGCCATGGCTTTCTCATGTGTCTGCAGTAGGAGAACGCTACAATCAGTAAGTAAACAGTGGTTGTAGCTGGCTATCTAGGTGAAATCTATCTTTCGAGATGACATAAATACATGTAGTTGTTGTCGAGTGGGAGAAGTAATAAGCCGTAGAAGTCGCGGTTGTTTGTAGTTGGGTTCATTGTTACTATTTATGGACTAGGGTTATCAGCCCTGTCTCGGAGCCTGCTTCCGCAGAGCCTCAAATGAGCCTAACAGAGCCGCGCAGAGCCTCCATGTGCACGGGCCCTGGTTCCCTGGATTGAAACTTTAGTGTGAATCAATCATGTGTTTTGGAGGAAAGGCCGGTCGAAAAGTAAGGCGAACGAGGTTACAATGAGAAAGACCTCATTAGCTTCATTTTTATCTAAATATGAGAGCTATTTGTATCCGAGTCCCAACGTCGAGTCTCAAAGGGGCCAGTACCAGAGGAAGGTCGCGTTTGACCGTCAATGAGATATGCGCTCGCTTCGGCTTATGCCGTTGTTCATGTATGAATTTATATGGTGATAGACTTTGCTTTGAGAATTACACCCGGTAGATTTTTCCCCCTGCTTCTGTTTCGTGGAAACCTTTTTCAGAGGCTCGCGCGCGGTACCTAAAATCTAGAGCAAAATCCTAAGACCAATCGAGTAGAGAATAAGAGAGCTTGGGAACTGAAAGCCGTGGGGGTAGGGACTCTTGGCAGTATCACAAGGACATATTTTTTTATTCTACGGGATTTATCCCCCGTAATATGCACCCCATTGTGTCGTAAGCGTATTCTGGAAGTCCAAGCCATATACGTACATGAAATAGCAAATATACATGTATGTAGGTGCGACTGTACTACATATATCCCGTGTTTAGTGCGCAGCCTATCACTTCGCACAATGACCCTTGACGAAACTGCACACGGTCAGACCATTTCTACTTTCTTAACGCGCGAAAGAGAGTTGGTAGAGATAAAGTACCGTCGTTCACGGGGTATTGGCGGATACTGGGTGATGGTGAACAGGGCAAAAAAGAGACAGCCAAGCCAAATTTTACCTGCAATTCGCCAATACCCAGTATCCACCAATACCCCGTGAACGACAGTACATGTAAATGTACATCTAGAAGTATGATACCTACACCTATCAAGTAACTTTACCGCCCCAACCTCGATCATTCCCGGTTCAAGCGTACTCAATCTGCCAATGGAGGTGATTAATAGAGAATACACATATACATATATTTTAAATCAAAATCTATTGCATTAAACACGCCAAAGGAACCCTTCACCAACTATCGAAATTCCCAAAGCCTCCGCCACTCTTTGTCTTCTTCTTAACTGGCTCCTCATAGGTATACTCGTCTTCTACCACACCCACAATCTCATCTTCCTCACCAGCTGCCGCCTTCACTGTTGCAGCTTTTAGATACTTTCCTACCCCTGTCACTCCCTCGGTCCCATCAGCTTTTCTCCTACCATCCTTTAACCTTTTCCCAGTCCATGTAGTCATGTCATCCTCAGTCCCTACTCTCTTCTTCTCCTCTTCCTGCTTCTCTTTCTCCTGGTCCTCTGCCTGCTGTTTCAAGAACTCCTCGAACGGATCCACAAAAACAATCACTTCATTTATAACAATATCCTTTGTAGGTCGGTCACCCTCACCAGTAGGAGTAGTCTCCATTTTATCAAGTACCTCCAGTCCGCCAACTACTTGACCAAATATAGTATGTTTCTTATCGAGATGTTTGGCAGGGCGGTAGGTGATGAAGAATTGCGATGTGTTGGTGTTCTTCCCTTTATTTGCCATTGAAATAACACCTCTTGAGTCGTGCAGCAACGGACTTTCCCATTCATCATCAAAAGTCTTACCCCAGTAACTTTCCCCCCCGCGACCTGTTCCTGTGGGATCACCGCCTTGGATCATGAAATTTCTTATTGATCTATGAAATTTCACGCCATTGTAGTAACCCTTCTGAGAGAGCTTTACAAAGTTATAGACAGCCTTGGGGGCGTAGTCCGTGTGCAGCTTGATGTTTAAATTTCCGAGATTTGTCTGGATACGAGCATAACCTTTGTACTTGATCTTCTTGGGCTTGAGCATGTACTCTTCATCAGAGAGAAGCGCACGCTCAGAGGTTGTGTGGACACTCATGGCCGTGGATGTAAATGATGCAGCAGCTTTTCCAGTGGTATGGCGAGCTGCATTGTATGGGACAGCCGCTCTGTTAGATGTATTCGACGACGATTCTGCGCCGCCACGCGAAAGTGCGCTGGAGGAACGCGGCACGGCAGGGTTGTGATTTGGGTCTGATGATTTTGCAGCGCGGGCTTTGGCAACGGCGGCCTTCGCGGCAAGAATCTTTGAAGAGGAGCCTATAGCGGAGAGATTGATATTACTCAGTGGATCTGCGCGCTTGGCCTCCTGCTCTGGAGTCAGGGTGCTGGTCCCTTCCTTAAGGTATTTGAAGTTACTCATATCCCGGTTTGACAAGTTATGGGGATCTTGCAGAGTGATTATATCTTTGCGACTGAATACATCGCCACTGACCAAATCTTCCCAATGCTTTGGCTTGATGTTCAGTCGCTCAACCGTGTCCCAAGCGAAGACATTACCGCTTGCTCGTAGCGCGACGATATGAGTATTATCGGTGAACACTTTGAATGTCACCGGGTCGCAGTATTCGCCATCGTCGTTTTTGTGCATGTTAAGCTTCAGAAGCTCTCCGTAGGCTAGCTTGCCCCCCGTGACGGGATTTGTCCCGTGCTTTTTGAGCCATGGGATGATGTTCGTGAGATCGAAAATTGTTCCATCGGCAGTGCACACGGGGTGTGAGAAAGGCTGGAGCGATAGGGAGCAGAAGTTGTAAGGAAGGCGGCGGAAAGGGAGAGTATTTTTGGAAGCGAAGCCGGTAGAGGCGCCGAAATCGTCGCTGGCCCACTCGCTGTGCGTTATGTAGAGTTTATCGGTTCCTGTACAATCGTTAGTAAAATATTTCGCCAAAGCACAGGTAATCAATTAATTTATCACTCACCTTTTCCCATTGTTGATCGTGTCCGAGACGAATCTGGGGAGAGCTGTTGCGTCGCGTGGAGGTGAGGCTTCAAGTTTCTGATCCTGACTAAGCAACACTATTGGCTTAAGTTCGAATGGCTCTTAGCTTTGGCTACATATACAATACCTTTATCGATATTATAAGTTAAAATGTCCTTTGGGCGACGTCTATTGCATATCGGTAGTTGCAAGAGAGACTGCCAATCACGAACGACGTTAGGAGAGACCACATATATAGCGAATCGACCGGCCAGCGATGTAGCTCGCCGCCGGACCTCAACAGTGGGTCAGTTCCTGAGCGACGCCCAATATGCCAATCGTTGAGTTTTATCACACCGTTAACCTATTCTGAAGTGCAGGGCCAAAAGATTTCTTCACCTTGCAAAGCTTAATTAAGGTATCTCCAGGCTTGGCTCACAGCTGCTCACTCGATCGTTCAAGCTTAGACTAGACCAAGACTTAGTCTCATCTCAGACAGCTCCCTACTGGATAGGAAAAAGGGGGGTGGAAACTTTCTAAATGATCAGCAGACACCGGAAACCCGCGGAACACGCGTACACAAGCAGGGGCACTAAATCTGTACTTCGGTATCAGGGGTAAGTGAGTAGAACGCGGCGGTTCATATTCGCGAGCAAAACAGGAAAACTACAGCTTTAGCCACGCTGCCACGTTCGTTCTACTCACTTACCCTTGATACCGAAGTACATGTACAGCCACGGCGGTTTCTTATCTGTCTCTTGGCTTGTCCCCAGATCCAGAGTGAGGGTGGGGGCATAGCAAGCCCATTGGGGGGCGAATGCTGGCTATTGTGGGGAGGGAGATGCTCAAAGGTCATTGACACTACAAGCCCCATAGTGGCCCAGTGGGGCTTCCGCGGAGAGAAAAAAGATCCGAGCATTTTTGTTTTACGAAGCAGGGCCAAGGCCCAGGAGGATTTTTAAGCGAGAGGTACATTCTACAGCCTATGAGTGTCAGAGAAAGGGGAAATACCGACCAGCATGATCTTTCGAGTTCTCAAGCGGAGGTCCATGGATACTTCGTTCCGTATCTGTAGCGCTGGATTTCTCTTGGAACCATGGACCCAGCTGCCCTGCTAGTTGATATATCAATAGCCAGTATCGAGTCTTTACAAACCACCCGGGCTATACTAACCACAGAAGAAGACACATCAGAATTAGCCTTCCCTTCGTTTCCATTCCCAGTCCGTGAAAGTGCAGACAAGCAACTCGATAAACCAAAGGCCAAGGCCCAAGGCTCATGGATGCTGACTGGTTCAAGACCCTCCTTCATCATTTGAGATGATAATGAAAAGTATACCCACTGTGAAGCTATCGGGGGCGCAAGGCTCATTGTCTCTCGCGATTTAACTTATACAGCGCGTGGACCCAACAGCGTCGGTAACTTATGATATCACGAGTGATAATCCATGAAGCAACAATTCCCTCCCGCTGGTGCATTTCTATTATATACCACAACCCGTCCGATACGACCGACCAGACAAACATCCAGATATCGTATTAACACTACGATTGGCTTAGAGTTGAAGACGTGCGGATAGCTGCATGAGAATCTAGGGTAAGGGCAAGTCCCGGCTATTAGCTACTACTAATATTAGTAGTAGCAGCAGTAGTAACAGTTGTCAAAATAGTTAGTAGCAGCTAGAGTAGCAGCACTAGCGTTATCTACTAGCACAAGTGGGCAAGTGGTAAAATGATCCTTTCCGAAAAGGCGATGAATGTAAGTTACTTGGTACATACAAAAAAATGACCTAAAACTGAATCCAGAGGCATAAAAAAACATCCAACTACGGACCAGACCGAGCAAAGTGCTAATGGAAAAAAAAACACAATAGATAAGAATGAAAATAAAAAAAGGGGGGAAAGGAATTAAAAGCCGTCCCATTTTTTTCTCTCCGAACCCCTTACTACGCTATGGGTTTGATATCGATACTCACCTGCCTGCGACAGAAGACTAGCACGCTTAGTGGTGCTTCTTCTTCTTACTATGGTGGCTCAACAAGTTCGCCGCGATAGCTCCCTACACACCGCGATCATTAGCCCGCCATTTCCATAAAACAAAATTCTCCGCTCTGCGCCCAACTCAATAGGGAAGGTACATACCCCTACCGCACCTCCGACTTTCCCAAATCCCATCTTACTCCCAATGAACGCTCCCGCGCCGCCACCAATCAACGTACTGCCCAACCCCCTCTCTCCCTCCGCCCCCGGCTGCCCATACCCCGGCTGCGACCCATCCGCATACGCACCAGGCCCTGACGGCTGCTGGTACGCATACGGGTCCATCTGGCCCCCGGGGCCCTGTGGCTGATGATACACTGGCTGTTGATGCTGCTGCACCGCGTATGCCTGCTGCTGCGGGGGATATCCCGTGGACGCCGTCGACGGCGTAGCGGAGGCGGAGCGGTTACCGTAGTAGTCGCCGCCGGTGGGGGGGTAGTAGGGCTGCTGGGGCGGCGGGGAAGTGTAGCCGTATTGCTGCTGGGGCTGCTGGGTCTGTGGCTGCTGGTAGGCGCCGTATTGCTGCTGAGGGGGGTAGTAGGGTTGTTGTGGGTTGGGGGTGGCGCCGTAAGTGTTGTCGTAGTAGCCGGTGGGGGGTTTGGCGTCGGGGTTGTAGGCACCGTATGGCTGTTGCGGGGGTTGTTGCTGGTAGGCGCCGGGAGTGGGGGAGCCGTAGGTGTTGGCTGGTGGGGAGGTGTATTGGCCCGCTGGGGGGGTGTAGGGAGGTGGTTGAGGGGCACCGTAGTAGTCGGACATGATGGGTAGCTTGTTTTTTGTTTCTAAGGTAGAGATGTGAGTATGAGTTTGAGTTTTTGAGGTGTTGTGTGTAGGGACTGGAACTGAATAAGTGTAGAAATATCGAGGTCGAGGGGGGGGGGGGGTGGATAAAGAAGGAGCAGACAAAGAGTGCGGGGTATGCACCTTAGAAGATATGTGTGTGCTAGCTACTTGAAACTAACGAGTAGAGAGAGAATCTACCTATGAAGGCAGAGTAATATAGGTAGGTGATGTCTATGTAACGGTATAAAGGTGGTGTGCAGCCTTGATCCTATTCGCAGACCTCGTAGAGTATTATGTGTATGCAAGATGTAGGTACTACTGCTGTATGAGGTAGAGTATGTAGATAGTATGTATCAAGAAGGCCGTTGAGATTCCAATTGACCAGACAGACAGGCAGATAGATTAAGACAGATAGACCAGACAGACCGCCAGCCGTTGAAACTTGAGGGACCGAAATGTCGACAGCCAGCAGCTCCTATCTTAAATAAACTGCTCAACACCTCTCTCTCCCCCGGTAGTTGGCGCTATCCACCGGTACGTACGGTAACTAGGGTATGTACCTACACACATACCTACATACCAAGTGTAGCCACATATCTGCTCTTCTGCTGCTTTCACCCACTTACTAATGAAGCTGCGTACCACACATGAGGCGGAGCACAAAGAGTCGTCGTTGCTGTGTCACACATCACTTCACTTGCCCCCAAACTCGATCAGCTGTGTGCTCCCGAACTAGGGGAAAGGATTAAAAGGATCATTAAAGGATTGAGTAAAGCACCAGAGGTGAGACGAAGGCGAATCGCCTGCTCCTGCTTCGCCCCCCGCTTCGTCAGTCAACCAGAGTAAAATATATCCCTCCCAGCCTTCTTCTTCTTCTTCTTTTTTTTCATCATCATCTTCTCCGATCTACCATCGAGGCTACAGATTGTGTTCTTTAGGCACACGTGTGGAAGAGAGCACTTACTAATTTACTCCCCTTGTTCTTGTGCCGGGAGTCTCCTGTCCCGAGCTGCACCGCAACAGCACAACTACTCTAGCTCTAACTATATGCACCGCATACCTGACCTACCTTGCCTTGAATGAGATGATAAATAAGATAAATGGATGTAACAACAAACAAAACTCCCTTCCTTCTTCCCCTCCCCCATGCCCACCAGGTAAAGGAGTTAAGAAACCCGAGATCCGCGCCACGCCGCCCAGGAATGAGTGAGCTGGTTATCGTGTCGAGTAACTAGAGCAGAGCATAGTGCCTACATACTCTACCTGTAGAGACCCCACGCTTCGCTGGTGTATTAGATAAAGCTGGATAACCACATATTCTACCCCCCGTCTTACTTACCTACATGTGCCCACCACAGAGAGAGTACCTGGTCCTGGCACATGCTAAGCTTTGCTGTTGTCAAAGCGCACAGAGCTTCCCACGATTGGTACCGGAAATAAAAACTCGATGAGATATTTATGTACAGTCGGCCCCATTTCAATTTCAAAGTGCCGTACTCTAAAGTCTATTCTTCGGGTGGTTCAAAAGAATAAGACAAGCCGTCCAGCAAAATAAAAAATATATATATAAAAAAAAATACATGCATGTCGCAAAACCGGACAAATATAGGTAACTTGGTATCATTCATTTGCAAGTTCTAATAATCCCCTCCGTTTATAGGCCTACGGTCTACCTATTCCGCCGGAGGCTGTTGTCTACGAACCCTAAGAGGCCTATCATCTTCAGGCTCTCTCGCACCAGCTGCGCGGGACAGCTCTTGAGCTTCCTGTCTCATCTCTTCGTCTAACCCCGTCACACGCACGCCGCTAGAAGAAACTCCACTCATAAACCCACCCATCATACCGATCCTACCCCTCAATCCATCCCTCAATCCACCCCTCAATCCACCCCTCAATCCACCCCTCATACCTCTCGCAACACTTGAGACACCTTCGACGCCGCCATGACCAACGAAGGGCGGCGCCAACGTATTTACATCAACCTCAAGATCACGGTTTGAGGATCCCTGAGCTTCGGGAGTGCGTTCCTCAGGTTCAGTTCCGAAGAGTAAATCATCGGTAACAGGAAGAACAAGTGCAGCCGAGTGCCATCCAGCTGCCGAAACTCCCAAAACACAATATTCTCTCTTGTCCAGGCACACGTCTTCTTCTGTGCCTTCCGATTTCTCTGTGGCAAATTGCAATTAGTCAGGATCCTCGAATTGTTGTGACAGAACTGCCTTACCTATGACATCCCACTGAGGCTTACCATCCTCCCCTCTGGGCGGATAACAGCTTTTAGGGTATGGCGGATCCTGGAAGAACACTTCTGCAGCTTCATCAAGAGTTCCATTCTCCCAATGCCACACCACACCTCTACGTTCCGCTTCTCTAAGATCCCCGATTCCAAGGCATCCGCAATTTTGACTCTCTACACCCCAAGACAGTAATCTTCCGTCCTGTGTGACTGCGTGACTGTGGTAGTCGCCAAAAACTATCTGAGCGATTGTGCCAAATTTGTTGAGGATTGGAATGGCTAGTGGTCTTATTTCGTCTTTCTCTTTCTCTGGAACTTCTGGCCGACGGTTGTTTTCAACAGCTCTTCTGAGAAGGTCGGCATCCCCCACATGGACAAGTCCATTCCTATTGTAAACCGCAAACTTCTTGAAAAACCCTGAGATGCGGTCAGCCTTCTTGTTCCTGTATCCCTTCAGATCAAGGATCTCCTCATCCGTGGGTTCGTGCACGGAAAAGTGAGGAAGAAAGACTGGCGGTAAAATAGGGACGCCGTCCCTCTCCTCTATACAGTAAACCCTGCCGCCTGCAGTTACAAAAACAATAAAACCTTCAATAAGAATGAAATCAATGATTTCCTTTTCGCGCTCCAGGTTAGTTGTCCTTTGGTGTTCCTGCGGGTCAAGGATAGGTGCTGTAACTAGGCTCTCCTGGACACGCCTACGATCCTCGGGTTCGCCTATGTTCCTGCTGGTACTGGGGATCCTTTTATCGTGCTTCCAGATGAGAAGGCCATGTCCATATACCAATGCACCACTGCAATCCCACCCACCCACAACCTTCCTAACCTTTCCAACTTCAGTGGAGCTTGAGTACGGATCTGATTTAACAATCCAGCTCTCCGTAAAATCGATTCGTTTGGGAGGGCTCTGAAGGGATTCATAAGAGTAAATCTGACCCTCTACATCAAGAGCAATGAGGTGGTTACGGCCAGCAGAGATGCGCGCGATGGGGGTATCAATCATCATCTTAATAGCATCGCCAGAATTATCACGCTGCCTAAACCCATACTGCCCATTCATCGACCCGTAACTATAAACCTTGCCGTCGAAAGTGAGAAAATGAGTACTCCAACCGCTATAGGGCAGGTAATTAGCTTAAGAACGATGTTTCCTAGTAGTGGAGCTCTTACCCAGCCTTGATATCTACGACAAAGACCTCTCGCAGAGTTCTGATCTCCAGCGGGGTCCCAATGCCTCTTGTACTAGCGGTGATTGGATACGAGTGGCCAAGCTTACCAAGAGCGCTTTCTCCCCAAGTATAGGTGCGGGCTTTGGTGACTGCGAGGAAAAGCCGCATTGTCGGGACATCTTTAAACCGCGGAAGATTGCTGAGACTATATGGGAGCTGGATGGCATCTTCTAGACGTTTTTGCCAGAAGTAGTCTCGTTCGACGACACCTTTTATTTTTTTCTGTCTGAAGCATTAGATGGAACCATTTGATTGTTTAGTGATGGGGATCGTACACATATCAATCTTGAAGACTTGATTATCTCCGTCCAGCCTATATATCCAAAGATATCATGAAGCAGCTCGGCCGCTAAGATGGACATAGTTAGCTACGAGTCAAGCATTACATCTAAGATTATAGGAAGCCTACGGAGGTCCGCTAATGTCGTAGAAGTCATTTTGAAGATGAATTGTGTGCGGAAGAACGGTTCGAGGGCGTATAGTAGTGTAGACTGGAGATGGCGGTGGGTAAATACCAAAGGTACATGTAGATACTTGTATCTGAGCTCTGAGCTTTAAGCGGGGCAAATGACCGCCTAGCTCAGGACTAGGCAGGGGTGTGAAGGCATACGTCACACGGGTTTACTGAGCCACATTCCATCTCAGGTAATGATGCTTTATGGTTTCGAGCATGGTTTGTTTCAGCCCTTGTCAGTTAAGTAAGCTTGGCAGATGTGGCATGCCGTAGAAGACATCATTCGAGTGAGTTGCTGTGCATCGAATTCAGACGTATCTGGTAATGCAGTGGATTTTTTTTTTTGTTTAATTCATTAATTGCATGCAACTTTACAGTTATGGCAATACCCCTGAACTGCCCCTCCTCCTCCGCCTCCTCTCACATATTTCTGACATAGGAAATGAACGCCTCAGAGCCCTCTCTTATTCTATTCCTCGTTTCCCGCGTGGTAATGCAGTGGATAAATACATGTAAGGATAACAAGATATGCCTATGGCGCGAGAAGGCATAGGGGGTGGGTGTGTCAACTTCAGAGGAACTTTTTTTGTATGGGAATTAGAGAAAATTCCACCGTCAGGCTAGGCGCTAGTACCATTATGGGGGTAGATCTCCCAATTCCTATAGATTGATTGGCTGCAAACGCCGAAGTTTACACACCTACCCACCATAGCTTCTCGAGCCATAGTTGCATTCCTTTCTTAGATACATGTACTTATTGCTGAGAAAGTACTACGGGTGCCGGGGTAAGTCTGTAGACAGGTGGCGGTGACACACAAACAAATATTAAGGAATCTCCTCCCTATGCACCGCCACCTGTCTACAGACTTACCCTGGCACCCGTAGTACATCTTAATTGCTTTAGGCAATGATAGACATGGAATATCCCGCTTACCCTGGTTTTAGTAGGCGTGAACCTAGTAATCATAGAATATCACTCGATGTTAGTACCTGCGAGGCTATGTTGATTTATTGATTGGTTCATAAAGTACATGCAGCCTTGCAGCTATGGAATTAATGATGTAACATCAATTTCCGGAAATATTATAAAGTTCAGCCTCCGCAGCCTTGAATTTCACAATTCCTTGTATCAGAGATAATTTCTACGTTTACAACCCTTAAACGCAGTCTCCGGTGGAAATATCCCAATGAGAATGATAGCTTGGTTTGCATAAAGGACTAGCGCTAGTAACAAATAAATACCCCGCACCCGCATTCTTTGAACCTGGACCCTCAAGCCTCAGACCCCGATGATCAGGCTTCACGCTTCAAATATAAGCACCTATAGAATTAACGCTCTACCCTGCTCCCCAACGTTATAGTGAACCAACATTTATACAGTCAGAACCCTAGGGAGGAGGCAAAAATACCATCTTTTAAGAACTACAGTAAGCAAAGTGCACTTTATAATGTAAGACGCAGTTTTCTGGGGCAGTTCTCGGCCAGGCCAGTGAAACGAAGGAAGTCTGTTCCTTTTATATATTTACATGCAGGTAAAGAGAGAAAATTGTGCAGTTTTCACATTTCTCTGTTCGACGGATCCGTGTGAGTATTCCCAGCCGCGCCCTAAGCACTTAAGTGCTCTGCTGTTCGATGCGTGATGCTCGCCTATTAAGAATTTTGTAATATCTAAATTACAGGGTAATAGTTTTCCTCTACACAATACGCGTCGTCTAACTACGAGTCATAATCACGATGATCTTAACGAAGCTGAATAGCGTAGTGTCGAGGTAAGAAGGGAAGGAGCCCAGACATGAGAGATTTAACGCCTTGACAACATGTGCATAGATACTTTCCTATTGTTATCGATATTTTCTCTCTCAACTCCAAACACATACACTATGTAGAGTTATATCCTGTATTTTCGATCATTGACACTTCACCAGAATCATTATGAAACATGCGACTTTCCGAACCAAAGCCCATGAACCCAAACTTGTTCGAACTATGTACGAGCTCACTCATAGGCTACACACGACTGTTTGATTCTTCAAAGGTTGTGTAGGTATCACCAGAATCTACGCCCAAACCCCAGCGAAAGACGGTAGCGATCGCCTACGACCACCGTCGCATGCACAACTTTTTGTACCCAGGGCACCCGAAGTTAAACCAGTAGTGTTGATAGTATTTTGTTTTCAAGATCAATGATTGTCGTGGCAATACTCATTGTTCAGATCACCGTCTTTATCGAAGTACTGCATCTATCCCATCGTAAAGATTTATTTGTTGAAATACGCACTTGAAACACTCCCAATGCAGAACCATGCGGAATCAATATTACCAAAAATAATTTCATTCCGTGAATACTGCACCAATACCACATGATTACCGCATTCTCAACAGTACGTATTAACAACTCAGCTATAATAATACTGTAGGGTCACCGTGTTCATTGAAATGTTGTATTCCGGTGAACGTCTTATTTATATAGCATTGGTTCTGTTATTCCTACAATACGTATTATCAATTCAACAATAATAATACTGTAAGATCACCGTATTCATCAAACTATAATATTTCAGCCAACACTGTAGTCTTACGATGCTGGTGCGCCCTCTAGATCTTAGAAGTCCCACCAAATTACCATATTCCAGTGCACCCCATGCCCACCATATCGCAGCATATCGCTTTTCTTTTATCCGCTGAACCACTTCATTGCCCCACCATAACATATTATCCTGTTTTTTCTTCTATCCGCCAACTATATAGTGGCACGATCCCATCCGCTGAGAAGAGCGAAGTTTTATAGATGAAAAAAGAAAGTGTCTTGATTGGGTGATAGTCTCGTGGCCATCTCCTAAGGGTGCTGTTCTCCAGTTACATCATCCATGACACAGCTTCACTCGTCTCTAACATATCTCATTACTCCCATCACCGTTTCCCCTCACGACCATCTTCTGCCCGCTAACTTGAAGTCAGGTATGTTCAAATCCACCTAAAATTAGATCAGCGAGCGCGCAGACTGCCCACCGAAGAAGGTATTTTCCATACGTAATCACAGACTAACTTCCACTCACTAACCCCCAACCTCTCTCGGAATAGGAGGAAACTTCTTGATTCCATCATTCATGGGCAGTGAGCTCGTCTCTTGCTGTACTTCCTGTGGAAAGATCCATTGAATCGGTTATCAGCTATATTAGTTTCAGAAGGCTGGACCCTCGACTCGAGATTGAAAATTCAAGATGCTAAGGCCAAGCAGCGCCGAAGTTGATTTCAGGCAGTCCAGCTTAACCCCATAGGCAGGATGAGGAGTATATATAAGTTGAGATTCGAACTTCTCCCCTTCTTTCCTCATGTCTCTCTTGGGCTTTGGGCTTCCCGGGTTTTGGGTTCCTCGAAGGGGGCGACCGAGTAGTGGCTATCAATTCAGCGAGGTCCTTTGGCTTCCTGTTGAGCTCGGGACTACGTAACGTTTTTCTTCGTGGGGTTGGCCAGAGATAGCTGGGAATTCTACTCTATGTCTTCTTTTGAGGCATTTACCTCTCCTCAAGTCTTGTCTTTGGTTTCTTGGATTTGAGGCTTAATGTTTAGGCTTTGGACCCTTCCAGAGACTTGAGAAGGCGGTAGGTATGATCAATTAGATTAGGTTCCTTTTGGCTTCTCGTGCTTACCGTGTGTTCTTGTGGGTTCTTTAAAATTTCGGGAGTTAGACCCGTGATAGATAAAGTTGCCATTATAAACTTGTAAAATGGCACAGACAAAAGAGAAAGTTTATTCTCTGAAATTGGATCACATAAACTCACTCGATATGTCACGTGAGAGATTTTGAGAAGCTTCGAAGTCCAGGGCGGAGTACCATGGCCGCATCCAAGTACGTCCTTGAAATTTATCTATCTTATCACTCCGCCCCCTGTTAATCAATAGAACGCGCAGTAGTACCACATCTCCACAGCTATTCATTACGATAATAGCCGGTTTGACCTACAATTGTTAATATTGTTCACCTTAATTGCGGTTAAACAATGACGAAGTATCTTATAACAAATGTGACTGGCGAACAAGGTCAAGCATCCTACCTTTGCTTTAAAGCAGGGCAGGACAATACCTAGCTGGAGCCTATATGACCGAGGTATCTCGAGTGACAACACACCGTGGTCTATCTATCGCAACCTCAGTATTATGCTAAGGACCAATACAGCCCCAGTAACTTTTCCTTTCAACAATTAGCATTGCTCACCCCTCTGTGGAGGTGCCAAGGGGAGAAAATTGTGATCGATCACCGGTGCTTATAGCCAGGTATCGAGTCTCTTAATTTGGGCTACATGTACTTCCGGAATTCGGGACTGCATGTATGTAAGCTTCTCCTCCTCCTCGTCCTCCTCTTTCCTTGATTCTCCTTAGGCTGGCTAGAGAGGATGGAGAGGGGGAAATAAGAGAGAGAAGGGAGAGGTAGATGCGAGATTCCGGTCTCGTGCTCACCACCAATACCTACGCCCGCCCCAGCTGTCGAGTCACCTCACTATTTCCCCCACTCCTGCATGCAAGCGGGGGTTTAGTACCTCGCTAGCACACGCATATTTGACGGGTGGGCGGAGGCGGGGTCTTGCATACGCTGCTCTCATCCTCACTCTACTGCACGTCTAGCTTCTATCAACTACATACATATATGTGCACGACATATAGCACCTCCTCTACGTCGCTCCCTCGCCGACAAACCCGTCCCGCCGATAAATCCCCATGTATGTTCTGTCTTTCTGTATCAAACTACGCTATAATAAAAAACCTACTCCTGCCGACAATTCCATATACTCGGGGCAGGCAATAAGAACCTGAAAATGCAAGCTGCAAGCAGGTGCTCAATTTTGTGTAGCTTTTCGCCAGCCGCGAATCAGAGGTTGTTACCATCAAAAGTCATTTTCAGGTTCTTCTTACCTGCCCCGAGTACATACAATTAAAGGCACCCCACACGCCCGCCGACAATCCCGCCCCCCCCCCCCCCCCCCCGCCGCCGACAATCCCGTGCTCAACATCTACCAACCATCACGATACCTACACTCGCCGACAAAACCGCAGCTCATATCCCCCCACCCCTCACCGACTAACCAGCACAAAAATAAAATATAAAGAAAAAAGACCTCGGCCAAAAGGAACAAACCGGAACCTCCCTTGCTCCGATATCATACACTACGTATGATACATCCCCAACACCTCATACCTCACACACCTCATACCTCACACATCACACACCTCGCACCTCAAAACCCCCAAAAGGCAGCAGCAACAGCAGCGGAACATATCGGGCCCCCACCCCCACAAGCATCCACACCCGGTCCAGATGGCAATGCTTAAACCGCTGCAAGGTTCCTCCCCGAACTTATCCGTGAAACAAGGTTTCTGGGGAAACATGGGGGAAAAAACGGATTACTATGCAGATTTGAAAACAGATTTGCAGGAGTTGCACATGTTGTTTTCCCAGTACGGTGGGAGTCGTGCCAAGTCTCGGTAAAGTACGTGGAATTAAGCTGTTCTAGATATTCTTACATACACGTGCCAACACTAAGGGGAGCTTGCGTTTGCGGCGTTGTCGGAGGAAGGGATGCATGATACCTAGGTGAGTCTTCTCTCCCTCGATGTGAGTTGAGATCTGGCCTTTTTTACCACTGCTGTTATTTTTGGGCTGGTATGGACGGGTGCTAGAGCTCTGTGGGTGAATTCGCCCCGGATACGTTGTCAGCTCCCATTAGGACCGAGAACTTCACGGGCTCTCACTCGAACATATTAGTAGATCTATGAGGAGAGCTCACAACTGTCACCCTATAATTTAGATCGTATTTCCTTACCCAGACCACCACTAGAATAAAAGAAAATAGATACAATTACATTGTACAAAGAAGAAGGAAAAAAAACCCGAGACCCCTAACCGCTCAAACGAAAGTATAACGTGGAAATCTATCTATCATAATGACAAAGTAAAACACGCCCCCTCTTTTTTTGCTTTCTGTGACCTTGATGAGAACGTAATATGGTATGGAAAACGCAAATAACAAAAATACACATCACAGAAAATATTCAACCAGATCCCAAACAAAATTGGAAGAAAGCTTTTGTGAACAGCCAATTATACCCAAATAATCCAAAAGAAGTTCACTCTCTGTGTGGCAGAAGATTAGATGCGGTCCAGAGCTAAAGGGTGGAAATAAAAACTAACCTTGAGACATCACGCCCAAAAACCTTAACCTTGAGCCAATCCATGAGCACCAAAACACGGTTTCTTGTGCTAAAGCACATGGACAGGTACGCTGATCTCCAGAAAAGGTATGTCAAAGAACCACCGGAGGCAAGCTATGAGGGAGGTGAGTAAATAAAATCTAAAATGCCGGGGCTAAAGGGCACTCACGTTTCCATTGAACCAAGTGATGTCTGCAACCGCCTTGTCCATTCCAATGTAGGCCAAAGATCCCTGGTGAGAGTACTCAAAGGGTGACAGCTGCTTGACCTTACTGATAGCCTTGCTCTTCTTCTGGATTTCCTTCTCCAATGCTTCCTGGTCCTCGCCCTTAGCTTCCTTGGAAAGCTCATCCAGGTGGTCCAGCTCAGTCTCCAAAGCTTGAGTACGGGCCATTGTGTTGAAAAGACGAGCCAAGAAAGCACCCTGTTGCGAGGCGACCTGGGCTGTGGGAGCATACTTAGTTGCTGAACAGTCACCGAGAGCCCAGACTCCCTCAGTCCCGTCCACGACAAGGTACTCGTTAACAGCCAAACCACGGCGGGAGTTCTTCTGCTGGGGGAGCTGTCCCATCAGGTCCCTGATAACATTCCTTACAGCATTACCCGTCGCCCAAACCAGACATCCGTAGGGGATGATCTGCTTCTCCTTGGTACCATCGGGCTTGGTCACCTCCGCCTCGATGTACTTGTCCGTCACATTCTTAACCATTGTCTTGGTTCGGACGTCGATCTTCTCATCCTTGAAGGTCTGCTCGGTGTATTCGATCAATGTCTTGCTGAACATGGGCAAGACCTATCGGACGAATTAGAAAAGTTGTGAGTCACACAGGAGGTCATAAACCCACGTTTGGCAGAGCTTCAACAAGGGTGACATGGAAGTCACCGGTAATTCCCGGAACCCATTTCTTGAGATCGTCCTCAAAGAAATCCTGCAGTTCGGCGGCGAACTCGACACCAGTTGGTCCACCTCCGACAACAACCTGGTAAATTTAATAAGCACACCGCTCAAGCTTCAAGATAATAAACCGGAACTGCAATATGTCTCACCATGTGAAGAAGACGCTCTTTCTCCTCCTGCGTCTGGTCCTTGAACATAGCCGTCTCAATGCAGTCCATAACCTTCTTTCGGATCTTGTGGGCGTCATTAATCTCCTTCAGGAAGCATGCATTCTCTCTGACTCCCGGAATGCCTTTTACACACAACCCCAAACATTAGACCAAATCCCAAAAAGTCCATAGTCACATGCTAATCCATTGACTTACCAAAGGTCGCGTTCTCGGCTCCCACACCCACGACAAGGTAGTCGAAGGGAACCTCAGTCTGGTGGATTTCTCCCTTCACGTCTGAATTATCATTGATGATAACAACCCGGCGGTCATTGTCAATCTTGGTTGCCTCGGCCTCGTAGAACTTAACAGATGCCTTCTTGTGACGCAGAATGTGTCTCAATGGCTCCATAATACTGCGGTGCTCCACAGTTCCGGTGGGACAACTGGGAAGCAAAGGGGTGAACAAGAAGAAGTTACGTGGTGAAATGACGATGACATTGTAGTTTTCGGTATCCAACTTCTTGAGAAGGGCAACACTTCCCCATCCAGATCCTAAAATTGCCAAAAATATTAAAACTGTGACTTGAATTGCCTTTCCGGAGGGATTCTTACCAAGAATTACAAGTGTCTTCTTTGTTGGGTCAGGCTCGGTCTGCTCCTTAGGAAAACGTGTCTCGTAGATGGAGTAGGCCAACCAAACGGTTCCCACAATTGCAAGTGTGTAGGTTCCCCTCCATGCGTATTTGACGTATCTAAACCTGTTCTTGGGGGCTTTTTTCGCTGGGGCAGGGGAAGCCTCTGAAGCGTAAGCACGCTTGAACGACGAACGAGTAATCTGGTTTTGAATAGAAGGCTTGAAAGCGGTGGCCTGGCGTTGAAGAATTGCACGAGAACCGCGCGACGCCAATCCCGCAGCCGCAGGGACAGCTCTGAGCTTCATAGCAGAAGACATCATCGTGAATTAACCTTGTACTGAGGAGTTACGGTAATAAGCGATTGTCGTGCCAGACGGACAGGCAGAAGGCGACTAGATGTTTACCTGTGGGGAGAAAAAATATGACGGAGGAGATACGGTAGTAATATCAAGAAATAAAGGGAAAGGGAAAAAAGAAGGGAGGAAAGAAAAAAAATAGCCGTCAAATCAGTGATATGAGAATTAATGAGAATGTAACCCCCACCAAGTAGAAAGTGACGGCGTTGCTGCTGCTGCTGCTTGCTGCAAGACACAACCCAGATCTACCCTCCACGCGGGAAAAATTTTACCGGGAGAAGGAAAAAAAATGTATAATTTGGCCCACTCCGGTCCCCGGGGAAGAACCCTTCCATCCCACACACCCTATCCCCATCGAACCCTTATGTTCTTTGCTTTGTTTCTCTAGATCTCACTCCCACCTGCATCTCTAATCTACGCTCTCTACAGTCCGAGTAATCTCATTCATCCCTCACTTGCCTGTTTGTCTGTTCCCTTCCGTCCCTTTACTCATCGGCGTCTTTCTTGCTTCCCGCTCGTAACACCCCCCCCCCCCCCAGGCTTCTGATATTTGTTTTTTTCCGATAAGAACAGGAATGCCCCTCCAGGCTCCCAAAAAAGGGCGCCTAGCCGTTCCAGTGCACCGGATAAAAGAGGCTGAATCTGGTCCTTCGAATCATGTGTGGAAGGGGAATCTGATAACCCAAGCCAGTCTAGGGCTTAGAAAATGTTCCGTAGAACTGACGTAACTCTCCTCGGTAAGCCTCTTCCATCGGCGGCGGCGGCCAACCACAACCACTGCCCGTGCTAAGGCATCGAATCAGGTACATAAAATACACACAACCGATTATCAACCTTCCCTTCTTCCCCCTTGGTTGGGCTCCACTGAGAAAAAAGAAGTGAAAAACGTGCTTCCCGCTCTACCCCCGCCCAGCGTGATTTTTTTTTCTCTTTTACTCAGCCATGGGGGGAATAATCAATCCATCTGCCTCCTGCCAGCTTACGACTTCACCCTCGCCTCCCGTCTAATATCGAACGAACACCAAGACAGAAAGGCGAAGTTGAAAGGGGGGGTCCGGGAGGATCTTAAGTCCCTCAGCTTAGCTACTTTCTGTACCTATCTCGTGGAAGGGCCAGCGGCCGGCAGGGATTCCAAAAGCGCCCAACCAGGGCTTCGGGCGACGTTGATTCGCGATCCTTTGAGTGAGACAAAGGTTACCCTGCTCTCCGCCGGTTAAAGTCGATACCTATCTTGAGTTTAACCGCTTCACAGCTTATCACCACCCCCCAAATCCGGAGCGGGACCAAAATGATATTTTTTTTTTCGCCCTTCCCACTCTCGCTTCGACCTTCAATGGGATGGGATGAATGGATGAAGACACAACTCCGTGTCATCTCCCTTTGCTGCTGGTTCACGGGAAAATGGAACCGCGGAGGAGGGGGAGGCATATATCACGAATCTCCCTCTGGCCGGTGGTTTGAAATGGCTGGGACTGATCACACGCCCCCCGTCCAGCCCTCCCTTTTATGCTCCAGTCAGATGGTACCTCCCACCAGGAGCGCTCCCGGAAATTTCAGTATCTTTCCTAGAGGGATTGGACGTTCTCATACAATCGATATTATAAAAGGACTCTTCGTATATCACTTAGTTGAGGATGCTCCCGGCCAATACAGGGCTTTATATGAGGACGATATCGGCGATAAGCTAATCTTAATTCTAACCAATAAGTAGATCGAATTTTGGGGATTCTAATGATTGGGGTCCCAATCATGAGTGCTGCGACTAATGTCTTGGCACATGATCATCATTATCACGAAACAAATCTCTAACGGGTCCAGTAAGCTCTAGAAAAGACTCGGGAGTTTCACTCAGTAATTAGCCAGGGCTGGGATCATCAAGAACGACATTCGGAGGCAAACAAAATATCTTCCAGAACCGGTACTTTTTAGAGTTCAATTTTCTGCTTGAGATGCAGGGATTTTACTTCTAAATAATCGTACATAAGCTTTCGAGGTATTCCCACCACCTTCCTTGCCATCATCCCTTCCTTGCGTAAAACAAATAAACTCCATTTCCCTATGCGACCTCTTGAGCACCAGAAATATACAAATTCCCCAAAGCCATTAAACAAAGCAAAAAAGGATAATAATACACAAGGTCGAAAAAGAAAGGAAAAAAACGCAACACCGGAAAGCCGCATAACACAAGGTATCCACTGAAAAACGAAAGAAAGCCGCTTAAACATTTCAAAATCAAAATAACCACCCAATCCTGTGTAATGCAAATATGTCGAGGTTGTCCTTATTGAGGATATGAATAATCAACCGCCGACAAAATATAAAAAAAGAAAACTAACAAAAAAGGAAATGACCGGATTTCCTTAAAAACTATAATCCGGGTAAACAACTGGCCAGGATTGTGGCCAGGTCTCTGTCTGCATATATGGAACAGTCCCAGTCTTGTACTCAGTTCGTGGTTTACCCAACGGCTGGTAGTGCATCTGGTCGTAGCAAAGTGCTGGCGGCTCGGCAGAAGTCGACGGCGGGGGTACAAGAAGTGTGTTAACCCCGCGAACAGGCCTGTATGGAGAATTCCTGTTTCCAAGAATCCAGTTAGGCGATTGTTGCTGCGACGAAAATCCCGGAGTGGTCGGCGACGAGGCTGCAGAATGATGAATGGAGTTGTGTTGCGAATACGGGGAAGTATTTCTGGATTGTGATCCGTAGTTCATGTTGTGGCTCAATGGGCCAATTGATACCGGTGAAATCGGTGGGTGGTTGTATACGCTCTGCATAGCACGTGTTCCCGGCAGGGGTAGCTGATTCGAAGACATAACAGGAGCCAAATTGTGGTGTTGGCTACCAGAAGTTGAGGGGAAAACATTGATCGACAAGCGGGGAACCTGCTGCGACTGTGAAGGTGTAGACAAAGGAGTCAAAAGAGGGAATTGTGTCCCGGAGGTGTTCAACATTGGCCCCATTGACCTTGTAACCCTCTTTGTCGGCGGTTGCATCCCAGCTGCTGAATCATATGGTCTCTTCCTAGACAACGCCTGGAAATCAGGTTGTGGCATTGGGGTTATTGGCGAATGAGCCGGCATCAATGAAGGCACACCCAGCTGGTGGGAATATCCTGGCATTGAAGTCGACGAGGAATATGGCGGAGATGAGCTGTTTGAAGGTGGCGGTGAAGGCAGTGATGGCGGAACAATCGGTAAAGTCGGTGTAATCGGGGCCGGGATCCTAGAACCAATCTCAATGGGCGCCCTTTGTGCCCTATCCCAAAACGCCCAAAAACGACCCAAAGTCGTGTGCCACCCATTCCAATCCTCACTCGACACAAACAAACTATATCTCATATTACTCAGGAATTCTACCTCCATGATGTGAATCTCCTGCACTGAAATCCCAGAAACCTCAGCCCAGGTCTTGTTTGTGTACGTATTATCGTCCAAGACTAATTTTTAAGTCAGTAAACACAAAACGGCTAAACCCGAGGCGATCGTTTGAGACAAGTACTCACACTTATTTCCCAACATCAACGCCACGGTAAGCAGCCTAAACTCGCTACCGGGCTTTCCTTTTACAGAAGGGTTGCTCTTCTTCAATCTGTAAATGAACAATAGCGCGAGTAATATGACGTTCTGTGACACCTGTGTGGTAGACAGAATAGTTGTGACCCATTTTCTAAATCCTAGACTTGGCATGGCGTCGGGAGCCAGTAGACCTTGAGGAACAGGGGTAGTGGAAGATTCCGCAACTCTTTGTAGAAGAAGCGAAGATTCAAACCAAAACAAACATGTGATCTATACCCCGGCCAATATTAACTAACGCTACTACACAGTACCTGGCTGGACCAATGATGACAAACCTGTGCAGCAAACTCGGCCAAATTGGCCTTGGTGTTGTTTATCGAGGCCGGCACTGTCATCGACGCCGCGGCATTGCTCGTTGAACTCCTCCTCTTTGACGACGATGACGAGGACGAATGCTGCTCGGGATGTGCAATAGAATTCCTCCTCGAGATCGGCGGGCTCTCTCTTCGCCGGGTAATGTAGTTTTGATTTGACGACGACGACTGAGTATTCGACATTCGGAAGCTGTCAAGTGATTTTGGCACCCCGTTGCCCGCAATTGGAGGCTCAAACTGTCGAAGCTGCTGGCCATGGTTATACGATGGAATAGTGCCCTTGTACCCTGAAGCCATATCTGGTGGTGGTGTTTGAAGCCCCCGGCTCACCGACTGTGTTGGCTGGTATCTTGAGGGCGCCCCCGTCGATATGGAGTATCTTCGTACATTTGAACCTAGACTTATGGGTGATCTTGGAGAGTCAAAGTTGTTGAATATACCTGCCGGGTGGAAGGAATGGGGACCTTCGAGAGGTTGGTATGCTGTGTGAGGATGCATGATGTGGGGTCGGACTGCGATATTCAACATTAAGATGGAGGGTGGGTGGATTGATGTAGTTGTATAATTTTTTTTTGTGGGAAGAACCAGATATTGTAATGTACACTTGGGGGAGGATAGGATAGATAAATATAAAAGAGAGAACGTCAAAGAAGAAAGGCCCGGCTATGGTAAAGTATTAAAGTAGTACCGAACGCGTCTTAGTTTAACCCCGCAGGCAGACAGGTCCCCTGGTGATAAAGAGTGAACCGCTATGGCCTCGTCAAGACAGGCAGGCAAGCCAGCTGAGCAGGGAAGAAGTTGTAGTGGCGCGTAGCCCCAGAAGTAGCTGTACGATGGATGGGACTAGCGGCGAGTAGCCAGTGCCAGAAGTGCCTCTGGTGTATGGTGGAGTGCGTGGGAAATGGAAGCGGAAGAATGTCAGAGGGAGAGCCCAGTGTATGACCCGGAATTGGGAAAAGTATTGGCGTCATGGCATGGGGTTCAATGTGTGGGAAGGAATTATAAGGAAAGGGCTTTCGTCGAACCCTTGATGTAATTATGGAGATGGGGCTTTGCCACTACTAACTATTACAAAGTCAGCGGCGCGTGCCGGGCGGAGTGAGGGAGGAGGGCATGGACATGCGCGTTCCGCTAAGCTGTGTGCGTCTATATCGCATTGGGAAAAAAGGAGGTGTGATTTAACTCTTGGGCAAATTATGTTTGGGGGAATTTGAAAGGAAGGAAGAGGCTGGTTGGTTGGTTAAGATTTCTTTTGGGGGGTGGAAATAGATGTGGATGGACGAACTAGGGGATGGGAGATGCAGGAAAGGGAAAGGGCAAGGGTGGGAGTGTCTGTTGCAGCAGGCATCCTGTTGGATAGAAAATCCCAAGTGAATTTCGATAAAAAAAAGATTTTAAAAGAATCCAATCCGGAGAAAAGAGGGAGGTGGTAGGGATATGTGGTTTTTTTTTGGGGGGGGTAAGATGCGTGTGTATGGATTGGGGTCTGTATCTGTCCAATAATGTGAGGTATGTTGAAGAGAGTAATAGATGGAAAAATGAAATATCACCAAGTGAGAACGTATGATTGAGACTAACGATGAAAAAAAAAAGTCTCTGAAATTTATTGATTAGGTATGTATGAGACGGGGATGAAAGAGTGTGTGGGTTGGGTTGTGTGAGTGTGTGATTGTGATTGTGAGTGAGTGTGTGTGAGTGCAATCGGTGGAGTGTATGGATGGGTGATGAAGGGAAGGGAGGAGGTTGCTGTTTCCTGCTTCGTCCTAGTTAGCCCCCAACAGCCAACGCCAGATTGTGAAGGAATGCCCGATACGACACAGGCAGTCTCTCTCACTCTCGCTGGGTACCTTTTTTTGGTGGTGCCTTTGTCACAACGACGAAAGACGAAGACGTTGCTCTTTGTCGACGTTGTCGACGTCGCATTTTCATTCCGTTGTTCCCCACTCAACATCATGCTACTTACTTTACCTACCCATTCATCGGTTCAAGTCTGCATCAAAGCTCCGTGCTCCCGATTTTTCTTGTGCCCAACATCCCCATCAACACAAACCCAGCAGGCAGGTGCTAAAATACTCACTCAGCGTACAAGTTACGGTCAGGTTTGTAAGGATTGTAAGCCCCACAGGAGCAAAGAAGGAAAAACGGGGCACAGGTGGTTTGTAAAAAAAAAAAAAAAGCAGAGCCAGAGAGTCCTCAGCAGCAAGCACCGGTTGTTGCAGCGATGCTGAGTGTCTGCGCCGAAGCAGGCTTTGATGGTTGTGTTTCTGGCTAATAGTTTGGGTTTCCGTTTTCCCCCTTTTTTGCTTTTTTCCCTTCTAGGTTTCTTTTTCGTCCCTTCCCTTCTCTTCCCTTCTCTGGCCCTGTTTCTTTGTGGTTTGGCGTGCATGTAACGTGACTTGCGTGCAACCTACATGAAATATCTAGACTTCCTTCCAGGGTACTTTCCGAGCTTGGTAGAGTACGAGCAGTGTCATGTAGGTACCTTCCGGGAACATGACGCAGGAATAATCATCACTCGGAGCAGAGGGAAAGTGAAGGACAAGCAGGAGACAGGGAACTGCAACTTGCAATGTGGTCATTCGTGTTGGCCTGGCTGGAGGAGTACAAATTTGAAGAAGGTCAAAAAGAAAGAATCGCGATGAGCGCGAACTTGACGTCCTACTGAACGAGATTTCAATAGGGAAGGTAAGGGAACTCCCGATTCACCCAATCATGCAGCAAAGAAAGAAAAGGGAAAAGCGATGCACGAAGCCAAATCTGTCGGAATTGACAAACCTAGCCCTTCCTCATGTTTGACCAGCTTCTGGATCCCTGGTCTATCATTTCCATGTCTGGCCTGCCTACATATCATACAACAAACGAGAGCGGAGGGGGAAGGGGTAGAAAGAGCTAGATTGGACTAATAGTAACTTGAGCATAGCAATAAAATAAAACAAAGAAAGGGAAATAAAACAATGCATACCTGCTCTAGTTATACATATTTTGTTTTATTCTTGTCGCATCCGTTTACTCGACTTATAATTGAATCTAGAAGTATGTTATGCACGATACTGATAGTTTGAGTAAGTTGTAGTAGCAGCACCGGACGATTGGTCTTTGGCCCTTTGTGGTTGAGGTGGTGTGTGCCAGGGCGGAGAACTGCCTTCCTTTCTGCTGGCTGTTTTTAGCGTTGTTGCCACGGCGTCAAAACTAGGCCCAAGTTGCAACCTCGATTCCTGATGATTCGGGTCGGCAGGAATGGATGGATATGATGCTCAGAAGACTTTTTTTTACGAGTCTTTCCAGTCACTTCCCTTTGTTCGCAGGAAGGGGCTGAAGAGTTGAGTTTAGGGATGATCATGAGTGGATCTCCGAAGAAGGGCAGGACCGGCGTTCCCCCCATGCCACACCCCACAGAGCTAGCCTAGCCTGGATTGCTTGCTTGCTTGCCGCCATCACAACATGTCTGTTCTGTCCGTCTCCGTCCGCACGTCGACCTCAGGTTCGTTTCCGTCTCCCTGTAGATATCACTCTGTAGGCAGGTATGTAAAGTAGAGTCGTGTACTTTAAGTCACAAATTTACTCAACCCCCCAGCTCCAGCCCTCGCCCCCAGCCGTTTTGCTCATTTGGTTCATTTTGTGGAACGGCTCGGGGAGAACAGTAACAGTTCACAGCTCACAAATATATTATTTTATGAGGAGGAAAGAGATATGTACCTGCTAGGCCTACAGACTAATTGGAGTACTACAGTAGCTACATTTTACTTTGTACCTATGTACCACGCCCCCAATCGAACTGCAACCGATCATTTTAATCTTGGTCAATGCTAGGAGAAGCAGGCAGGTTTAACCGTCGAACTATATCGGAACCCTCTTGTTATCGATACATGAGTGTTTGAGATTTCCACTCAAAACGAGCAGGTAAAATGGAGGTTGGACATTTTTTAATTACTGAGCTGCTTGCTGCTCCCGGGGAAGGGTCGAGAATTAGCTGCTGCTGAGCCGGAATGAAACGTCGACAGTGTAATATTGTTAAAATAACTGCCTAACGTATATATAACGGCGATGGATCTTAATTTAGCCAAGTATTTAAGTGAAGTGCCCATTATTATTTTTGTTTTAAAGAAAAGATCAAGCAGCACGGTCGCGGCGTATTCCAAAGGGGAATTCGAAAGAAAGAAAGAAAGAAAAAACCTGTCTTTGAGTGAGAGGTTCCGCAAATCAGTAGAGCTCGAGTAGTACATAACTTGCCGCAGATATAGATAGACACCACCGCGCGCGAGCGAGCGCGAGCGATGTTATCTAATTCAGCCTGCAAATAAAGAAAACCGCATCATCCTCCCTCCACTAGATCCCGGAAAGTGCACATAGAGCTCCGCAGCATACCTGCAAAACCCGGCAATTCTACTGGCTAGGGCCGTTTGGGGTCATGGTCATACAGGACAGGATCACGTATGTTGCAAACAAGCAAGCCGGTATGAAGTGAGTCGGAAAGAATGATAGTGACAGTGATAATAATAAAAAGCCCGGTTTCGAAAGCGTCTGACGTTAATTATTCAGTGTATTTATGTAGGTAAGTATGTAGGTTGATAGATGATGTAGGTAATATGTGTGATCAGCTATTCTTTATCGTATTTTTAAAAAGTCGCCTGTCACTCTTGCCTGCCTGCCTGATTCAACAGTTAACGGTAGGTGAGAAATCTCAGGCTTAGGCTCAGGCTCAGTCAGGCTCGCAAGTACCCAAATGACCGCGCAGGCCCGCATCTAAACGAGCCCGTTATTCTCAAGCCTAAGGCTCTCGATCGATAAAGGCACGGGCATAACCTATTGATGAATCGGGAGGCAACAAAGAGACTGGTGAGTGAGTGAGTGAGTGAGTGAATGTCTCGATGTATGTAAGTGAAAACTAAACAGCATAATAACAATAATAATAAAAGCCGTGGCCATGATTGGCCAAGCTAGACATCATCATGAGCTTAGTTATTTGTATGTACGTGCTACGTACTGTACTTACGTACAGACGGGCCATTTCCAATAGGTATCCTCATCATGTTTCTCTTTCGACTCTCTGTATGTAAACCCTGTCCACCTGTCCTACCAGCTTTGTAGAGCATGCGGCGGGCCAAAACCGATCATGGCCGACAGGTAGTAGGTATCCTCCGCCGAAGTTTCCACGCGGTCTTTTTTTCTTTTCTTTTTTTCTTTTTCTTCTCGTTCTTCCTTTTTGTAATTTTCAAATCTAGACTCTAGTTATGCCAGCAGAGTTTAGTTAGGTTCCTCGGGTGAAGTCGAAAGGTTGAAGACCACACCTGGTCCACCACACACACACGCCAACCCGGTGTTGGTATCATGATCACACAGCAGCAGAAGAACGTGGGCCCTTTAGTCAGAGGTTGTCCGTCGGGCTTGACTATTCCTGGTCCCACAAAGTGCGGGTGGAGGAGTGAGTGTTCGTTATTCAGCAATACATATGCAGGCAAGTAGGCAGGCAGGCAAGCAAGCAGGCAAGCAAGCAGGCAAGCAAGCAAGCTCCCGATGATAGGGATAGTCCTAGTCCTAGATCCTGAGATGCTGCTCTGTTACTCGAGACTGAGATGATACCTAGCGCGGAGTGGGATGCTAGTGGGAGCTAGTGAGTGAGAGCTAGTGTGGGGCGTGGCAAACGAACGAACGAACGACCACCGGGCGTAATCACCGCTATCATACGAACATATACGAACATACAAACAGAAAAAGGTTTAATCGAAGTTCACGACGGAGTCTTGTCTTTTTCTTTTTTCTTTTTCTTTCTTTTCTTTCTTTTCTTTCTTTTCCTTCTCTCTAATAATTCTGTGTGCCGATCTGTCCGTCCGTCTAGGCAAGCAGCGAATTGAATTGGTTTCCCCTTGTTTACCGAGCGAACGGGAAAGAGAAAAGATATAAAACCGTTCAGTCATGAGTAATCTGCGGGGCCCTATCGATTGCGAAGCCACCCAGAAAAAGCCCAGAAACGAACTATCGTTCGGAGTTGGGAGCTTCTCCCCAAATTGCATTGACTGATTGATTTGATTGTATCATGATTGCAACAAAGAAAAAGAACGACACCGCGCGACTCGCGAGCTTTCTTGCATCCGCTACCCACATGCAGCAGCAGCAATCTCAGCACTCGCGAAAATCATCAAACAACGGGAAGGGAAGCACAACGAACGAACGACGGCCGAGCGCAACCATCCATTCACCGCCGCGCGCGTGTGTTTAGAGGATCCGTTAGGGGGAGTTAGAGGAACAGGAAGAAGAAGGGGAAGGAGGAGGTACAAACTCGACATCACGAAACAGACAAAGTTGATCAGCTAGCTCAGCCATATGATGGATGATACACACACCACACTCACACATCCTGTCAAGTCCAAGTTCAAGCCCGCGCAGATCCATCTATCACAATCACAATCACATCAAGGTGCGGTTAATGAACCCTTTCCTCTCTCTTTTCCTTGGCCCCCACACACCACCTGCAAGCCACCGAGAGGGCAGAGAGAGGTAGGCAAAAAGCAAAAATAAAAACCTCGATTTGATCGGCTCCACTTTCAATATTTCATTCAACCCCCGAGGAAGCATTGTTCTTCATATTCACCAACCTTGTTGATCTGTGTTTGGGACTTACTGTTGAGATGTAATGTAGGTGGGTTAGGTTAAATATGTATGTATGAGGGTTATTATCCAACAGACCCCATAATTTCCAGATATTTAACTAACTTCCTTGTTTTTTTTTATTTGTTCTAATATCCCCTCTCTTTGTTTTTCTGTTGGCTGAATTCATCAGTACTCACTTGAGGGGGGGGGGGGACGCCGAGTCGGTGTTTACTGTTGATGAATGTAGGTTGTGGGTCATTACGGGAGTTTCCACTGGATGGCAGCATTGAACAAACGAGTGAGTATTGTAAGAGCATGAGTGAGTGATAGATTACAGTCGCAACTCGATATGCCGGATCTCAATACGCCGGATCCCTTGCTATCCCGTACGAAATCCTCTGGGGTTTTGGTTTTGGTTTTTTTTTACTGCAAGATCAATTTGCTATCCCGGATTTTTTGCTATCCCGTATGAAATCCTTCGAATCTTGGCAATCCGGCATATCGAGTTGCGACTGTAGATTAATGCCAGAGGAGGAAGAAGACTCCCGCCCCCTCGTTTCGTTTGCCTGCCTACTACCTGGTAGAGTATCTACAGTACCGGCAGAGTAGATACTTTACGATACTCGCCTTACCTTGCCTTCTGCCCGCCGGTGGTCGCGGTCGACCTCTATCATATCATATCAAATCAACCACCTCCCCCCCCCAAATCACGAATTCCCCACTCCACAAACCCCCAACCATGGCATTCTGGCAAAATCTCATAAACCACAGACATGGACGTGGGTCTCTCTTCCCCTCCTCTCCGGCCCTTGCTTCACTCTCACTCTGAGGTACATACCCTGCCCAAAACACACACACACACACACACTCAGAGAAAAATAAAACGGCCGTAATCAGAAACAGAAAAGCAGAAACAACCGGTAGAAGTATCATCAATAAAAAAAACCCAACCCCAACCCATTAATCATATCTATCGATCGATAGATTACTATCTTCTACATATCGACCGGGGTAGAGGACGGACGCGCCACCTTTACCTTCAATTGCGGCGCGACACACTCGTGATCATGTTGATTGGCCTGTCGCATCGGGGAGAGTAAGGATATACAGGTAGAGAAAGCATCATTCATTCACAGGCATTGAAATTTGAAAAGCCACTGGTACCGGTAAATGATACCTCTACTCTACACGATGTTGTTGACTCTACCTGCTATATGCAAACATAACATACATACCCGCCGCGCACGCAAGAATACATACCCTACTCACCCGCAGTTGCAGGTCATATGGTACCTACTCTACTCGCGCGCTCGCGAGAAGGAGTGTATTATTTTGTAGATATAGACATCTATTAGGTTTAGTTTCGTTTTTGGTTTTGGGGGCGCCTGAGGAAGGAGGAGCTAATGGAAAAGCCGCGCATACGCCCGCCCCGCGTGCGAGCAAAGTAAAGCAAAGCAAAACCCGCAACGCAACGCAAAGGGGCCAATCAGGATGGTATTCCCGGCCGACGAACGAACGAACTAACGAGTGTTTTAGCCGGGCGGATTTCGAATATTGTTTACTATCAACTTGATCACTACATGATATCTACTCGCTCAACTCACTCACAAATAACACGATGCCTACAGTTAGTTTACACTGCCGGGCGGGCTGAAGGATTGTATGTAGCTGTAGATTACGATATCTTACTGTGCTCCGACACGACTCAGCCACAGCTCGAAACGAATGTGCCGGGATAGGGTTGGAGAGAGATCTTGAAAGTGAGGGAGAGGTATGGATGTGGATGTGATGTGACGTTCCACTAAGGCGCCGACATAAATATATCCAGCAGCAGCAAGCAGGCAGTCAGGCAGGCAGTTACGTTACATAGTGGCTCTAGGAATATGTGATCCGCGTGTTTGAAAATATCACAGGTAGGTACAATATGTAGGCGGGAGGCATGGCACCAGATGAACGAGAAACTCAGTACCTACAACCAGCAAGTTGATCGACAGTAAGTCGTCAGTCAATCAAATCATCGAGCCTGGCATCATCAATGCCAATAATAATAATGGTCAGACCCTATGTATGTAGAGGACACTGCAGGGCGAGTGAGAGAGAAGCATAATAGTACCACCAGGGGGGCATGATAGGTATCGTGAGTGCCTGACTACGTACATAACATCCTAACACACACAAATACACAACTACAATAGCAAAGGATACGTGTTAATTGGCTATGTTGCTCGCTCTGCCTCAGCTCAACGACAGTCAGTACTCATACTCCCCCCCGCCGCGCCCCGTAACTAGTAAATTTAAACGCCAGAACCTTTTTTTCTCACCATGCTTAAAGGGCCCTGGGTCGGTCAGATGACATGATATATCACCCGATAGCTATGTAGCTGTTGATATCATGGACGGAGCACAATCATAGGAGTACAGCACGGTGGGGTTGCATCAAGAAGTGTTTAAGAAAAAGGGGAACTCCGCCGTATATATGCATTGCAGCGCCAGTATCGAGAGAGTGAAGTCAGGTACTGTATCCTAGGTAATATGTAGGAGGTACCTACCTACGTAGGCCCAGCTAATACAATACCCACACATGGCTTGGGAGCCAACCATCATAAAGCCCTCTCTTCACTTCAAAAAGTAAAATTGGGTCGATCCAAATAAGTAATCTAACAACCTCACTCTCCGTCCGTATTCCCTGGAGATTACACCATCATCAATGAACCACCACGCACGAGATCTATTCATAGTCCCCACCCCGTCTAGTATCTGTCCGACCAGCTTCAAACAACCACTGACCGAGGTATGTAATAGCTTCCAGTTTCACAAACGAGTGCACTTATCCCCCGCTATTCCAAATCCGCGCACGGCCGTGACGATGAAGAAGTGGGGGAGGGTGGAGAAGTTCTAGAAAGGGTTGAGACCGTCCGGACGAGATATGAAACCTAGAAGCCCATCGGGCGCTGTTACTGGTTTCATAGGTCCACCACCGTACGGACCGGGCCAAGAATAGAGATGTAATTTCTTGAATTCCATCTAGACTGGCCGGTGGTTAGGGTTTGCCAAGGGGTTGCTGCTGCTACCACCGCCGCTGCTTAGTCAAAGAGGTGCTACTGTGTCAATGATAGTTATGGAAGGGAAAGAATATCTAGGTGGTGGGGTGGGGGCGTTGTGGTGGGGGTAGGGTATATGGAGGTATTTGCCGCGGGTTGTGATATCGAAAACTACCCGTAGCTTCATAGCGTTTCCGAACACGACCAATATTTCATGACATACAAAAAGGTGGATTTGGCGCTTTTTTGTATGGTATGCAATAGCGGTCGTGTCCGGAAACGTCATGAATTTACGAGTACCTAGTTTTACCCACAGATGGATGACAGTTTCCACCTCTGACCACCGGAAAGTGAAAATGATGTATATCTATCGCAGTGGCCCTTAAACTCTTCCCCCAACGTTAACACGGCCTAAAAGTAAATGGCTTGGATCTTGAGGCTTCACACACATCATTTCACCCGTATAAAGAACCTCGGCGGCGGCCTTGATAGCAAGAGCAACACACCGAGGCAGTGAAACGAGGTTCTTAATTCACATGTAGTTACCCCTCGAAGTTCCACATGGGCCTTGTAAGGCCTATTACCAAGGTTAGAGGCACCGGTCTGTAGATCTGTCTTTTCGGTCCCTATATAGAATTCACATTGATAGTGTAACCGTTTGGGTAACGAAAACAGCAGAAGAAGCGTGTTGAGCTCAAACACCGGCTCTGTAGAAAAGATCAACATATCATGGTGGTCCTGAGTGATTAGCCATCCAGGTAGTTATTCGAAATTCAACTAACCCTAACCCACACTCTGCATTAAAGCGTGCATTTCACATCTCACTTTGGACTCGACACGACCAGATCATAGGGTATTACTGAGCCTGCAGGACTTTCCTAGAGCATTGACCAGGATTCCAAGTAGGTTCTCAACAGACACATTCCTGCTGTCAACCGCTGTTATATTGGCCCCCCCCCCCCCCCCCGCGGACAAAAAGTACCTCCACATGAGTGCTGCCTAAATCTTGTTCTACTCTAGCAAAACCCGGAGATGTTCGAAATGCTTGGGGGTTTTGTGATATGTAGATGCTCTAGAGTCGGCGACTGACTGGTTGATGTGTTAATTGATTCCTCCCTTTATCCCGGGCCACTGTTTTCCGAAGATGTGGGGGGGTGGCTTATCTCCGGTATCGTTGTAGGACCCCTCTACATATGTGAGCTCGAGTGTGTATGAAGCATAATTACTTCGTCAGGCGCGACAGCAATTACTCCACTCTAGCGGAATCTTGCAAGTAATCCGATTTATGTTTTTTAGACAGTAAAATTTGATCTTTGAAGCTGCGCTGGCTGGGTTTCGGAGCCTACTTACTTACGTTAGTTAGCAGCTACATGTATTTATCTCAGGTAGAGGGTAGAGTACAATGTAGCTGCATGGAAGATTCTCTACATGCATGAATTCAAAGATTTCCAATACGAGTCCGAACTAGCGAGGTTGCAGGTTGTGTACCGGTACAGCCAATGCCGTGACTAGAAAGCCGACTCATCTAAATAGGTACTTGCAACTGTGTTAACTTGTAGAGTACGCAAGAAGACAAGACACCAAGGCATAAAATTCTAGTAATATCAAGAAAGCAGATCGACTGTAACACAACAGTCAGCTACTCAACCCGTCTTTTCAATTTACTCTACTCGTAAATTCATGACGTTTCCGGACACGACTGCCATTGCATACCATACAAAAAAGCGCCAAATCCACCTTTTTGTATGTCATGCAATATTGGTCGTGTTCGGAAACGCTATGAAGCTACGAGTAGAGTGCTCTACTTACTAGTAAATTCCTGCTGGCACGGATTGAATTACATGCCACAAAAGTGCCCTGTAACCTACATGCTCTAATTAAATTTAGGAGTATTCGTAGGGTATATTTTACGTACTTACGCACGCATGCAAAGGTAGCCTGCGTTGAAATACCATTCAAATGGTTCAAAAGGTTGGAATCACACTCTGCATCCAGGTTAGAGATGTCGATGTCTCAAGCAATCATCGTTCGACCTGAGTGTGTTTGCTCTAGAGTATTCATAAATGCTTTTTTATGCTCTTCAAATCTGAGATCTGGGCGCGCAGAGGTTTGTTCGACGTATCATGGTTGAGTGTTACCGACTGTGTAAAATACTAACGCCATTATTAGTAAAAGGTAATATATTAGGAATAGTACTAAATTCGGGTTCAAGACCAGACCCGTACGGGTTAGAAACTTAGATAGTGTAAACCATTTCTGTCAATGATCCTGAGTAAGGCGGGTTTGTGGTTTGTAGGCATCAACTGAGAGATGATTGGTGTATTTAGGAATAGGAGATTCGTTTAGTCGGGACAGATAACTACAATACCCATCTCGAGCGAGGGGTAATAATTTACATTCCCAAACGATACGCTAATCAGGAAAATTAACTACCGACATCAATTTCAGTGTTTTGTTTTGAGGGGAAAAGTGGTTTTCCTTCTCAAACCCCTCACTTCGCAAAACTTACATATTGGAGATAACAATCTGCGGGGCCTATTTACCTAAAGATAATCGGTTCAAACACCCCCGTTTGTCCAAAGACGCGCTACTCCACCTCATGCTTAACAACAACCGCCGCCGCCCAACGTCAGTCAATAACCCCGCCCTCCACCCAAAGCTCCCGGACCGGTGCCGCTTGTCTTCCAAATTAATTTCCTCAAAATTTTTCGCTCGATTGTTTCCCCCATGGCCCGCCACGATATCAAGAAAGGAGGGTGGAAGATCCGCGGATGATATCATTGTGGGTGATCAACTTAACTTAAGCCCGTTGCGACGTCGATAAAGTACAGACCATGACAGGTGCGTCGTTTAGAGGGACGGGGCTTTTGATTATGGTCAGGAATCAAGTCGAAGATTGTGCATAATGCGCTAGGTAGGCGGACCGAAGCCTTCCAGGACTCTCCGTCATCCACGATAGATTGTTGTCGACTTTAGGGACTACAAACACAACCAGTCTCTATTGTGAACAGTGTAAGTGACCCAGATCCGCGGTCGGAATGAGAATTCGTGATTGATCTGGTGATTGAGATTGGAGGATGACCCCGGTCCTGTGGCCAAAAAGGCATGATAGGTGGCTGCAAATCTCGACTTACGCAATGAGCGGAGTGAGGAAGTAGAGTACCTACATGATATGACGGACACTCTAATCCGTGCTTCCAAAGAGTGACTTGGTCTGATAATAATGATGGTAAGGGTGTCACCAATCAGCGAGGCGGTTGAAGAAGCATGAGTTGATCTTCTCCAGAATAGACGAGGTTTGTACGAGCGTGGATGACTCCTAGCCACTCAGACACTCCACTCACTCGAACAGTTAACCAAAGAGAAGACCAGCGTTGTAACCGGCTCCTGTACCCCTTCTCCACCAATCATCATTGGCTGTCCGAGTTCAGGTATTCGAGTGGCTGGATCCTTGAAAAACGTCTTAACCTTACTAATAATGCTCAGTGGTGAGAAAGCACGACAACCTTAAAACTGTAATTAAACTCACCACAAAAACTATATAATAGTAGAAAATAGAATCCATCTTATGGTTTATTCCATGTTTTTACTTCGGGGGTAGATTGTCTGCACGTGGGGATATGCAAGACGTATGTACCTACACATGCAAACGAGACACGCGAGATGAGACGAAGCAGGAGTTGTTTCCTAGATCTGCACAGTCAGCGAGGGTTCCTATCCGACATTATTATAGTTTGGAGGCCTGTTATTAAGACTCAGTCCCCGGTGAGATAGATGAGTCTTGATCGTGTGCTCGAGATGCGGAATCACTCATCTTCAAGTCATACCAATAATTATCACAGAGAGGATGATAATAGAAGATCTAAACCTAGAGGGTTTATGGCACTTTTTAACGAGAGTATGTGCTTACGTATACCGTAGGCAACTGCCAATGTGTTCGTTAGTGTAGGCTATGTAACTAGCATTTTGATAATGACACATGTGAAAGAAAATCGAAAGCTCGCATGGTTTTCTTCCCCTTTCCAGATCTACGTTCTCACCGGCAGCCATCTGTAGGTGCGTTCAATCGTACCTTCAACCGCATATCGATATCATACCTGGTCTCGTGCCCACGACACAGTCAACCGCCAGCTCCCACACAATAAATGAATTATCAATCAATCAACCAGCTCCCGGCTATACGAGTGATAACCCATGACCGGACACACCACGACAGCCCATTATTGCAATATGGTCCACAATTAAAGGAAGTGTTATCAAGTTCCGTCAGAAATGTGGAGTTATATCTGATCTTCCGCGTGATAAGATCGAACTCGGATGCATATATGCCCACCGGCGTTTTGTAAAATGACAGAACGAAGTCGGTAGACTCGAGGTACTTAGTACAAAACGGAAGACTTTATTTTATTAACTAATACACAGGAAGCCTGAGCCTCAGCATATCGAGCTTCCAACAAACCTATCTATCCCTCTGGACGTAGGCCCGGAAGCCACATCAACATCACCAGCACCGGATGCAATTGATGAATTAAACAAAACAAAACAAAACAAAACAAATCACCAGCACCGAGAACCGCGAGTGATAGGCTGTGACCAAACACGCACAAACTTTACATGTATTATCCGTTATTTCTCTTATCAAATAATAGATCTCTTATATATAAATGTAATTCCGGTGTTATAGGGTGGGCAGCATTGCCAGACGAAGGGAATAAGCAGCACGGTCCAAACAAGGCTAGAGATTGCGGGTTTTTTTTTTTTTTTTTTTTTTTTTTTTTTTTTTTTTGTTTAATTCATTAATTGCTAGAGATTGCGGGTAGCGACGGGTACAATATAAAATAAGATGATATTCGAGGGTGTCTTTTCTCGTGAATTCCAGAATTAAGGAGGTCTCGGAATTGTCAATACTCGAGACTTAGGGTTAGGGGCCAGGATCATCAGGTTTCTTAACGAAGGGATTTTGGGGGGCCAAAGTTACATGCAGAGATATAGGTCACAGACGGCCACTCCATGTTTCGAGACTGATTTGTCTTGTTTTGTTATGGCGCGGTAAATGTGTCAAAAGTAATTTTACCACCGGTGGTATAAATACTGAATTTCAGTCCTTGTGCCAGTATAAACACTGAATTTCAATCTTTATGCTGCGATATACTTCATTAGTAGATGTTCAATCACGAATGCCAACACTTATGAAAGTTTCCCACCGGTGGTGAAATACCTGCCACTGGTGGTAAAATACCTGTCACCAATGGTGAAATTCCCCACCGGTGGGCAATAGGACTCATACATTGGCATTATATAGCCCCTTTTGGCCAAAAGATCTGTGCTTTTGTCCATTATAAGGTATAAACGACGGTATTATTTTCACCACCGGTGGTAAAACGATTTACTACCGTTGGTGAAATTACTTTTGACACATTTACCGCTCCGTATTTTAATTTTGTCATCTCTAACCCTATAGCTAGCCATGTTTTGTTTTATCTCGTGTCTCGCGCGTGTCTCGGGACAAAGGTCTCGAGACTTTTCGTCTTGTGCCCATCACTAATTGCGAGTCAAAGGTTCTGCCGAAAAAAAATAGTTATGGCGCTGATACCAAAGCTCCGCATAGTAGAGTCGGAACGTCCCAAATACACATACCCGCCATATTAAACTTCAATTTGTGGCCGTCGCTCTAGTGAGCCGTGAGTTCATAGTAGGAATTTCTGTTCATTCATAACATGGCGAAATTTACCTAGCAATAAGTATGCGACCCTCGAGTAGAAATCATAACATCTAGGATAACCAGATGTGCTCTCATTACCACTCTATGTATATCCATTCTCCTTGCAATAGGAGTTATCACGAGTGCTGTATTGTGAATATGGGGTGCTAAATATGCCCCAGTATCTTCTTCTCATACACTGCGAGAGATAAAAATATCTCCATACCCATAAGAAACCCTCTCAGTACTCAGCACCGTCTTCTCGTCTTTGCATGCAATCAACCCCATCACGCAACCGAGTGATATCCCATGCACCACTCTCGCCTCAGCACAATGATAAAAATTACAGCCCTAAAAGCTACAACCATAGCCTTTTTAAAAAAAAAAAAAATACTAAAGTAAAAATACGAAAAGCGATTTCTCATCCACCCCTAACCCAACATTCCCAGATCCAACGGAACCGTACTGCCCGTCCCCCCACTCCTATACACCTTCCTCTCGCCGCCGAACACCCTCGGCTCCGGCAGGTCCTCCTCGCGCTTAAACCTCCACCTACTATCATCAACCACATATCTAGTCCTCTCGCGCCTCCCGCGCGGAGCCGGCCTCGACGGCGGCTCTGGCGGCGTGCGGCCCGCATACATGTCGCCTGTCGCTTTTCTGGCCGCGACAACAGCGGGCCTCATCTGCGGACTTGTGGACGAGGATGTGGGGAGTGATGAGGGGCACGGGGCGCGGGAGGTCTGAGGTGCGAGGTAGAGGTATTGAGGCGCCCTGTTTCAGAGAGGAGCGGGGCGGAGGTTTTGCGGAAACCGAGCGGACGGGGAGGTGCGGAGGTGGGTAGAGGCGGTGAGATGGGTGCACTGCGGTAGTGAGAGGCAGAATTGGGGCGGTTTGCCGGAATGGGAGGCGGGTGCCGCTGGACTGAAGGGCTGGAGGCGGAGCTAGAGGAGCTGGAGGGTATGGGCCGAGGAGGTACTGTAGGCACTGTAGAAATTGCCGGGGCTGCCGGGGCACTCGGAGAGGCTGACCGCCCCGGAGAAGAAATATACGACGATGATCTAGATGCTATAACCCCCCGGGTCAGTCAGCTCTCTCCAGTCCCTACCATCTCCATCTCAAAGCAGATCCCCAAACCACTCGCAACACAAACTATCACTCGGCCCAAAGAAAACCTACCTCCAGTTGCCACACCCCCACGACTCTTCAACTTCGGTATCCCACCTGCAAACATACCCGCCAGCTGCGGCGCCCCGTCCCCCGCCGCATCAACCTCCGCCCTGTCGCCGCGGAAGCAGCTGCTGCTCGCGCTGCTGATGTTGCCATCTAAGCCGCTGCGGTCGCGGGTCACGGTTTTTCGGAGACGGATGCCGCGCGTGATGTCGGCGTTTAAAGTGCTCTACAGGGGGTGTTAGTACGTGGGTTGTGGTGAAGGAGAGGAGGGGGGTACCCGGTCTGGAGTGTTTGCCTGGTGTTGTTGGGGCGGCGGAGGAGGTGGAGGAGGCGGGGGAGGGGGAGGGGGTGCACCGCCGCTAAAGAGACGGAGTAAGGGTTTGGGCATTGCTGATTCCTCTTTTTTGTGTGTGTTTGTATTCTTTGGGAGGTGAGCAAGTGAGTGATGTAGTTTATAGACGTAGCTGAGGTAGCCATAGAATGTCCCCGGAACGTATCCTTTCTATGCGCAATCTGTCCGTATCCATTATCTGTGGCTGCGTTGGCCGTAGCTCGGGGGCGCGGGCGTGGATTGGCGTGTAACAAGGCGGAGTGGCGTGAGCAGAGGGAATAAATAATACTATGTTATGTAGCACGTGCATCAGCATCGATCGCCGAGTGACATCTGGTGATCGGTGACATCCCTATCTTTTTTCAATTGAGTGGTTCGTTGATTGAAGGCCCTCATGATAACTAAAGTGTCTAAACTACATACTTACACGACTTGTAAATAAATCAAGCCCCTGTATGTGTAAGAAGACATGTAAGTACACCCACCCATGGCCGCCCATTTACTCATGATATAAAAATCATAACATGTACCCATCCTTTATCCAAGACGACGAAAAAAAAAGAAACAATTAAAAAGATAAAATCATACAACTCATAATAATAATAATAGTACCCCAAAGCATCCCCCCCAAAAAAAAAACACAGGCGCCCCAAACATCTAATAAATCCACACTACCAGTTGTCGTTATTGTTGCCATGACAAAAAATACCCTTCTTGTTTAGGAGTAGTTCATGACGCGCCGTGATACTCCAGGGTAACGACCCAGTCAGCGGCAAATTCAACCCCATGTCTCCTTCGGGTCCCGTACTTCCTCCACGCCGTGTTGGAAATCCCAATGTCAGCGACGTAAAGATTCCATCCAGCCCCAACGCCGGAGACCAGTGCATTCAGAAGCCCAGTCTTCGGGGCACCCATGCACACGACCCACTTGGCCTTCATGTGGAACGTGCCCGTATCTTCAAGCTGCGCAACCTCACCTAAACAACCGTCAATACAATGATCCAAGCCACGACAAACGAGGATAGGGGGACAAACCAGTACTACCATCAACACCACTAGGAATATCAACCGCAAGAACGCTAGCCTTGCTCTTATTCGCAAACTGCACCAACTCAAACGCCGTCGCCTGCTGATCCGTCCGCAGATCCTCAATACTCAGATGCGTGCCCAAAAGCCCATCAATAATCAGCTCCGGCGGCGAATCCAGCGTCTTCAAATTACTCGCCAGCTCCTCCCACCTCGCCACGCGCCCGCCTGCGTTACGGAAGATGTTCAGCTGCCTGCGCACATTCTCGAGGAGCTCGTCTTCCCTCTCGAGACCGAGCACACACACCATCACGCGGACGTGGTGGTTCTTCAGGTGCCGCCCCGCAGCAATGGCGCGGGCGCCGGATTTGTGGTTGCCTGCAAAAACAAGCACGACAGGGAGAGAGTTGTGGTTGGAGGCCGAGATGCGTTTGCCGAACGCCTGGATGGCCACCTGCGCAATCCCGCGGCCTGCGTTCTCGGTCATCATGTCGTCTGTCAGGCATAGCTCTACCTCCGCGATCCTTTCAACATCTAGCATCTGCAACGGGCTTACTACAGGGCATGGCCTATGGCCGGGGGCAAGTCGTAAAGCTGATTTAGAATGCTTAACAGCGCCCGAGGGGCCCACTCCGCCTCCGCTGGAGGAATGCGCATATTGTAGGTTTTCAAACGAGCGCATCCCGGTAGGGTTATTTGTGAGCTGGCGTGTCCGGCGACGGGATTCTTGCCGTGACATGGCCCGCCTACTGCTTCTCCCACTATCCGCAGCCCCACCATCGCCCCGGCCTCTAGCATGGTGATCCGAATCCTCGGAGGATTCGGATTCTTCCGCAATGAATTCCGGCGAGTCCCAGCCGTCACGTTCGGTTAATGACTGGCCATTGGCATAATTGCCAAGAACATTTTCAGTGTGATGGTAGTTCTTCTTGGCCGTAGCAGAACCCTTGCTTGTAGGATTGCGTTGGGGAAGACGATTAAATGACACCAGGCGGTCTCCTTCAGCGATTGTGTCTTCAGCCTACCCTTGCATGTTAGCATGGAGATTTGGGAATGTATATTGCGATCCAGCCCTCACCTTGAGTTGGCTGAAAACTGATTTCTTATCAAATCTATCTAGATTACCCTGAAAGTCGAACTCCCTCTCCTTGTAGTCATTGACATCCTCTGTGGCCCACCCCTCCTCTTCAGCGTTGGTCGTATTGCCGTCATACCTATTATTGTTCCGCTTCTGGCGTCTGTTCTTCCTCCCCGCCATTCCTGGCTGGACAAAATGACTGGCGCTTGCACTTGCCGCCTGTGCGATTGCGCCCCCAAACATACCGGGAGCGATAGAGTTTTCACGTGCACGATCTTCCTGGGCCATGGGTTCAGAGAGTTGATGTTGCTCATATTGCTTCTTTAAATGCGACTTTCCACGGCGTGAGCGCTTTCCTTGGAACTTCTGGCGGACACCCGGGGTTGGCGGCATCGCCACGGAGCTAAGGTTATCATCGGTTTCATCAAATGCGTTATACTCACCAGCAGCATCACCTTTGATAGACAGCTCGGCGAATGGAGCACTAATGGCCGCCGAAACTAAAGATGGCGCGCGCGATTGGGATTGTATACCCACTGCACTAGATCTTGAAGGTTCTGCAGGGGCATTTGTAGGAAATGAGTGCGCGTTTTGGGTGTTTGGCATTCCTAGCGTATTTAGGCTTAGGTTGGAGCCGTGGGAAGAATCCTGGCGCTTTGTAGTTGGGTTTGGAGGTCGCGGGATCGACGGCATGATGCTTGCTGATATCCGCGGCGGTGTAGAGAAACTAGCTTGAGGCTGTTGGGGTGCATGGTGGGCAACCGGGGGTGTCTGGGTTGGTGCGGGCGGCTTCTGAGAGATTGAGAGAATCGCGGGATCGATGAATTGGGAAGGGGCGACAACCTGGGGCGTGGTGGAGGTAACTATTGTGGTTGTGTAAGAGTAGGGTTGGTTATGGTGGGCAAGAGCTTGGTTTTGATTGCCTGTTTGGTACATTTGAGGGGGAGGCGCGGGCGGGTTGTGAACAACGAGCGGCTGCGGGGGTAAAGGAGCATGAAGCGGCGGCGGCGGGGCATACGACTGAGGTGTGGGCTCAGGGGGCATGATTTCAATGTCTTTAATTTGGTGACCGATCACGGTGTAACTAGGGATAGAATACCCTGAATCCACAAACACAACTAGAGGAAAGTAAGCATTTTGAAAACGAACTCAAAACTATCAGGTATTGAGAAGCATACCATTGGAGAGTGTCAGCTCCGTCCCGTGCACTTCAGCTACAAGACCACGGACTCGTGTTTGATCTTGGTCATTGAGAGTGAGAAGTATAGTTAGGCCGATAAACTGGTCTGCCATGGTGGAAAGGGGCTCGTCAATGGAGATACAAAGGGTCCGAATATTTAGTTGTGGAGCGAAGTTATGAGATGGGGCTAAGTTGATTGTTGAAAGGGGAAGAGTAAAGATGACGTTTGAGTAGTACGGATGTAGACGTGACGTGAAAAGAGCTCGGATGAGAAAGTGCTTTTTTTCTGGCGCACAATGAATTCCAATGCATGAAAAATGTAGCCGGGTAACTGTGATTGCTCAATATGGACAGGTGCTCGGTCTGATACTGCATGTAGCTACATGTAGTGTTGGACAACCGTCGGCCTCAACTTCACCTCTTCCCCCCCACCAAAGCCGCCTCCCCACTATCTAGAAACAATTTCAATAGGCCCATACATATATCTTGAAAAATGTCACGACAAGAAACTCCGTTCGTTCCTTTTTCACCAAATCCTTCACTGCAGCAAGGTACCCCGACATCCACTGCCCCTCTTAAACATAGCTTGACTGCTTCATCAACGTCAAACCTCCGTTACTCGTCATCACGGAAATCTATTTATGACCGTCACCTCAACCGCTCTCAGCGATCCGAGCTGTCAAAAGCTAGCTTTGCATTCCTGTTTGGGGAAATGGTTCAATATGCACAGAAGAGAGTGTCGGGAATTCAAGATCTGGAGAAAAAGTTGGTTCTTAATTTCACAGTTGTTCTAATAGCTACGGGCGTCACACAATTCGATATTCCGCAAGGATGGGATATTGTGTAGCGCCTTGGTTGATAGCTATTAGGGGGAATCCCATACAACTGTCCGGTCACTGACTTTACATTCCTTACATTAGATTAAACCTCCATGGCTACACAATCGGCCAACGTCTGCTTGAGCTTCTCCTCTGGCGTGACGGCCGCTCCGCAAAACGCGAAACCCGTATCCTCGGCATCCTTCAGTTCATTACTACCACACTCTACCGCTCCGTCTTCAACAAACCCGCCGATGGCCTTGAAAAGTCCCGTGATAACGAGGACGAGTATATGTTGATAGATAATGACCCTATGGTTAGTTCTTACATTTCCGTCCCGAAGGAAATGTCACAACTTAATTGCGCGGCGTTTGTTGCTGGGATCATCGAGGCTGTCCTGGATGGATGCTTGTTTCCAAGCAGGGTCACTGCCCATAGTGTTCCCACTGATCAATATCCGGGAAAGACAGTATTTTTGAGTAAGTTTTTACCACCAGAGGGGGTTTTTCCCCTCGGGAATCCCACATCGTAGTAGCTTAATTCAGTTGCTTTTCGCTCAATGTAATAATTGCTAACTTTCAACCTCCGCTCTTAAGTTAAATTCGACGAATCAGTTCTCGAACGTGAAGCCGTCCTATAAACAGCTCTGTATTTTACCATAATACCCTCTCCTTCAAGTTTGTTTTTTGCGGGTGGTCTTTTTGGCGCTCGGGGCGTTTGTGGCAGAATGGCATTCTGGGTTATATGATCGATTTCCCCACCTCTTTCCAGTGCCCGATTCAAATGAAACTTTCCCATCGGTGACAGTGATAGCGAGGACGCCGGGGTTGCGTCTGGGTTGCTTGAAGAGGGTTAAAGAAACTCTGCTTCATTTTCTCATTGACCCTTGGGGATATGGCTTTAATAGTGGGAGGTTGTTATAGTTCAGTGGTGGTCGTGGTGTACTTTTTTTCGGGGGGAAATGGGAATGAGGGTCCTAGGTATTCGGTCCTCGTTTGAGAACTCACGAGGAAACCTTTGGTACCTAATACTGTACTATGTAGTCAAGCGACCGAAAAAGTTTGGGATGTTAAACGCTATGGAAGTGGCTCTATAGATACGTAGCTGATTGAACGGAATATAAACGATTTGACCATCGAAAGAGGACTGTAAGGTATCTGGTCGGAATTTGCGAAGATTCTTTGATGATTAAGGTATATGTGATAAGGTATATGCGTAATTTCTCTTTTGAAATCTCTAATATCTAGTCGGAAAGATAATGATTCTAAAAACAGATGGTATTTATCACAAGCCCAACCAGAATAATAGAATTTCACATGCACTCGAGCCCCTAAGTATGTATTTGTGGGAAAAAGAACAAAACAAAGATACAAGTAATCTGCCAGATAACGCCCGCCCGTAAGATAATATGATATCATGAGAAATGCGGCGATTTGGAGTACAAGTTCTCCGAGATTGACACCGCCCGTAGTCCCAACCGGAGCCCTAACCGAATTCACCGCCATAAGTATAACTAGAGGGCACATGCCTCCACATGTTTACCCCCATAACAATATTGCCACCACGATACTTCTATTCTCTCTTACTCATCTTTTCATATCTCTTCTTCCTGGCGTTGTTGATTGATCTCTTCCGGAATTTGTTAAGCACATCTCTCCACAACACGCTTCTGAAAAGAAACAATGTTGTCACGACTGCCACCGGGGCTGCAATCGTCCAGAAGTACTTGTCCGAGTGTCGAATTCCAGGGAATTCCTCAAAATTCATACCAAAGTAACCGGTTAAGAAAGACATCGGGAGGAAGAGAATCGTTACGAGGGTTAGCATCTTCATCGACTCATTTTGGAGTGAGCCAATTGTGTTGAAAATCAAATCAATCATGTTGTCTGCTGCTCTCTTCATGGTCTCTACGTTCTGCGAGAGTATCAGTATAAAGTAACACAATGGCAAGGATCCGGGACCGAATCGAAAGGAAAGGCATTATAGAAATCACATACCTCAAGGAGTAACAACAGATGGTCGTCTACATCCCCTAGATAAGTCTTTGTAACCTCGCTAACCTCTACACCCTTGAAAGCTTTCGAAGTCCCCGAAAAACTTTTCTTGTGGTCCCTGAGTGACGAAACCAAGCCAACAACTGGTGAAATTGTACTTTTTAGGAGCGATAGCTCACTGGTGAGAATATAAAGTTCCTGTGACTGGGAAATAGATGGGTCGGTGAGCACGTCAAGTTCAAGCTCGGCTATCACATCTTGGTATGCTCCAACTACTGGGAATGCTAAATCAACTATGGCATCAATCTGTCATTTGTTAGGAATTTTTGTTTTGATTGAACGGGATTGGATTTCATACGATGGCCTGCATTATCATTGACGGGTCGCAGACGGACCGCAAAAGTGTGTTTGCCGAATAGAGTCGATTGAGAATTGGTGGTCTATTGAACAAGCTCCATTAGAAAACATAATAGTGGGACCAATTTCAACTCAAACGTACTCAACATCATCCGCAGAATGTTCGAAAAAGCTGATAACAGTGCCGTCGGCGGTCAAAAACATCGAAACTTGCTCTACACTCACGGCAAGTCCTTTCGATGCTAAGCTCGAGTGCCGTTCCATGTATCTGGCCGTTGGTAGCTAGGTTAGTCCAGGGCCGTGCTACGGCGAAGGCATTTGAAAGTTAGGATACTGACTGGGTGCGTTCTTTATTAGGTCCCCCATAGTACTTCTGAATTGTCTTTATTCTGTTCACCGGAGGACCATCCCCGTAGAGAAATTCCCTTGTATTTTCATCATTCTCCACTTTTTGGGTTACTAGGAATGTTAGAAAACTAAGACGATAATGTTATTCAGAGGGGGGGTGTGTGGAATTCACCTTCGTTTATATGGACCAATTTCAGCAGCGGGAGAATAACTGCGGGGCGCGGAAAGTTAGTTGAGTGATTCACGAGGGACTTCCTTAGGTGGGGTTACCAAAGGCATGGTCCGAGTACCTGAGACACGGTAACAAGGGCGCATTAGCAACTATAAATCCAAATAAATGGGCATAAAATAAGCTATAGAAATGGCTTACCAGTCGCATTTTGTCCTGTTCTTCGTGTTGAGGAGATCCTCAATTGCTGTGCCATTCCTTACGTCAACATTTTGACAACATTTTACCAAATCATCTATTGCTTATAATCACCTAATTTATGAAGCCCCTTATACTTTGCCAGAGCCTGGATACAGTCCCACGATAGACCTATATGTTGTTAGAAGCGCATTTTCAAAACTCGCGCCGCAGCGCCGGGATAATAGGGGTAAAGAATAAGAGGTTACCATTGCAATTTATCCACCGCACACCAACCCAGTCCTCCCTTGGTTTTTCTAAAAACGAGATCAAACTCGCATTTTCAAGCTCAGTCTGTACAATTTCATCTTCCGAGAAGTCGACTACAGTAATTCCGCATGCAGTGTGAATCTTCACCCTGGAATCCAAAGTTTCGTTTGGATCAAGCCCTGGTTCCTGTCCAGGAAGCTCTTCTTGATAGTTCTTTGATGCTAAGATAGTACCAGCTCGCCGTAAACGAAAGCGACCGCTGCTTGAATGCCGATGACCACTGAACGAGGGGGATTTGGGGCTTGACATATTGTTCAAATTCGCTTCGACATCCATGCCCTCCTCTTCTCCAGATGAACGGGGAGACGAGACCACGTTTGAATCGATGCGTGGGAGTCTTCTGCCCTGACGAGGTGGTTTGGATGGTAGCGAGCCGTAACCCATTTAAGGAGCTTTTGTGGGCAGATTTTGGTGGTTGTGTAAATAGAGCTTGAGCGTGAGTTCAAGTAACCGTTAACCGTCCGTGGTTGGCTTTGGTTTGGTTTAGTTTCCTATTTTCCCTTCTAAGGTTTTCAGCTCTCCAGCTTCTCGGCTGTAACAGCCAATGGCCAGATCCCTTGGCAAACAGGGCTGATGCTTATTGTGCCCAGTCGGCTACATGTAGTGGCGGCACTGGGGTCTGCTTACGAATATTAGCCAATCAAGTCTAAATATACGGGACTTTAAGCGATGCTAATCTCGAGATACATAAAGGCCTATATAATACTAAGGCGTTCAGTAAAAGCTTGTGAAAACAAGCATTGCAACGGGTCGTTGTATTTGTGGCCCAAGAACCTGTTTAAACACAATATAGTATGCGCTGAGCGTACCTTCTTACCTACGTCATGCAATAGGTATATGCACATTTATCGGATTACGCCAGTTAATGTGGTAGACGATTGCCGAATTTCCAAATGCACAAAGAAATCTCGCATTAGTAACGTAAAATAAGAAAGCATAGACAAAACATAAAGCTGCATAGAACTCCATATAAGCCTGATCTCCAGCTCAGCCAGCCTATCCATTCGTTCATCAGAGCAAAAACAGAGACATATGTGATCTAGAAGGTGTCACAAAAGGTAAAAGAGATTCACGGAGTGAGGGTTAGGGTTAGGTGTCCTACCCGAGTAAGAGTTGCCTACATACTAGCTCGTGAAAACACACGAAGGGATACTTGTACTCAGATTCCATGAAGCATCCCGGACCCCCGAGTCAGGTCTCATCTAGATGCCTAGCCCTAAATTCTTGGCGTCAAGTACCTTCGTAGACAAGTGTACTTAGCCAACCAGAAGAAAGCCAGCCCGGACACGAGAGACAAATGATTTGGTTATGCAAGCAATCGGACTCACCAATTAAAGAGCGACAGTATTGCCGGTGTTTCGTTTGTGGAAGCTAGCGACGCTTAAAAACTATCATCACCATTGCTCTTTTTTCTGACACGTTCGTTTAACGTCCCAATTAGTACTTGTGGGCACTACAATGTGCCTCACTAGTAGAGCAAGCGATGCGAAATATTTCTTTGCTTTTAAAATATAGAGAGTGTCTTTACTCGTCGTTATAATATGCCAACAGATAAAATGTACGCAGTGCAACTGTACTGGCTCAATCATGGAGTCTTTCGCGCCGATATGCTCGTAGTTTTCTTGCGTTTGATCCGGATCGACTGGACTGGCATGGGTCACCACCAAAATATGATTGTCATGCACAATTTACGCCCATATGCAGAGTCAGTCCAGTCCTGAAGCGCAAGAAAACTACGAGTATACTCTATGGTAATTGTGGGGGTCCGTCGAATCGGACGTCTGCGCCTCTGTTTGGGAGAACTGCTGCCGAAAGATAGATGCACTCCAATTAACACTGGTCAATCGACTGGTGGTTTGCCTTTTTTTGCCATTCTCAATGATCGAAGATCAGCTAGGGTTTTGTCAGAAACCGAGTATTTTGATGTACCATTTACTGGTTGGGTGTTAATGCTTTGCACAACTGTTTTCCCTATCCAGGAATATCAACTAAATTTTTAAGCCCTATAGCTACAAAAACTCGATATATTAGCTATTTCTAGATACATTAGGGTTGCCTCTTTGATAATAGGCCGAATATTAACCTTGGTTTTGCATGCATATGTAGGTACATCGTATACAAGTAGCTACGTAGCTAATTTCCGGTATATAAATGCGTAGTTAAATACTACATGTAAAATTTATATGGGAATATAGATCTATAGCTAGAGTAGATGCTCTCTATAATTAAGTACTCGAACCAAGATACTGGCCGCCCTCTAGCGCTGAATATAGAACGAATCGAAATCACGTAGAACTAATTAAATTCACTCCACATGGATGACCGCCCTTTCTACGCGTTTTTAAAATCCTATCAGGCATGATCTTAATTCAGGCGTGGCCAAACAAAATGTTTTGCGAACGGAGAGCGCTGATTGGTAAAGCCTGCCTTCTTCCACCAAATAGTGCATATCGCCGGTCTTCTGTGTGATCTATCATCTGTCTTCTCCGGCTTTCTGATAGAATTCTCACGACATGTACATGAGATAAAGAAACAAAGAAGTGTCTCCAACAAACGCAGGCATGCAGTACATACGTATATTCTACACAGTAAAGTCTACACGGGGTGGGATACATATGTACATGTACATACCTGTAGTTTTAAATTATGTAGTGTTCGATCGGGCCAGCTGTGTACTAGTCTCGTACCCATCCCCTACTTAGTAGCAAGCTTCTCGCCAGCAGGTCTGAAACATTATCTTCCCGACAAATGTTGGCCGACACTCTCGTCGGCCTCTGAAACGTGATATCGGGCTCTGAATTGTGATGTAGGAGCCGGCCCGACTTGTGATATAAAAGCCCGAAATATGATATAGGAAGCCGAATGTGATATCAGGGTCAGAATAAACATTAAGGGCCCGTTCGGACCGGTGCGGATTATATTAATGGATTATTAGGAAGTGTCAATTATTAGCGGATGGGTGAAATAATCCAAATAAGCAGAATAATGTGTTGAGCAGCGGGTTGGTTGGGGTGTGGTCGCGCTGGGGTGTGGTCGCGCTGGGGTGTGGTCGCGCTGGGGTGTGGTCGCGCTGCGCTGGGTGGGTAGGGTTGCGTTACGCGGTTGCTACCATAGAGCGGCTTTGCCTTATGTGAGGGGATCATGTTCCGGTTCATAGCCCATATGTGTAGATCATGTTGCGGTTTACCTGCTTAAATAGAGAGGTGCAACGCTGGTACTGTAGTTCCCTCCAAACCACTTCAACATCGCCTCCTCAATCAATGACAGATACTACCCAACTAGCACCTTATGGCTATACAGCTACTGGGAGGGTTAGAAAAAGACCTTTGAAAAATTCACAAAAAGAAAACTCTGTACCTGAACCAAACCGCTATGAAAAATTCAAGTACACCTACAGAAAATTTTTAAATTGTCCAGCTTGCTATAAGGATTTCAGTCACCGGCCAGACTCCCATAGAGCTGTTTGGCAGCATCTGCTTCACTTTGCTACTGTTGCCAAAGAACCAAAACATCAAAAGGCTAGGGATGCTCTTAAAGAAATAAGGGACCGGACACCTACTGGTATGTGAATTTTAATTCCGTATGCAGAATTATACTAATAATTTCTCAGAAGAAGTCAAAAAAAATAGGGAGAAAATTAGCTCGGCAGAATGGAGAGCTAGGAACCCTAAAAAAGCTAAGCGGGCTTCGGTCAAAGGTGCGACAAAACTCAAAATTGAAAGAAATTTGAGGAGAGCAGGAGAGTTTTCGGAGGAAAAGTTGAACAAATTGCTTGAAGAAAAGATGGTGGAATGGGATGCAGAGAATTAATTGTACTATTAGTTCAAGTTTTACATGAAATTCTATATTGAATTTGAGAGGATAAGACGTAGGTAGTAATTTCAAATGCGTAAACCGATAATGATATTGCTGTTGATTGCCTGTGGTTCGCAACTGTTAACGCAACTGTAACGGCAATATTATCTGTTAGCTAGGAGTATCGATTGGATTGTGGAGGGAAGGTATTGCGCAGTTGTATTAGGATTTGTAATGGGGTTTCTGTTATGTTCTTTGGGTTTCCGTTACGCGAGGTATGAGTCATCAATGGACTAGAGCCTGGATATATAAAGGGGTGTTGTCTCGTGTCTTTTCATACTTTCCTTCCTTTTCTTTTCTCTTCACGGAACTTCTTGTACTTATTCCACGAATACTACTTTGTTCTACACCTCGTCATAGGGCTGAACTAGTTAGTCATACTAGGCAAAGCCACTCCATAGTCCACAGTCTCGAATACCTATTGCTACGTCCTCCCCTCGGTTGTATTCCTTGGCATCATAGTCCCTACGTCCATAGACCCCCGTTACAGCAACTGTGAACGCAACTGTTTGACATATCATGTGTAACAGGGCCACAGTAGGGCTGTTACAAAAATACCTGTTCTACCAGTCAAGCCATACGGCCCTAGGTTAACCGCAGCTGGTTCTTCATCGATGGGTGAAGAGAAGGGCAGATGAGCCCCTACCTCTATTGGTATAGAGGGTAGAGATCCTGGCGAGCAAGAAGTCTTACAAGTCAAGCTAGACGACTGGACCAAAACTAGAGCAGCAGGACGAGCAGACCAAATAAGGAAGGGTAACCCCAAACATAAGTTACCCTACCTTGGCATTCAACCTTTGAGGCGCAATAACTTTGCAGCCGATGCCCGGAAAATATGCTTTACCACGTCAGAAAGGATCCTGGCGATGCTCCGGTCCATTTGGGGTGGTTGAATGAACGCATTGCGGAGTTGAGAAAACACTGCAAAATAAACACGTTTTAGACCCCCAAAAATAACCCCCGGAGCGTCGAACCGCCGGAACCCTCCTGTTTCAGCCCGGTGCATCTTTGGGGGGAGTAAGAGTGCGACCCAAACTACCAAAGCAAACCTTTGCTTTAAAAACACCCAAATCTATTCTAAATACTCTGAATAAGCAAATGCTGTCTGGTCGGCTGTTTCCTCTAGTTCCTAGGATCCCGACCCTTTCTTGGCAAGGATTGCGAGATTTGACTCGGACGAAAATTCGTCCGCGGTGTGGTAGCAACTCTTCTCCTCCCCCCTGATAGAAAATAGGTGGTGCCCCCAGATTATTTGAAAGGCGGACGGCCAGTGAAAAAAGGAAAGAGGTAATGAAGGAAGGGGCGCCGAACTTCCATAAAGGAACTCGGTTGCCCCAGCTTGGTTTCGGGGGGATCAGCGAGTCTTTACCAGCGAGGAGCCCCCTTAAAGTTATTAAGTTTCTAGACTACAAATAACGATCAAACAAATGAAACTCTATCTTTCCATCGAACGAGCCGAAAGGATAGCTTGTCGAATTCCTTTCTGCCTATCTACCTGATCGAAGTCACGGTCGCGCCCTTTCAAGGCACCCCCGTTACAGTATAACTTTAAGCTCCTCGCTTAAAGAACCCCACGAGAAAGAAAAAAAAACCTACCTGAACACCTAGGACCACTTTCAAGGCTGAAATAACCGAGCAGTTAGCTTTTTTTTTTTCAGCTCAGGCTGGCATGGGAGAGGCTAACACTTTACTATGGTCTCCACTGTATCCGTCAGAGGGTTATAGCGCCCACATTCGCTCAAAGGGTTATAGCGCCCACATTCGCTCAAAGGGTTATAGCGCCCAGCTTCGCTCGGAAAGGAGACCACATTCAGGATCGCTCCTAGAAAATCCTGATAGTCCCATTGACCAACAGCCCCCATTCCCCATCTGGGCCCCAGTCCCAACCAAAGTCAACGTTACTTCGTCCACGATGACGGCAGGAAGAGTCCGGAAGAGGGGGATAACTGGCTTTCTTCTGGCGCCACCATGCCTCGTAATATGCTTGGAGAGCCAGTCTTTGTCTCTCCCTTGCCTCTTCTTGGACCACTCGCTGCCGCATCCACTCAGCTCCCCTTCCATCTCGCGCAATCTCATCCCGCATCCACCGCACCTGTTCCCGTTTCTCCATCAGTGCCGCACGGACACGAGCCTGACCAACACTTCTGTCCCCTGGTTGGGAGAAGGGATAAGGACGACGGTAATCCTCCCGAGTCAGAAATGGGACCTGGTTGAAATGGCCATCGAAGGTCGAGGTCTCCAAACTCCGAGGAACAGCATGCCTGTGGAAGCATTAGCGGTAGTAAGAAGAGGTTACACAACTCGCTGGATCATGCCTACCTCATAGCACTCCGTGATCGGACGGCTTTACGAGCAACTCTCCGAGCGTGGATGGTGTTACCACCATCCAGCTCCAGGAGATCAGTAACAACCGCACCAGTTGAGGATCTAAGCCTTGTCCCCCGCCGAGATCGACTAGCGTTAGATAAAAACGCTTGTACAATAGACGAATTGATCGCAATGAACAAAGAGAGGAATAGAATAAAGAAAAACATTATTGCTGAAAGGAGGTGATAAATTTGGTGTTGGGTGTGGAAAGATCGAACTCCCTGGAGTGTAGAATGAATAGAAGGAAAAGAATTCTTACCCTCCTTAGTTCGACGGATACCCCGCTTTTATAAGCGAACTCCTATTCCAGTTCCGAGAATCAGCGTGGTTAGCCGAAGCAGGAGTTCGGTCCGGCTTTAACCGAACCCGGCACTAACCGTGGAAGGAGACAAGGACACCAAGTTTACCTGGTCTGAGGGATAGGAGCATGCGTTCGAAGTCCTGAAAGAGGCCTTCCATCCGCCCCCGTACTAGCCCACTTTGATGCCGAGCTAGCTACCAAGATTGAGACCGATGCCTCCAACTTCGCTAAATCTAGCATACCGTCCCAATTCCACCGAGATGACAACAAGTGGTATCCAGGAGTCTTTTACTCCAAAATGATGTCACAAGCCGAACGGAATTATGACGTTCACGACAAGGAGTTAGGTGCCATTGTGTCATGCTTCAACGAGCGAAGTCTCCCAGGAGAAACCTCCAGCCGGAGGGAAACCCCCGGTGGAGAAAAAACCAGAACCCAGAACCAGCGGGTAATGGTGGACAAAATGGAATAGTCCCCCCGGTTGGTGGCGATCCCAACCCGGGAGGGGACTCAGATAGTTCAGATTCGGAGCCTGAGTATGGAGATAGGAGAGGATGGCGGAGATACCTCAGGAAGATGCTGGAGAAGCAGCAGACAGAGCTCCTGGCCTCCATGACACAGTTCATGAGACCTCCGGCCCCCTCACACCCCTCCGCTGCCTCCAGGGCCCGAGAACCAAAGGCACACCCTCAGGCCAAGTTCAATGGCAAAGCAAACAATGTGGAGACCTTCATCAGGCAATGTGAGAATGTCTTCTCCATTGAAAGCCAGTTCTTTACCTACGAAGAGGTTAGGATCCGATATGCTGGTAACCTGATGGAAGGAGATGCTCCGGTCAAGTGGTATGAAGCTTACCACAACTCTATCGACCAAGCTTCTGCCAACCGGGTAGCTGGGATGTCTGTGGTGTTAGATGAGAAATGGAAGTGCTGGGATTCCTTTGTGGATGCTCTCAGAGCAGCCTTTGGCGAAGCTATCTCTAGGGATGATGCGGCAGCCCAATGGAAGGCCCTTACCCTCACAGCCAAGGGTCAGTTAGTGGATGATAAGATCCTCAGTTCCCATATTTCCGAACCTAGGCATGAGTTGGGCTCGCTTTACCTCCGTTACACCTCTGGGTTTCCTCCAGCCTGGGTTCGCCAAGGGGTTGTCCCCGGAATCCCATAGAGGTACACCACCCCCGGAGTCACCTTCTGCGTTCCTACAAAGATACGGTCACGGTCGTCACCAACCAGCAAAAAAAAAAGGGGGGGGGCGCTGAAACCGAGATAAGCTCGATGGGCGGCCAACCTCGCGGAGTTTGACTTCAAAGTTGTATACCGCCCTGGAAAACTAAAAACGCCAAACCAGACATCTTGTCGCGGCGTTGGGACCACGCCCTTAAAGAGGGGGGTAAGGCTCATCAAGACCCTGAAATTCTTGTTTAAGCCAGGACAACTTATAATGGGTTCTGTCCAACACCCGATCGTTATGATCAACTCAGCATGTGCAAGATCAGCCCAAATCTGCAAACTCACACCGGTGCTCCTGGATGAAATCTGGGCTCAAGCAGCCTTAGATCCAGAGTACCTTTCTTTGAAAAAAGCCATTGAGAACACCTCTGGGAATCTGGTGAACCGATACCTGACTTTAAAGGACGGACACGTCTTCTATAAGGAAAGGTGGTACATTCCAAATCATCGGGAACTGAAGCTCAAGATCCTGAGCGCCTTACATGATTCGAAGACTGCTGGTCACTTTGGACAATTCAAAACGGCAGAACGCCTTCGGGGACTGTCCTTTGCCAAAAGATGGACAACAATGTGGAAGAATACGTTCAGAGTTGCGATACATGTCAACGCGCTAAAGCCTCAAACACACAAGAAGAAAGGGATGTTGCAACCTTTAGAGGTCCTCTCTATTCCTTGGAGTTCCATTTCAATGGACTTTATCACCAAAGCAACCATCGAAGAACTTGCTCAAATCTTCCTCCGGGAGATATGGCGACTGCATGGACTTCCTGAGGAGATTATCTCCGATCAGGACTCTAGATTCGAAACATATCGTCCTCAAACTGACAGGCAAACTGAGAGAGTCAACCAAACGCTAGAACAGTATCTCAAAAAACTATTGCTTCTGTCAGCGGGACGATTGGGCAGAGTTACTCCCGCTTGCCAAGTACGCCTACAACACGGCCACCCAAGAGTCAACCAAAGCATCGCCATTCTACGCGAACTATAGGTTTCAACCAGATTCCACTTGGCCCTCACTTAAACGGAAACTAGACAACTTCGACGAGTCCAGCGCG